CAAATATGTCTGGGTCTGGAAGGTTGCAACTTGTAATGCTAATTCTGGACCATGCAAAAATCTGTGTTGCATGACTGCCAAAAGCTGTCCACTTTCGACCAAGTTGGCAGGGAGTTTCTCATGCAGAATAGGCATGATAGGGATCTCAGAGAATCTGTCATGCTAGGCGCTGCATTCCAGACGACATGGATCATGGAAAATCTGCATGACAAGTCTCGAAATCTTCCAGACCCAGACATATTTGCATTTGATACCGACGACCCGAATGCAATCGTGAAGGAAGCGCCGACACCGAGTTGTGAGGAGACGCTGGCGAAGATGGACAAGAAGCAGATCGAGTTAGACGTGCAAGACCTGATGCAGGAGGTGCAGTTGGAGGATTTAAAAAATCAGTCAGAAGTCATCCGCGACGGCACCAACGTCACGCTCGAGAAGATGGAGTGCGACCCGAAGAAGTTGCTGACAGCGGAAGGGTTGGACTTGACCCCGATGAGTAGCAAGGACGAATCTCTGGTGAAACTGTCCTTTTCCATGCGGTCCGCGGCGGACAACGCGTTGAAGGCTTTCCCGGGGTTGGGGAAGGGAATTCGCCACGCGTTGTTGCTAGCGGTCCAGCGGGTCGGGGCGGCGATTCGGAAAATCTCGATTTTGCCCAGAATTGGTCTCCCGGAGAAAACCTGGACGTTGGTGGATAAGCCGCATTCGCGGAACATCTTGGACCCGACACAACCCGTGATCGAAGAGGTGAACACGACGGTTCTGCTGTTTTCCATGACGCCGAAATTTTCCCTGCCGGCGGGGAAGACGTGCAAGGATGTCGCCGCCGCGGTGCTTGCCGGGGAGTCGCAGATTGTCGAATTGCTGAAAAAAGCGTTTTACCCTGTGCAAAAGTTGTATCGTACTCGCAGTAATCGCAGTCATGCGTTACCAATTTCCATCCCAAGGTTACAAATTCCATTTGTCATGCTGGCCGAACAATTTGGAATGCGATTTCTACTAGTACGATGTTTTTGCGATGCATAAGGTTGGCTTAGCGGATCAAGATGACGAAGCCGCGACCATGGCGATCCAGAATGTCTTCTGCCCAGGGGATCCGGGGTACTTTCTGGCGGAGGAAAGTCGGGAGTGGACTGGTATAGTTTTTAGAGCGTACGTAAGGTTTTGTTTTGTTGTTCTCGTTTTGAAGATTTTTTTCAAAACACTCTCGAACTTCTCGATGGACGCAGATCCAATCGCACCTCAATCATGCTACTTCTTCTTTAAAAGCAGTTGCAGGCATTTACGTTTTTTCCAACGCACAGGTTTCGACGATCCAGCTTTCGACACATCAGTTGCATCCTCCGACGCGCTGCTCCAGCCGGCGTATGGAAGATCTTTTGGCCTCACGAGCCTGGAAACTGAACGCCAAGCAAAGCAAGTCGTGTCCGTTGGGGAGACGCAGCTGCAAGTCCAGGTCGCTTTGGGTGGGAAAGCGGTCATTAACCCCAGTGGGGACGTGGATGACAATTTTCTCGTCAAAGTCGCCAACGGCTGCAAGCCGGACAAAGCGAAGCTGCAGGTCGGCATTGACACGACGGTGTACCGAAACATTTCCAAAGACAACCCGGCACTGTTAAACACCACCATCAACGAGCCGGAAGTGGTCGATTACGGGTTTGACATCACGTCGGAAAATCAAAATTATGGTGGAGCTGAAGGTGGTGTAGTTTATTCCGCTGGAGGGGGCAACAACCAGAGTGGCGCGACTAGCAACAGCAGCAGCAACTCGAATTCCAGTACCAGCGCTGGTGTTTTTGCGGACGACAACGTCACAGAGGAGGATGTAGAAGCGTTCTACAAGCAGCAAGAAGAGTACATGTCAGTGAACGTACCAAATGTAAAAATGTCTGGGTCTGGAAAATTTGAACTTGTAATGCGTGTCATGCATTCCTGGAAAATCTGTGTTGCATGAGCAGCAAAACAGAGGCTTTCTTTGTCATGCGAAAACGCAATTTGTAATGCGTGCTAGGCATCAGCAGACCTCTCAAAAGCTTGTCATGCTTGGCTGCCATTGGAAGCGCTTCAATCATGCGCAATTCAGCAACACAAGTTTCCAGACCCAGACATTTTTACATTTGATAGAACGTCACGGGCGACGATTTTCACGACGAAGTTGTCAGTTTCGATTTACTCGGCAATGGGTCGCAGAACGTCAGTTTCAACATCACGAAGATCACCCCTTTGCTCAAACTCGGGAAGCAACTTGCAAGCGGAGAGTCCAATAAGTGTGTGGTTAACGCGTTTAAGGATAATTCTGTCCTCGAAAAGCAGGGAATAGAAATCGACGAAAGTAGCGTGGATAAAAATCTGTTCCCAAAATCGCTTTTACCAAAAGTGTCCAACAAGATCAAGATCCGGGAAAAAGCGAAGTTCTCTATCGTCCAGCCCCCGGTCCGGTACTTCTTCAAGCTCTTCTGCGACCCGCCGAGCCGGAATATCTCGGACCGGTTTAGATCGCAGATTTTCCCACCCGGCAAGTCAATTTTCGCGGACAAGAAACTCTTCGAGTCGCAGGAGGAAAAGTCCGCGTTTGAGATGGGACAGAAATCCGAATACCACAATTTGCAAGAAATGGACGACATGCTTCTTGAATTTCCGAAGATGAGCAATTCCGTCGGGAAAGCATTTTTGAAAGCACTCGTCTCCACGACGCACGGGCGGGAATTGCTGAGGACTTGGATGCTGCAGATGGTGTACTTGGGGACAGAGAACAGCGAAAAATTGGTGGAGAAGATGCAGAAGACTTTGATTGAATTGGAAATTCCAGACATCGAGGATTTCTTGAATCCAAAGACGTTGAAAACCGCATTCGGATTATACCTAGATCGACAAGTCCGGTCGACGTATTGCAATTACCTCGCTTTCGACGTGTTCCAGCCCCCGGGCGCGAAGTGGGCCGCGATGGCGGCCGCGGCGGCGAAGGATAAAAGTAAGGAAAAGCCTGTATTCAGAGGAAAAGTCCCCCCTCCCCATATCGAAAACGTATGTTTCCGAAAATTTGTCTTGCTGATTTGAGAGCACAAATCACGTCTGTCTTGCAAGAAGACAACTCCACAGGCTCTGCCGCATTATGCGGACGGTTTGTGATGCTGTTGGGCCTACAGCATAGGCGTTTCTCATGCTAAGTGCCTAGGCCAAAACCTCTCTACTCAGGCTTGGCAGGAGCCTGCAGTCCTCTACTGCAAGACACGCCTGATTTGTATACGCAAACCCAGCATCAGAAGCTTCCATTTGATATGGGGAGGGGGGATTTTTCCTTTTGATAGCCGGAGTTCTCCTTCGACGTGACAGGGCAGAAACAACCGCTCATGAAGTTCAACGTGTCCACCATGGCGTGGGACTTGGCCAAGGAGTCACCCGTGGATCAGACCTTCATGGAGTGGCTGATTGAGTTGTTAACGGAAAAAGCGAACACTACCGAGTCGAATTTGTTTGCGGACATTTTACGGTTCGAGCCGGAAGGGAAAGACTTCGTGGTCGCGTGGAAGGACCGACTGCACTGGCAGTTGTTTCAGCAACCCTTTTTGCTACTCGACATGCTGGTGGAAATGCTGTTAGACGACGCCTCCGGCCCGGCTGGGGAGGCGTTAGTGATGATGTTTGGGCACACCGCGAACGGGAAAAAGTTGTTACGGCAGTGGATGCTCGACCTGACCGGCGTGAACACAGACGACGCGGTCACACACGTGCTGAAGTTAACGCCGAAGGAATTGAAAAGGCTGGCGAAAGAGTACAATTACAAATTGACGCATTTGAAGAAAATTGTCTCGCTTCTGCAGGTTCTGGCGACACCGGAAGTGGTTGTGAAGGAGGTGGGGAATGTTGGTGTGAAGGATAATTTTTCATCGGGATCAACATCAAGTGCAGCGAACTTCGGAGAAGCCGGCACGTTGTTGCTGCAAACTGGGGAAAATGGCTTGTTTTCGTCATCGGCAGAGGACCGCGACGAGAGTAAGCCCAAGGAGGAAGCAGGTGTTTCTGACGCTAAGTCGCAAGACCAGCAATCCTCTTCCACGGGCATGTGGTGGCTGCGGAAATTACTGGAGCACGGGAGAGCGCTGATGGGCGGCGGTGGCGGTAGTGGGACAACTTCGAGCGGAGAAGCAGGGGCCGCTGCTTCAGCCCCTGGGCAATCTGTGTCGCTGCTGGACCTGCTAGGAGAAAACGACACAGCGACCGGAGATGAAACCGGAAACGGCACGGCGAATGCAACCAGCGAAGAACAAGCTGGTGAACAAACTTCAGACGTCGAGAATAGCACAACCACCACTGTGCCCCCGTCCGGGAAAGAAAAGCCGCCTACTTACAACATCTCTGTACCGCTGCCGCAATCGAAAGCGAGTGCAAAAAACCCGCAAACTACGACGACCACAACAACTACGACGGTGTCGATCCCTTCAAAATGGCTAAAATTCAACATCACCGGCGCGATCCGTGATCCCGAGTACGTGCAGTCAGTTCTCCGCGCGCAGTTCGGGTTCGACACCCCGCACATCTACGGGTTGCCGATCGTCGGCAGGGACTTCTTGGTCGAGCTCGCCGCGAATTTGACGAAAAAGTACACGAGAAGGGCCAGGTCGTTTTTGAAAGAACTTACTTACCTACCCATCCGCGGCGTCGCGCACCCGCTGCCGGAGGCGAGAGTCTTTTTGGACAAGTGGGGCACGGAATTGCGGAAGATCTTCCTGAAGGACGGCCAGGAGTTCTTGACTCATTTGGTTCAGAACTTCACGACCACCATCCCCTACCCCGAAGAGCCGGACTACAAGTTCGCGAACGAGGGGTGGGTTTTTTTAAACGTTTTCTCCCACACGGAGGCAGGCAAGTTGTTCATGCGGAAATGGACTTTGGATGTCGCGAGGGTGAATAGTTCTGGTGATAACGCGAAATTTTTGAACCACACGATGCAGGGGATTGTGTCTCCGGACTTTGACGAGTCATTTGATGAGATGATGGACTTGATGAAGCAAACGAACGGCGACACGGAACTGTTGATGAACATCTTACCAGATGAAATCGACGGCGTGAAGTTGGAATGGTTTCACGGTGCAGCTGCGAACAAAACGGATAAAGAAGCCACTGCTGGTGGAGATGATGATGTTAAAAATGCGCAAAATTCTGATGAAGAAACGCTCGACCTCTCCTCACTAGAGAAGCGCAGCTCGTCGTCGCATATCAAAATCGAGTCGGATCCGAAGAAGCTTTTGGATTACTTGATGAGCGAGCCGGCGCGGCGAATCCGCGAGAAAAACCACATCCAGAAACCGAACCCTTCGTTAGCGACTGTTCGCCGCGTGACGATCAATTTGGACGGACTGCCGGACAAGGGAAAACTGCCCAAATCCGTGAAATTATTCACCTTCAACATCACGACGGGTCTCAAAGACCCGGAGAGGTTCCCGGAGTTCTCCGCGGCGAGGCGCAAACCGTGGCTGGCGTCTATGGAGTTTTCAAACCTTACATTCTCAACTGTTTACATGAATTTGCGATGCAAAAATAGCAAGAGAGAAAGCAGGAAGATTGCGCCTCTTGCAATACAGGTTTGGCACAGAAGATTTGGATACCGTTTAGCCCTTCGGAAATTTGTCATGCGTAGCAACTTGACGGTGTAGTTGCTGCTGAGAGTTTTGCACGACAAATCATGTAACAGTTGAGAGTGTAACATTTGAGAACGCCATAACTTCCAGACCAAGTTCCGCCGACATGACGTTGGATAGTCCCAAACTCCTAAAAGAACCCAACCGAGCCCTCGCCGGGGCGGAGCTGTTTTCCTTGGCCGATTTGAAGAACGATCTGCTCCCCGAGGGGCAGTTTTTCCTGCGCGATTTCATCCAGAAATGCCTGGCCGTGACGTCGAACACGACGAGATTAGCAGCCAGATATTTCGTCCACCATCTCGGGAACACGGTGCACGGCGACCAGGTGTTGCGGACGTTCGCGAATTACCTGCAGTTCGCGCAAATTCTGGCAGAAAGAGCTTTAATCTTACGCGCGATGGCGCGGATCCGACACCAGATGCACGACATCATGTACAAGATCGCGACGCAGCTCGGGCAAAGCGAAACTGGGAAACAGTTCGTCGAATCGCTTTTCGAAGACGAGCAGGGACGAGAGTTCTTACATAACTGGATCACGGACGTTTTGGCTGGATCGAGAGAGGAAGGCGCGGCGATGCTGCGATGGTTGTTGGAAAAGATCCACACGAAGAAGGACGCGGATGCGGACGTGGGGGATTTGGAGCATTTGGAGGAGGAAGTTCTCGGGATTGACTCCGAGGTGGCACAGACCAACGACCAGAAGAGTCTGGGAAAAAAATCGCGGAACATGATCACCGACATGTATGTGAATTTGACCCAACCGTTTGAAGTTCAGAAGAGGCCGAAGACGGAGTTCAACGTCACGCCGGCTGTCATCCCTGCCATGACAAGCGATATCAACGTCCCCTTGGAGCTATGCATTGCAAAACTATCGTACTAGTATGAATTGGATTACAAATTTGCTCTAGAACAAAAACGCAGTTTGTCATGCTATATCAGGTAAAAAGTTTAGATTTTTGATGCATGACTGCAATTAGTACGAGTACGATACTTTTGCATTGGATAGGAGCCGGGCGATGGGGTTTTGGTGACCGTTGACGCGGCGTTGAAAATCCCAGAGGGGGAGAGTTGCGACGAGTTGCTGAAGTCCCTACAGGAGCAAGCGGATGCGTTAGCCGCGGAGGTGAAGGAAACGGCGGGAGACGGGGTCGAATCGGTCAAAGCGGAGGTTCTAGGGGTGTACTGCGAGGGGGATGTGATCGTGAAGAAGACGAACGGCACCACGACAGCTGGAGAAGTCGGAAATGACACGATTGTCAACGCGACTACATCAGATTCCGAGGACAGCCTGCTGCTCGGAGCAGCGAGGCACATGTTCAAGGCGAGCTTGGACCAGCATGAGGATCCGAATCTTGGCGCGGGCTCAGCGTCCTTACTCCGCAGACGTCGGGACGACGGTGACAGTTCGGGTGACCAGGCGAACGGGCAACTCGCGTTCAGCTTCACCAGTGCGAATGGCTCTTCCACGACGGCCTCAGACATGGAGCACGCAGTGCAGGAAGATATCGAGAACTCCAACGCTTTGTCCTCTATCGGAGTGACAGTGCAAAACACGTCGGTCACCGTCGTCGACATCCAGCTGCACTTCGACTTGTCGGGATTACCACCCTTTCCAGCGAGAAAAATCAAAGTGGGGATCAAGCCGAAATCCAGGCAGAACAAGGTGAAAATCAACCCGCGAAGGCAGTACGACGGGGGGGATTTCGCAATTACGCCAGAGGAAAAAGACGCTGGCAGTTTGAAAATTCTGCCTAAGGAGCAGAAAATCAATGCGGAAATCGTGCCCCAATCAATCGACCGGCAAGTCGCCATCACCGGCTCTTCGACCGACACGCGACTCGGTTTCACGCCGAAAAAGCAGGACGCGGGGGACTTTTCAATCGGCCCGGGAAGCTTTGACATCGACGCCAAGGTTTTGCCCGGGAAATCCGAGCCGATCATCGCGAATCTGACCGGGGAAACGGCAAAAGTGAGCGTTCCTCTCACCCCTGGTACATCAGCCCCCGTCACAGCGGACATCGTTCCGGGGACTCTGGACGCGGGCGACTTCGTTTTGACGCCTGATGGGCCGAAGTTGAGGATCAACGCGACGAGCAGAACGTCTGACCCGATGAAAGCGAATTTCACGCGGAATGTTTTCGTCACGGGGTTGAACATCACGGCCGGGACGTCCAACCCCGCGATCATGAAAATCACGGCGGATGAAATGGAGCAGGGGTTTAAAGTTTTAGCGGACGGGACTATGACAGTGCACAACTCCCACTCCCCCTCATTTGTATAGCATGAACGGCAATACAAGCATCAGCAAGAGTGCCGGTCTTGCATGACAGATTTACACTGGAGTGTAGTGCTATTTGGGCTACCAGAACTTGTCATGCAAACAGTGCCAAGAGGCACAGCTTGGATTTGAAGTTTTGCATTACAAATGAAGGGGAGGGGGAGTTGTGCACTCTATAGGGACCAAGATCAAACTAGAAGCGAACGCGGACGTCAGTGACCCGATCACCGCGAATTTGACAGCGAACAAGACAGCAACAAACCTGAACGCGACCCACGGGCCGAGCTCGGCCGCAGAATACGTCACCGCGGGAATCTTAGCGGGGTCGGAGTCCAGCGGCTTCCGTGTGGTCCCGGTGAATCAGCCGTCGATCAAGATCGACGCAATACCAACGAAGTTGCCACCTTTCTTCACAAATATCACCGAGGGGTCGCAAAACGTGAGTTTGAACGCGACCCACGGGCCGGCGGATGCTGGGGAGTTCTGGAAAACGGAAATTCTCGCGGGGAAGAAAGACAGTGGATTTCAACTGTTACCCAACGGGACAAAAGTTCAGGTTTCTGCGCTGCCAAGTAAAATGCCCGCGATCACAACCGGGATTCTCCCCGGGACCGAGTCCGCGACGGTAAACGCGGTGCACGGGCCGGTGGCGGGGAAGGAACTCGTGAAAGCGGACATCATTGCAGGAACGAGTGGATCTAAAATGAATGTCCTCCCCGGAGGGGAAAACATCACGGTGAAAGCGGTTCCGGGACAATCTCCGCCGATCAACGCGGCGGTTACCCCGGGAACAGAAACGATGAAGCTCAAAGCCGTGCACGGCCCGTCTTCCGCTGGAGACGTGCTGAAAACAAACGTCACAGCGGGAACGAAGGTTCTGGTCAGCGGTGGTGGCGGTAAAAATTCTGGGGATGGTGAGTTGATGAACCCGGGAGATATTAAACAAGGCGAAGATGTTGATCCTGCAAGTGTTTTCTTCAAGAAGCACCAGGGCGGCGAAGAACAAGATCCGCTTGGCGCGGAAAGCGGTTTTAGGATCACTCCGGACGGTATAAATTGCAAAAATGTCTGGGTCTGGAAGATTGCTGAGGTTTGTCATGCTGTGGCTGTTTGACACAGAAGGTGTGCCATGCAAGGCCTCGCGTCGCAGGTTTTGAGACGGTTTCCCAATGCCTAATCCGCATGACAAACACCTTCTTTCGGCGACAGGACAAAGAGCTCCTTTTGCTATCCAAGCATGGCAGATTTTTGTGTGATCTAAGTACGCATCACAAGTTCGCATCCTTCCAGACCCAGATACTTTTGCATTTGATAGACGGCACCAAAGTGTTCTTCAATGCCACCGCGAAGTCCTTCCAACCGGTCACGACGGAAATTACCGAGGGGACTCAAAATTTCTCCATGGACGCAACCCACGGCCCGGTTCCCGGGAAAGAACTTGTGAAGACGCAAATCACCGAAGGAGTAAAAGAGATCAACGTGACGGCGAAAGCGGGGAAAGTCGCGGATTTGTACGTCAATGCCACCGCGGATTCTACCAAAGTCAAGCTCGATACCACGCCGACAACCTATGACAAGCAAACGGTGGAAGTGAATCAACCCTGGTCGAAGACGATTCAGATCCAACCGCGGTCGGAGCAGTACAAGTTCAACATCCCGGGCACGTCGGTGACTTATCCAAACATATCGATCTCTGCCGCGAATTCGACCAGGCAGTTTGAACTGACGGGAGATTCTGTCACGACGAAAACCAGGTTGGAGACTTCTGAGGAAAAAACACAATTCAATTTGAAAGCGGAGAAGAAACAATTCAACTTCAACATCGAGTCCGATCCAGCTCTGTCCCCGAAGTTACGAGTGGACGTTCTGCCTTTATCCAAAACCGTCGCTTCGGAGTTATGGCGTTCTCAAACGTTACGCTCTCAACTGTTACATGATTTGCCATGCACAATTACCATGAGCCACGGCCACCAGGCGATCAAGCTACGTCGCATGACAAATTCCCGAAGGGCTAAGCAGCGCCTAAAGCTGTGCCAAATTTGTGATGCGAGAGCTGCAAGCTTGTCCCTTTGTTCACTGTTGCGGTTCTTGCATCAGAAATCCATGTAACAGTTGAGAATGCAACAGCTGAGAACGCCATAGGAGTTGAAAGGGGAGACCACGACGGAGAAATTACAAATTGCCCCCGCGGAGAAACAATTGTCCGTCGGCGTGGAATATCAACTGCAAAAATGTCTGGGTCTGGAAACTTGTAATGCTGCGCTGGGAATAGTGAATGCTCTGTATCTGTAATGCACAGCCAAGCATGTTGAGAAATATCTGCCCTTTTTTGTGTTGCGTTTTTCGCATGACAAACTGCGTTTTTCCATGACAGGCAAAAGGGTCTCTTCTGGGACACGCATCACAAACTTTTTGGCCATGCCAGACAAACATGACAAATCTCGCAATCTTCCAGACCCAGACATTTTTGCATTTGATATGGAAGGCGGCAAGAGACTGGAAGTGAAAATCACACCAGACAACGAGCAAGGTGGTGCACAAACACCCTCGAGAGTGAAGTTCCAAGTCTTACCCGCCGTGAGTGAGCAAGTTCCAGTCACTTTGACCGCGGAGGGTAGAGGGACGACGAAGTTTTCCCTCACGCCGCAAAAGATGCCGAGTGATTTCGTGTTCAAAATCACCAGGGGGACGAAAAAACTGTCGTTTGACTTGAAGGACAAGCACGCGGACACGACTTTTGAGGTCAAAGTAAAGCCGTTGGAGAACGAATTTTCTCTGTCCATCACGGGGATGCCGATCGCGCAGGGGTCGGAGGTCATTGTCAAATCGGTGATGGCACTGGTGAAGCCGGAGGGCATGACCTGCGACCAGTTGGAGGCGAGTCTGAGAAACGAGGAAACCATGGACCAATTCGCCTCCGACGTGCAGCAGGCGGCGCTGAAAGCGGGGTCGCGGATCGACGTCGTGGCGGAAATAGCGTTGAAAACTTGCAAAGATGAGTCGGTGCAGGATTTGGGTGCGATTGCTTTGCTTTCGAGGGCGGGAAGTTACTTGATGAGCGGGCTTGTTCAAGAAGGCCAAGCTGGTGCGCAAGAACAACGACATCAAAGTCTTCTAGGTGGAACTAGTGAAAGCGAAGAGATGAACCACGATAAGCAAAGTAAATCTAAGTCCTACCAAGACCCCGGAGAAGAGGGTACCACCACCGCAGAATTTGACTACTACATCGTGCCCGCGACGGACGACGCGGTGGTGACCACGGAAGGTCTCGAAACCGCGGTGAAAGCTGGGTCGGAGGCTGGTGATATCAAATGCAAAAATGTCTGGGTCTGGAAGATTCCGAGACTTGCCATGCTAGTCTGGTATGACTCTGAGATCTGTATTGCGTGGCCGCGAAGAGCTCCTCTTGCCTGTCATGCAAAAATGCAGTTTCTCATGCGGCGTACGCAACTCAGAACCACGGAAAAACTTGGCATGCTGTGCTGCGCATTTCAGTGTGCTCACTATACTCTTTCTTGCATCACAAATTTCCGGACCCAGACGTATCTGCATTTGATAGGTGAGGGCTTGCAGCAACTCGGCGTGTTGTCCGGAGAACAGCTCGGGTCGGAATTGGTGTTGAAACCGCCGTATCCTGTGCAAAAGTATCGTACTAGTAGTAATCGCAGTCATGCGTTACAAATTCTCTTCTTTAGGTAAACCAGCATTAGAAATTTTATTTCTCACGGTGAGAAAATTTGTAATGCGATTTATACTAGTACGACTACGATGCTTTTGCACAGGATACGCCTCGAGATCCTGCGGAAGAGGAGGAAAAGGATTGGACCAATCATCTTGGCAGAAAGTTGTCCTGCAAGAAAGCTCTGCGAGAGGCCCGGAAGAACACGCCGATAAAAGACATGAGCAAAGTTGTTACTGTGCCGCAAAAACCCCCGACGGGAGGAGGTGAGCTGCAAACAGCGCCGTTTTTGACAGATGCGGAGAAAAAATTGTTATCTGAAAAGATCAAAGCCGCGGTGGCGGCGAGTCAGCAAGAACAATTGATCAAGGAAATGAAGAAAGACCTGCAAAACCAAGACTCCGTCGTTGGAAAGGCGTTTTCAAAGTGGAAAGCGGCTGGCGGCGATGTGTCAGTTGAGGGGAAAACGCTGTTCCTGCAGCGGATGGTCGAGATGAAGCGCCACAGCCGTGGCAGTCGTGTTTTCTCCGATGAGGACATGACTTTCTCTTTCACCCCGCCGCTGCGCACGGCTGTTGGAACGCTGATTACGTTTGAAGAGGTGCCGGATGAAAGGGATTTGAGCGGTTCTGCAGGTAGGGATTTAAGCGTCGATTCTACTGCCAGCCCCGATAGTACTCAAAAAGACGACGAGCTCTCTATGCAGCAGCGGAAACAGCAGCAACTGCAATACCTCGAGTCGCAACAGGAAAGCAGGGAGACGGTGGTGCAAAAAGTGGGGAACTTGCACCTAGAAAAGCAACTCGAAGCCGAATTACAAGATCGGATGCAGATTTTCAGTGATTGCATGCAGCTGGAGATGCAACTGGCATCCGTTCCTAATTCGAAAGAAGTACAGGGGGATGAAAATAAACCTGCGGGTGGAAAAGGAAAACAAGATCAAGAAAAAGACCCGTCTAGTACTTCATCTTCGCCATTATCCTCACTCTCCAGCATGGCTGATTTCCTCCTTTCCACACTGGAAACCAGAAATAGGGCGACTTCAACCGACGATGGCACGACCGGAGATAATACAACTACAACCGAAGGAGAGGAACAAATCGGCACCACCCCTACTGACGAGGAAACCAAGGCCTCGGCTTTCCAACCTGGAGCAGAGACCACTACCCCCGAACCGCCGCCGACCACATTAGGTCCCAAGTCCACCAAGACCTTCAACGTCGCGGTGACGCAGCCGGACCGATTTTATTCCCTGAAAGTCCCCACCGGACCGAAGAAGCACCACAAGGACTTCATCATCCCGATGCCGAAGGAAGTCACAGAAATCCGGTTTTTCAACGTGACAGCGAACAACTTCTCCAATAACACGCTGAGAATCACCCCCGGGCAGTTCAAGCACGCGATCGACATCGACACGAGCTACCTGGTATCAAGTGCAAATATGTCTGGGTCTGGAAGATTCCGAGGTTTGTGATGCAGTTTATCCAAGCTCCACCAAGTCTGCAATGCAGGGTCTAGCATCACAGGATCTGCAGCCCCTTGGTGATGCCTGTTCTGCATGACAAATGCCCTCTCAGCATGGCCAGAAATGGGCACCTTTTGCAAGTCGCGCAACACAGATTTTTGTACGATCCGCAACATGCATCACAAGTTCGAAACCTTCCAGGCCCAGACATATTTGCAATGCATACCTAGATATGGATGACGTGATCAAGAAGTTGTTCACCAAAATCTACTATCAACTGCAAAAATGTCTGGGTCTGGAAACTTGTGATGCTGGGTGGCGTATCACGATGAGGCTACGAATGCTGGCTCAGCATGACAAGTTTCTGAGCTCCCAGGTGTTGTATATTCTGCATGACAAACTGCGCTTTTGCATCACAGAAAAACGGAGCTCTTGGGTAACGTGCATGACAGATTTAAGAGTCATGCCAGACAAGCATGACAAGCATGAATTTTTCCAGACCCAGAATTTTTTGCATTTCATATCTACGCAAAAACCATGGACGCCGGGGTTTTCAATTTGACGAAGAAAGTCGAAGCGACGATGGAAACGGTTTTTTCGCCCGAGTCTTTTGACTTTGTCACAAATCTCACCGACGTTTTCGGCTACCGGATCAAGGTCCAGGTGGCGGGGATTTTGAATAAGGTGGACAAGCAGCCACTGAAATTCAAGATTCTGGACAAATCTTCGTTCTACGGGACTCAATCCCACAAATTCAAAATCACGCCTGTGAATCAGAAGCAAGACTTCAACGTCACGACGCACATTTGGAGTGGGAAGAAATCCTTCGACACGAACGTGACCACGAATATCTTCAACGGGAACAAAAGTTTTGACGTCAACGTGACACTATGGATTGCAAAAATGTCTGGGTTTGGAAGAGTCGGGACTTGTCATGCACATTTTGCATGACCCGTGAGGTCTGTGATGCTGGTGCTAGCGCCACAGATTTTTTGAGAGCTTCTTGATGCTAATTACGCATGAGAAATTCCCTCTCCGCGTGCCAAGAACTGACTCCTCTTGCTGCTCATGCAACACAGATATTTTTAGAATCCGCAGACAGCATTACAAGTTGCATTCTTCCAGACCCAGACATTTTTACATTTGATAGACACCGTATTACGATGATACGTTCACCGGGACGAAGGAGATGGATTTCAACGTGAATGGGTCTCACAAGTACGGGTTCGGCGTCTACCCGGATGGGGGAGGGCCGCGGCCAGATGACGATAGCTACTTCGGGTTCGGGTTCGGCGGGGATAGCGCGGAGGGGGAGAGAAGGCTGGGGAAATTCTGCAAGAAGCTCTCCTTCGACATTGGCGGGGATTTGACGAAGCAAAAGCACGAGTTCGCAATCCAGTTCCCACAGAGAACAACCCTGAAAACGCAGTTAACGCCCACCACGAAGACGTTTTTGATCCCGCCAATCATCCCCGCACACCGGTCCGCCAAAGTCGGGGATGAGATCGAATTGGTAGTCCGAGCGACGTTGCTGGTTCCGACAAGCGAGGAGTGTTCGGAGTTCGGGAAAAGGGTAAAGAAACTCTTGCCGGAGATCTCCGAGAAAATCCAAGCAGCCGTCGATTTCGGCACGGACACCGGGGAGTTCCGGATCGCGGGGGACGTCACGACTCTGTGTCCCAGCAGTATCGTAGGAAAAAAGTGTTTGCGTTACAGTTACACACATAGTATATGCAGGCCAAGCACTACAGAGAAGCTCTGTCATGCCGGATATGCATATGAGCCTTGCTTCCTACTCCTACAGGTTTTCCCATAGGATTTCTGCATTGCAAGCTTTCTCTCTCATGCAGAGACATTTGTGTTGCTGAATTGACAACAAATGTGTAACTGTCTAACACTTTTTTCCTTCGATAAGTAGCTTCGCGAATCTGTTGGAGATCCACTCGAGAGCAACATCTACTTCGGGAGCCGCGTATCAACTGTAAAAATGTCTGGGTCTGGGAACTTGTGATGCTGGGTGGCGTCTCATGATGAGGCTACAAATGCTGGCGCAGCGTGACAAGTTTCTGAGCTCCTAGGTGTTGCCTATTCTGCATGACAAACTGCGCTTCTGCATCACAGAAAAGCGGAGCTCTTGGGTAACGTGCATGACAGATTTAAGAGTCATGCCAGACAAGCATGACAAACGTGAATTCTTCCAGACCCAGACACTTTTACATTTGATACCGCGGCAGCATCTAGTGCTTCGGGAGGAGGAGGAGGAGGCTCATCATCTTCTGCCGTTATTTCTACTTCGGAGAAGAACGAAAATGTTGAGAAAGAACCCGAAACCCTGATCGCCGAGTACACCTTTACGGCGAATCCGGGCGAAAACGCGAAGGCGGCTGGGACGGAATTCTCTACGGTCGATTTGGAAAATTCCGTGAAGTCTGGGTTCCAGAACGCGAAGACTTTTGAAGAGGACTTGGGGACGACGATCACCAGCATGGAAGTCTCCGCTAAAGTTCACTATCAAATAATGCAAATATGTCTGGGTCTGGAAACTTGTGATGCAAGAAAGGGAATAGTGAACTCACTATAATGCGCTGCCAAGCATGACAAGTTTTTTCCATGGTTCTGAGTTGCGTACTCCGCATGAGAAACTGCGGTTTTGCATGACAGGGAGGCGGAGCTCTTCGCGGCCATGCAACACAGATTCCCGAGTCATGCCAGACAAGCATGACAAACTTGCATTCTTGCAGACCCAGACATTTTTACATTTGATATTCACTCCCAAGAGACGAAAGTTCGCGAGGAGCTTTCCGTTTCCATCACGGGGGACAATTTGTTCCCAACGACAGCTGCACCTCCGCCGGTCGTGGTGGAACAGACGAACGGAACCACTCCTGCGCCACTGGACACTGATTCGCAGAAAATGATGAAGGAGCTGAAGTTCCAAATCAGCGGCGGGGTGGACGAGCAAACGGCGGACAAGTTTGTGAAGGATTTGGTGAAAAACATCACGTCCGCAAAGTCGCCAAAAGTGTTTCGCACCGGGGAGAATTTCGTCTGTGAATACCTGAAAGTGGATTTGACACCCGGGAAGGAAGCGAAGTTCTCGATGGCCATGGCGGTGGAGAAGGTGAAATTTGAGTCCACGGTGCATGTATGCATTGCAAATATGTCTGGGTCTGGAAGACAGTAACTTGTGATGCTAAATCTGCATCATGCTAAGATCTGTGTTGCATAAGTGCCAAAAGCTTTCCACTTTCGACCAAGTTGGGAGCGGGTTTCTCATGCAGGACAGGCATGACAGAGACCTCGCAGAGTTTGTCATGCTAGACCCCGCATTTTTCCAGACCTCATGGCTCATAGAAAACCTGCATGACAAGTCTGGCATTCTTCCAGACCCAGACACATTTGCAATGCATAGCATGCGAGCCTCGAAATCCCGGTTGGGCAGACCTGTAGCGACGCCTTGGAGCAAGTCTCGAAGGAGGAGCTGGTGCAGGACATCCAGAAAGCAACCTTGTTGACGAAATCACAAATCGTCATCGAGCAATTGACCTGCCTCGGTGGGCCGTCGTTTTTGCAAACAAGTGAGGTTCCCGTCGGCTTAATTTGGTTGTTCGAGGACGAACGAAAGACGGCGGACGCGATCGTACGGGTAAGAGATCAGAAAAAAACTCAAGACACGACGGAATTCCCCGTGTTGCTAGCGTTGAAGGGGGAGGTTGCAATTCTCTCCGCGGATGAGGAGCAGTGCGTGGAGAACTTGAAGCACGGAATTCCGAACGCATTGAAAACGGGAAAGGCTTTGCAGGGGATTTCGGCGACGGCTACCGAGGTGGAAACAGAGGCGAGCATTACAGGACGATCTGGTCTTCCAGCAACTTCTGAGGCGAACGAGGGCCTGGGGGAGGTGAAAGAGATCAAGGATGAGGGGGAAGGTGGAGAAGGAGATGGTGGTGCAGGTAGTTCTGGGTCCTCTGGGATGAATCAAACCGGTGGAGGTCAGAGCTTCGGCGGTGAGGAAGGTGGGAATAAAACTACCGCCAAGGTAAACAAAACCCTCGAAGTTGGAGTATCTTCTGGTGGAAAAAATAACGCAACTACAGAAAGTGAGAACCAAATCAACGCCACAGAGTCAAACGAGACAACTACGGCTGCACCATTTTTGAACGAAACTTCTAACCAGAGCATCACCACAGCAGCCCCGACAACCGAGGATGAAAATAACGCCACACTCGCCCCCGAAGAAGACAAAGAAACCAGTACAATTCCGCCAGAGTACCGACAGAGCGGCACCGGGGAGGCGCGGATTGGTGCGACCGTTACGCTAGCAGTGTACTTACCGGAGGGAACGGAATGCGACATGATTGCGCCGTCGTTGAGCAAGGAGAAACTGAGCAACGATGTGGAGGCAAAGCTTCCGGATGAGCTGACAGTCACGTCGGACAAACTCGAAGTGAATGTCGTGGTGAAGGAATTGTCTTGTCTCGTCGCCGCAGCTGCTGGTACTAACGGCGCCGCTTTTCTGCAGACTAGCACCAACCAAGCCGCCAATGCCAGAGACGATATCACCGTGACCACCGAGTCCGACGGCTTCGCGACGCTCCTGCTCGACAGCGAAATGTCAGCCTCCGGGGCGGTATCAAATGCAAAAATGTCTGGGTCAGGAAGATTTCTACATTTGTCATGCATATGTTCCATGAGCCATGATGTCTGTGATGCATGCCGTAGCATCACAGATTTTTAGAGGGCTTTGTGATACCTCTACCGCATGAGAAATGCCCACTCCACGCAGGACAAACCCGACCCCTCTTGCTGGTCATGCAATGCAAATTTTTTTAGAATCCACAGACAGCATCACAAGTTGTGACCTTCCAGACCCAGACACTTTTGCATTTGATAGGCGGACATCGCGACGAAAAAGATCGACGACTTGAAGCTCAACTTCGCATACCAAATGTAAAAATGTCTGGGTCTGGTGGAAGAATGCAACTTGTCATGCCAAATCTGAATCAGGCAAAAAACTGTGTTGCATGATTGCCAAAAGTTGTGCACTTTTGACCTAATCGAGAGGCAATTTCTCATGCAGGATAGGCATGATAGAACTCTCACAGGATCTGTCATGCTATGTCCTACATGCCAGACCTCATGGGTTATGGAAAACCTGCATGACAAGTCTGGCAATCTTCCAGACCCAGACACTTTTGCAATCCATATCGCAGAAGCGCTAACCGCGGCCCTGCCCGAGGCGTCGGCTTTTATTGACTTCGGCGCCCAAGTCCTCGCTTTTGAGGTGAGCACGAAGATCAACCGGGAGGGCGGCGCGGTGATCAACGACGTCACGAAAGACGATAAAACGACTACACAGTTTGGGCCGCAGGGGTTGCTGGAGGGAGATAAGTCTGTGGAGATCACTATTGACACCGACAAATACTCGACCACGTTCAAATCACCCTCCTCGGGAAAAGGGCCGTGGAAGAAATTGAACTTCACGATGGAGATCCCCGGAATGAATGGCGTGAACGTTTCCTTGCAGTACCCAGAAGGACAAGACGGCTTCGGCGAAGAGGATTTGGTCGACCAGCCAGAGCCGGTGACGTTTGACTTCAACGTGCACAAGGTCAACGAAACCCACCCCCTTTTCTTCAACGTGACAAGGTTAGATCAGAGCTTTTTCTTGAAGAACATGGTGAACTTGCTCAACAAGATGGTCGGGTATCATCGAGACACGAGGAAAGCGAAGTTAAAAGAAGAAAGGGATAATGTCGAGCAGAAAAAACTGCTGGAGCAAAGCAGAACGAGCATAAAAACAGCACGGAGTTCCACCTCTGGTAGTCGTGATTCGGCGCACCAAGACACCGAAGATGAAGATTTCGGCCACATCCTGGACCTAGATGCGGACGACGAACTCGCTGCCAACGTCGGCCTCGCGGACCGCCGCGACGCTTTGGTTCGGAACGCGAACAAGCTGTTGCGGCGGAAATTAAATCTCAAAGGAGAAAAGGGGAAGCTTGCTTTTCAGAAGTTGACGAAAGGGGACATTGACGACTTGGAGGATCACGCAAAGTGGCTGAAAGAGTTGACAAACCGGACTTTTGAAGAATATTTGACCCGGTGGCGGGAAAGGCAAGAGGCGTTGCGGCGGCAGCGACTCGCCGGGCAACGGGCGGAACAGGCGGAGAAGGAGCGGCTGCGGCGGCTGGAGGAGGCGGAGAAGGACGAGAAGCAGGGGGCGAGGGATCTGATCACGCAGATCAAGATCTACCTGGACATGATCCACGAGTTCGAGATAAAATACCACTTAACGCCGGACAAGTGGTCGCAGATCAACGAACAGCAGGAGATCGCACAGGTGGAGGAGGACGGGAAAGTGGTCGAGGCGGCAAAGAAGTTGGCCGAGGACTTGGCGTATCAAATGCAAATATGTCTGCGTCTGGAAGATTCTAAACTTGTGATGCTGTGTCTGGATTCTAAAAAAATTTGTATTGCATGACCAGCAAGAGGACTCCAGTTTGTGCTACTCGGAGAGGACATTTCTCATGCGGTAGAGGCATCACAAAGCCGTCGAAAAATCTGTGATGCTAGAGCATGCATCACAGACATCATGTGTCATTCAAAATATGCATGAAAAACCTGGCAATCTTCCAGACCCAGACATTTTTGCAGTTGATACGGCGCGGGAGTTGCAGCACCTGAAAATCGTCGGGGAATTGGTCGCGCCGCCACTGTCGAAGACCACGTTGTTTGTGAACATCAGCATATGCAAGAAAAAAACTGTGTAAGTGTAAATCTGTGACGCAGAAAATGCAAAACAGTTATACTTGTCATGCTGGAAGAGCGTCATAAGCTACTATCTTACGTGTTTCCACTTACTAGCTGCGCATGACAGGTTTTCCCTGTAATGCAAAGCGAATTTGTGATGCTGCTCTTCCTACAAAGTTACACTTACACAGTTTTTTTCTTGGATACAGCACCGATGGATCCACTTTCGGGCCCGGGGACGCGGAAAAAAGGGTGCAGGAAAAAGCGAAGGAAAAGCGGAAAAAAATGTTCTCCCGACTCTGGTCGGCCGAGAAAGCGGACCGGAACTCCCCGTACACGTGCGACCCGGGATTCGGACCGGTGGTCAGTCCCTCCGTGCCGATAAAGCAGATTGAATGCCTGCCCTGTCCGAGGGGGACGTACTCGCCCAAGGGGGTCGTGTGCCGGCCCTGTCCGGCGAACACGATGTCGCCCGCGGCTGCCACGCGGATAACGGACTGCCTCGGGAACTGTCCGAAGGGGTATGGATGGGAAAATCGCAGGTGCAGAAAATGCGACAAGCTGAAGGAGTTCGCCGCGAGTCCGAGTTCCCCCTGCGTGAAATGCCCCACGGGGACGGTATGAGAGTGCACAACTCCCGCCCCTCCCCCTCATTTGTAATGCAAAATACCAAACTCGCACCTTGCTCGTAAGCACTGCTAGCATGACAAATTTTGGAACCTCAAATAGTAATACAATCTGCACGCTGATTTGTCATGGGAAAGCCCCTTTTTTGCTGTTGCTTGTGTTGCTGTATATGCCATACAAATAAGGGGGAGGGATTGTTGTGCACTCTCATAGACGGAAGTCGTGGATGTGAACGACAAGAAGTGTCAATCTCCGCCGGGTTTGATGGAAGGCACTACGAATGCAGATCCGGGAAAAGTCGAACCCTGGAAGCTGTTTTGCTCCCCGAAATGCCCTATCAAATGCAAAAGTGTCTGGGTCTGGAAGAGTGTGAACTTGTCACGCAGGTTTTCCATGACTCTTGAGGTCTGGAATGCGTGACCTAGCATGACAGAGTCTGTGAGGTCTCCTTCATGCCTATTCTGCATGAGAAACTGCCTCTATCTAAAATTGTTCAAAAGTGGACCTCTTTTGGTAATCATGCAACACAGATTTTTGCATGATTCGGATTTAGTATGACAAGTTGCAATCTTCCAGACCCAGACACTTTTGCAATCCATATGCCTGCCCGGGCAGGAGTGGTCCGACGAGGGTGGCTGCATTGACTGCCCGCTGGGATCTATCGCAAGAAAAAACTGTTTCACTGTGAACTTGTGATGAATAGAATGGAAGACAGAACTATTTGTCTTGCCACACCTGCAAGACCTCGACTCTTTAGCGGTGTTTTCCCTTTGGAAGCGCGCATGGCAAATTATCTGTGTCATGTGTAACAAACTTGTGATGCAGATCTTGCAAGATCATCACCGCTGTGAGACAGTTTTTTCGTGGGATAGGATCTTTTTCCCCGGAGGGGCAGAAGTGCCGGAAGTGCTTTCCGGAGTACACGACGCGGTATCCGGCAAGCATCATGATCGACGACTGCATTCCGGAATGCAAAGCGGGCTACTCCTGGGGACCAAACGTGAAAACCGGCGCGCTGGGGTGTAAGATCTGCCCCCGGGGCACGTTCACCACGCCCTCGCAGATCGCGACGAGTTTGAACTTTACGGCGAAGAGATTGGACTGCGACTTCTGTCCCGAGGGCAAATCGACCTTCCGCGAGGGTGCGACCAGCCGGTTCGAGTGCATCGAGCCGGCGGTTTCCGACATTCTAATCCGCGTCCGGCCGAATGAACCGGAGAAGTACGATAAGAAAGCGCTGACTCTTTTGAACGACATTGTTCTGAAGATGGTGAACGACAAAATCGGCGGGGCGACTCTTGAAGCCTACAACATCACGGCAGAGACAACCCTGACAAAACCGACCGGGGGTTTCATGCTACTGCAATCCAACGGTAAAATCGAGGAGCAGTACGTCGCGAATGCGGAAGATCAGCAGTACGCGGAAGTGAGGTTGAAAATCGCAGAAATTTTCCCATCGTACGAGGAAGCGGCGAACTTGACGACAACCCCAAAACCGGACCGAACCCAAAAACCCTTCGACGCGCGGGGCATGTGGGACGTTCTGAAGAAGGACGAATCGTTGAAAGCGGTCACCAGACTGTTCTTCAAAGCGATCGAGGTGACCTGCAAACCCGGGTTCGGCTTCAAGCCGAATGTGACTGACGACGCGATTTGCTACCCGTGCCCCGTCGGGTTTTTCGGTTTGGGGGGCATCGATCCGGAGTGCGAGCGGTGCGAAAAAGGGTGGTCCAGTTCTCCCGGGTCCACGGAGTGCTTTCCGGTCAACTGCATGCCGGGCGAGGGGCTGTTCAGACAAGCGAAAAAGTGCGAAATCTGTCCGCCGGACTTCTTCGGGAGCGGGAAGGATCAGCCGTGTTTGCCGTGTCCGAACGAGAACACACACAGCGCTGCTGGGTCACCTGATTTATCCAGCTGCAAGGCGAATTGCAAGTGGGGGGAAGGGTTCTTCGGAGGGAACAAGTGCATGCAGTGTCCGGCGAACAGCTTCTCCGCCGGCGGCTCCGATTCTTGCACCGTGTGCCCGGCCGGAACGGGCACGGGACCCATTTTGCCGCATGTCGTTCCCTGGACGTTAGACGATCCCGACGGGAAGAAAGCGATCATCACCGGGTTCTGGCAGAAGACCCAGTGCGGGCTGTGCAAAAACGACGTGCACTGCAACGGCGCGGGAATCGCCTCGGGGAACAGCTGGGACACCGAGAAGGGCGGGTGTCGGTGCGACTGCAATCCTGGGTATGCCGTATCAAATGTAAAAATGTCTGGGTCTGGAAACTTGTGATGCTGTGTGGCGTATCATGAGGAGGCCACAATTGCTGGCTCAGCATGACAGGTTTCTGAGCTTCTAGGTGTTGCCTATTCTGCATGACAAACTACGTTTCTGCATGACAGAAAAGTGGGGCTCTTTGGTAATGTGCATGACAGATTTAAGAGTCATGCCAGAGAAGCATGACAAACTTGCATTCTTCCAGACCCACACATTTTTACATTTGATATGCCGGACCGAGTTGCAACTACTGCGCGGAAAACTACGCCCGGGACGAACGGACAAACAAGTGCAGGTCTTTATCAAAAGGAAAAATCCCCCCTCCCCATATCGAACGGGTACGCTTCCGGAAATTTGTGTTGCTGATTTGAGGTCACAAATCGCGTTTGTCTTGCAAGAAGACAAGGGCAGAAGCTTCCGCCCCATTATGGAAGCGATTTGTCATGCTGTTAGGCCTAAAGGGGAGCCGTTTGCCATGCTGAACAACTAGACCCATACGCCCCTACCTGGGGGCGTATCTGGCCGCAATGCCTCTCTGTAATACAGACCTGAATCGTGTACGCAAATCCAGCATAAGAAACTTCGTTTCGATAGGGGGAGGGGGGATTTTTCATTCTCATAGTCTTTGGTCACCGAAAAGTGCCCGGACGCGGCGTTTCTGTGCAACGGCAGGGGGCAGCTCGTGAACCTGTTCGAAGATGAGATGACGAAGATCTGCGAGTGCGTCTGCGATTCCGACGTGTACGACAGGCGGAACAACTGCCAAACGTGCTCCGCCAGTCGCTTATTGGACCCGCAGTCCCAGTGCGAGCGGTGTTACCAAATGCAAAAATGTCTGGGTCTGGAAGAATCCGAACTTGTGATGCTGCATTTGGATTCCAAAAAAATCTGTATTTCATGACCAGCAAATAAGGGAATGCAATTTTGGCAACGCGGAGAGGGCATTTGTCATGCGGAATAGGTATCGCGAAGCCCTCAAAAAGTCTGTGATGCTAGGGCATGCATCACAGACATCATGGCCCAGGCAAAACGTGCATGACAAGTCTCAGAATCTTCGTACACCCAGACATTTTTGCATTTGATAGGTGTTTAGACGACGACTTCGACCCATTGACGAACTGCAAGGAGCGGAAATCCTGCATGCAGACCAACACGTGCGTCGCGCCGCCGGTGTTTTTGTCTCCCTTCTTCTGTCCCGCGGGGTGGCAACCGGTGAGGGAGGAAGAAAAATGCAGGGAGATCGCGAGTTCCTTACCGACTTGCGGGAAGGAGTTGGTGGAAAGACGATCCACACTCTACGCCCCCTCGGACAACTACATGACCATCATGCAGAACGCGACCTGCTCCTTCCTCTGCGCCCAGGACCCCGCGACCTGCGGCGAGCTCTGGGCCTCGGGCACGTCTCTGTCCGCCGTGGCGCCCGACGCGATGGCCGCGGTGAACGCCCCGGCCGGGTATGTGGAGCAGGTGAAGCACCGATTACAACAGAAAGAGCAGGGTCTGGACGAAAACTCATTAACTTTCACCGGCGGAAATCTAGGCCTCCAAATGCCAAAAGCGTGTTACTTCGTGCATTGGGAGGAGGAGAATTCCGTCGCGGTGGTATTCAACGATTTGGTGAAAAAGAAGTACGACATGAAAGTTTACCCCGAAACAAAAACCGCTGCGCTCACCATTCGCGAGATGCCAAAGGCGCAAATCGGATTGCCGAAATTTGACGACTTGAAGAAACACGACCCGAAACTGACGACCCCGATAATTTCAGCGAATAAGCAGGAATTCAAATTCGATTTGACCGACCCGCAGTGGCAGTGGAGAGATAAAACGTCGAAATTCAACATTTTGCCGCAATTTTCGGGCACGAAAAATTTGAAATTCGACGTCGAGACGTCCGATTTAGCGCCAGAAAGTGTACTGTTCAAGAAGAAGACTTCAGTGGAGGAGGAAACCAATTACCGGGAAGGAAAAACAGAAGAGAAAAAGCAGCGCGACTACTTGTTCAACGTAAAGGACGCGAAGGGGGAGGAAAATGACTACGCGATACGACAACGGGCTTTGCGGTTCGACGCCGTGCGGCCGGTTTCAACCTCGATGGAATTCGAGTTAGAGCATGAGAAGGATAGTATTAGCACAACTGTAGGACGAGATGTTGATCCCGGTGTTGAGACCACTAATTCGAGGCTGTTGGAAAAGATCGAAAAGAACGAAAATCTCAACGCCGAAGGGAAGGCGGACATCACCTTTTTCACTAAAGCGAAGGACTTCTTCCACCGGGTGAAAAAGTTGACGTTTGGAAACTTGTGGAAAGAGGAAAAAGCGAAGGAAAAGGCGAAAGAGCAGCAAGTGAAAACCAAGAAGAAGAACCTTCCCCCTGCACTGGACCACAAAGCGGGTGGAAAAAGTGGCACAGTGGAAGCTTTGGCGAAGGAAAAGAAAAGCCTGCCGGCGCCTTTGGAGAAGGCCAAGGAGAAACAAGAGGAAGTGCAACTAGCGCCGGGAGCGGAGGGTGTGCACTACAAGAAAACTTTTCCGGTGTCTTTGGCAGAGGAAACTCGACAGGACACCACAGGTTTTAGACCGAGTTTGAGTTTTCACTTGAACAGTCCGGAAAGCGGTGAGGATGCGGCGTTTTCATCCCCTGGTGACAAAAATGTTGAGCAAGAAGACCCCACGGCCGAACAAGAGCTTTCTCTGCTGCAAAGTTCCAAGCTCCAAGCCACCGGCGTCCTTTTCCAGCCGGCAACACTGTTCAAAGCCAGAGCGCGCATGCTGTGCGAACGGCAGCAGGAACAAGGACAACCGGCGGAACAAAGTTTGTTGGCCGTCTATTCATCCTCGGGCGGTAGAGCCACTAGTTCCTACGAAAAGCAGTACGCGATAGCCCCGTTGCCTATGAAAGATAAATCCTTCTGCCCGCAGAACCTGCAGAGGATCGCGCTGTTCAGCACCGAAGCAAATGAATTCTCAAAATCCACCACCTGTTTCCCCACCTGCCACGCCGGCCAGCGCTGGAACGGCAAGCAGTGCGAGGCGTGTCCGGCCGATAGCTTCATGACGGAATTGCACTGGTGGCGAAAGCGGGAGGAACCAGTGACCAACTGGGCGGGATATAACGAGCACACTTGCGAAAAGTGCCCGAGAAATAGAAGGTTCACGATAGGAGGAGTTCCTGCTGCTGCGCTTGGAGGACAGCAATTCCTATCAGCATCACCGTCCAGGACCGGGAAAACGAGCAAGAATCACTGCGTCGCGCCCCCACTCACAACCATCCAGATCCGAATACCAAATGGCGAGCAATCGTTTCTGACGCTGTTGCAAGAGAATTTAGACGAGGAGTATTTCCGGCTGAGTAGCGACAAGAAAAAAACCGCGGTTTTAGAGGTGGTTTCCGAGGAAAACAAGGGATACATTTTCCAGCAGTTTTTCCAAAAAGCACTGAAATCCACAAAGGGATTATCCAAGCTTATCGAGCTCCAAGACTTCAGCATTGACGACGGGAAGACGCCACAGCAGGTGGGAAACGCGAAGTCTCTGACGTTTTTGACCAGTTCGTTACCCGAGGAACTAACCAGCCAGCACGAACCACAGGTGACGATCAACGTGAGGATACGAACGACCGAGCCAGTGGAGCTGATGTCCAAGCGGGAAGTGAGAAGCTTAAGAGGGTTGAAAGCGCTCTTAGCCGAAAAGTTGTTCCAACCGCAATTCGCAACCTTCGCCGACGTCGCCGCGGCCGATACGGATAACAACCTCTCCAGCAGCTGCGCGCCGGGGTACGGAAAAATTGAAATACCGGATGAAAGGAATGATGGAAAAAGTGAGCTGTCCTTTCTCTGCGAACAAATCTGCGACGAGGGTTCCTTCTCTCCCGGTGGTGATCACGCGGTGTGCACTGCCTGCCCGGATCACACGAGCAGCTTCCCCGCTTCTGGTAATTGTTTACCGACCTGCTCAGCCGGCTTTGGCCTGTCGGCGGCAGCGCCGAGGAGTACTTCTAGCGAGTCGTACGACAAGTTTATTTCATCTGGTGAAAGACATAATTCTGAAACTGCCTCTTCCCAAAATATCGGAACTACAAGTTCTACCTCCTCCCGCACCTGTGTCTACTGCCCCAAAAACCACTTCGGCCCCGGCAGACTGTCCGAGTGCCAAGAGTGCCCGGCGAGTCGCCCCATTTCCATGCCGGGGAGCTTATCCAAGAAAAAAACATTGTAGGTGTAACTTTTTTGGAGGAACAGCTGCATTACAAATTTGTCTGGCATGACAGCAAAAACCTGTCATGCGCAGATAGTACGCGAAAACGCCCTTTAATGGACCCTGCGATGCATGCCAAGCATGACAGACGCAATCATCCTGCATATTGAGCATCACAAATTTACTTACACTAACAGCGTTTTTTTCTTGGATAGAGCTCGTCAGTGGAGCACTGTCGGGTGAGTTGCAAGGACGATGAGAGTATCAAATGCAAAAGTGTCTGGGTCTGGAAACTTGTAATGCTGCGCTGGGAATAGTGAATGCTCTGTAATGCCCAGGCAAGCATGAGAAGTATCTGCGCTTCTTTGTGTTACGTTTTTCGCATGACAAACTGCGTTTTTGCATGACAGGCACAAGGGTCTCTTCTTGGACACGCATCACAAACTTTTTGGTCATGCCAGACAAGCATGACAAATCCCAAAATCTAGCGGACCCAGACATTTTTGCATTTGATAGAGAGGTGGGTGCCCAGGATTGGGAGATGTGTTTTGGAGGACGAAATGGAGGAGCAGGACTTGGCTCTGACGGAGGAAAGCATGTTGACGCATGGGGACGAGCAGTTGCTATCAACAGATGGAATAAATTCACCAGCATCTTCGCCTCTTTGGCCCCATGACGTCGTAGGGGACACAGTTCTAGGCGAGGGCAGCACGAGTGCTGCAGCTCCTCGGGAAGATTCATCATCATCTTCATCTTCTCGTCTTGGTGGGCTTTTCCCATGGAAAACCGCAAATACACAAGCCGCACGGGAAGGGGAAGACGAAAAAGAAAAAGCCAAAAACGATATTGCCCCACAGCACCTGCTCCTTCCCGTCGCTGCTGATCCGAAGAAGAAAAGAGAAAAAGAAAAACAAGCCATTCTCGCCGAGGTTGGTCGAGCTGCGGAGCAAAGCGAGCAAGCGCAAAGAACGCATGAAGGACCAGCAGGTGGACCACAACAAGACGAGCACTTCCTTTATTCCCCGGAGGAGCTAGCTGCCGTGAAGAAGAGAGCGAGACAGGAACTGACGCTCGTGCAGTCGTATCAGCCAAACTTACAAGCCATGTCTCAAGAATTGGCGGAGAGAACGGCGGAGAAGAAAATTTTTGCCGAAAGCAACGACGAAGCAGCTGGCACAACTTCTGCGTCGTCCTCTCCTCGTGTAGAGGTAGCACGCACGGCGCAGCGTGGTAGTGCAGATGAAGCAGGAGTAACAATGGTGCACTATGGAAAAGGAGCAGGAGATGAGCCTGGAAATAAAGGGAAAACTACCAGCAACCACGCTCCGAATCTGCTCATGACCCAAACAACGGAAAGCAGACCGAGCTCCGCTCCGAAAAAACCCATCGGGTCTCTGGTGAAAGGCTTGTCGTTCTTCAGACAAACTAGATAAAAGTGTACTTTTGTTGCGCCGCCTGATTTTGCTTGTTTTCAATTTTCCGTGTGCCTTCCTAAAAATTTGGTCATCATCTTAATCAGCCTGTACGTAGATCCAGCGCTCCTTTTCTCAATTGGTTGTGCAGATGTAGAATAAGTACTAGCATGCGGGCACTAAATCTTGAAACCAAAACTTTCCTATGTAGCATAGCTTTGAGACTTGATAGAAACCGAAAACCTAGCGAGACTTAAGTGTAAATTTGTATTCAGCGAGGCTTATAGCAATGCAGACACCAGCACGACGGTTCTGTCTCTGCGCAAAAGCAGTCATTTTTTTTGTGTCTCTCAACAACTAGCAAATTGGATAAATTCCAAGAATTTTTTACGTTTGAAGTATAATAGCAAAGCTAGTCAGAGTCCGACGTAGCACCACGCGGACAGATAAAATCAAAAAGTAAGATGATGAACAATATCACCATACATCCGGATGAACACTTAGCGAGTTTCTTTGTTTCAAATCTAGTGACCAGAAGAGAGCACGTCTCTACCACGACGCTGCGGCGCGTCCAGGGTCTGATTGGGTAGCCGCAGCGAGAGCACGCAGCCGCAGGATTTTTGGATAATATACTCAAAGCCATCTTTTTCTTTTTGAATTTACGTTTACCAAAACCAATGCTTCGAAAAGTTTCATACAGGACCAGCATAGGACAGCTTGGGTTTCTAGCTTGTTTCGCTTTACGTAGACAGAAGGCAACTTCATCAAAGAGTTGTATTGGTGATATGACGCACACGCAAACGCCACGCGAGGGCGCAAAAACAAGAGCCAAAACAGCTCGCGGAATTTTGTAGCGTTTTTTGAATTTATAAATAATTATCGGGAAAAGTTAAACTACAAAACGCACTCGGTTGGGACAACGTCGAGGTCTTTTGATGATATCGAGATGTTAGTTGTCTCAAAAAATCGACACCTGAATTAAATAGGAACTTGATCGGTAAGCAGCTGCTCCGTTTTCGGTTTTTTCTCACTGATATCGTGGTCTTACTACAGTCGCCTCGCATAAAATATTTGATTTTTTCTAGTGTCGGTAGAAAAAATCAAAAATATGTAGAGAAAATCATAACGAGAAGAAAAGAGAAAAAAGAAGAGAAAGGATACAAAGAGAAAATCAAACGAGAAAACACAAAGACGACGATTTTTCTCACAAGAAGCACGCGCCTCGTTTTGATTTTTTCTACAGCTGTAGAAAAAATCAAACGGGACTCGTCCGAAACCGAGAGAAGCGAGAAAATGGCAAGAACTCGAGAAGTTCTCACTTTTTCTCGAAGTTCTCGCTTTTTCTCGAAAGTCTTCTCGTCCCGCCCATTCGAGGCCAGCGGCCGAAAACCTCCAAAATACGGTAGAAAAAATCAAACACCTCCGGGGAAAATCAAAAGACCTCCACCCAGAAGCGGAAAAGCCGAATACACGCGCACGCGCGAAGCGATGCGCGAAGCCCCAGCACCGCGAAGCGCCAGACGGCAATGGGGGCGCGCCCCATGTGTGGGCAACGCTGAGAACGAAGCGGCCTCGTCTTGCAAGCGGACAAAGTTCGTTTTCCTTTCAGGCCAACGGGCCCGCCACCTACGCAACCAGGCGGGGGCGGGCGCGCTGGGTGTGCAAAACAAAGCGGACCTCGCGGCCGAGAAAAGAGAAATAACAAAGCCGCGCGCGCAGCGCGCGGTGGGCGCGGGTAACGCGGCGAGGCAACCACGCCGCGCGCGCAGCGCGCGGAGAAAATTTTTCCGACAAGCGGGAAGCGCAGCAAAGCGAGGGAGCGGGCGCATTGGGTGCAGGGTAGCCAACCCTACACACTTCGCGGCCAAGAAGAAGGCAGAGGCAGCAAGGCCGCGCGCGCAGCGCGCGGAGGAAATTTTCCAAGCGTGCGACAGACGAAGGCGGGGGCGCGCCCCATGTGTGGGGAACGCTAAGAAGCAACCTCGCCGCGCGCGCAGCGCGCGGGGAAAATTTTTGCGAAAAGCAGGCCACGCAACCAACCAAGCGGAAGCGCGCGGCATTGGGCGCAGGCGAACCGAGCCAGCCGACATACTTCGCGGCCAACCAAGAAGACAGCAGAGGTAGCAATGCCGCGCTCGCAGCGCGCGGAGCAAATTTTTCAAGCGACAGATGGAGATGGGGGCGCGCCCCATGCGTGGGGAATTCTGAGAAGCGGAGAAAATTTTCCAAAGGGCAGACGGGGGTGGGGGCGCGCCACATGTGCGGGGAACGTTGGGCAGCAACCTCGCGCGCGCGGAGAAAATTTTTCTAGCGGCAGGCGAAGCCGGGGGCGCGCCCCATTTGTGGGGAACGCTAAGGAGCAACCTCGCCGCGCGCGGAACGCGCGGAGAGAATTTCTCAGGCGGCAGACGGAGGTGGGTGCGCGCCCCATGTGTGGGGGCAGCTGGCAGGAAACCTCGCCGCGCGCGCAGCGCGCGGAGAAAATTTTTCCGACATGACAAGCGGGCCACGCGGCCAGGCGGAGCCGCGCATTGTGTGCGGAAGAACCGCAGCCAAATACTCGGCGGCCAAAGAGAAGGCAGCAAGGCCGCGCGCGCAGCGCGCGGAGAAAATTTTTCAAGCGGCAGAAGGGGGTGGGGGCGCGCCCCATGTGTGGGGGGCGCTGAGAACCAACCTCGCCGCGCGCGCAATGTATGGGGAGAATTTTTCCGACAAGCGGGTCACGCAGCCAAGCGGGGGCGCGCGGCATTGGGTGTAGACGAACCGAGCCAACATACTTCGCGGCCAAGAAGAAGGCAAAGGGAGCAAAGCCGCGAGCGCAGCGCGCGGAGCAAATTTTTCAAGTCCGCGACAGACGGAGATGCGGGCGCGCCCCATGTGCGGGGGATTCTGAAAAGCAACCTCGCTGCGCGCGCAGCGCGCGGAGAAAATTTTTCAAAGGGCCGACGGGGGTGGGGGCGCGCCACATGTGTGGGGAATGCCGAGAAGCAACCGCGCCGCGCGCGCAGCGCGCGGAGAAAAATTTTGCAAGCGGCAAACGAAGGCGCGGGCGCGCCCCATGTGTGGGGGGCCCTAAGAAGCAACCTCGCCGCGCGCGCAGCGCGCGGGGGAAATTTTTTCGAAAAGCAGGCCACGCAACCAAGCGGACGCGCGCGGCTTTGGGTGCAGACGATCCGAGCCGACATACTTCGCGGCCAAGAAGACGGCAACGGTAGCAATGCCGCGCTCGCAACGCGCGGAGCAAATTTTTCAAGGGGCAGATGGAGATGGGGGCGCCCCCCATGCGTGGGCAATGCTGAGAAGCAACCTCGCTGCGCGCGCAGCGCGCGGAGGAAATTTCCAAAGGGCAGACGGGGGTGGGGGCGCGCCACATGTGCTGGGAACGTTTGGAAGCAACCTCGCCGCGCGAGCAGCGCGCGGAGAGAATTTTTCAAGCGACAGGCGAAGGTGGGGGGCGCGCCCCATGTGTAGGGAACGCGAAGAAGCAATCTCGCCGCGCGCGCAGCGCGCGGAGAAAATTTTCCAAGCGGCAGACGGAGGTAGGTGCGCGCCCCATGTGTGGGGAGCGCTGACAAGACACCTCGCTGCGCGCGCAGCGCGCGGAGAAAATTTTTGCGACTGACAAGCGGGCCACGCGGCCAGGCGGGGCCGCGCATTGTGTGCAGAAGAACCGCACCCACATACTCGGCGGCCAAGACGAAGGCCGAGGCAGGAAACTCGCGCGCGCAGCACGCGGAGAAAATTTTTCAAGCGACAGACGGAGATTGGGGCGCGCCCCATGTGCAGAGACGCTGAGAAACAACCTCGCCGCGCGCGCAGCGCGCGCGCGGAGAAAATTTTTCGCGCATTCTTCTCGATTTTTCTCAAAGCACCCGACTGGTTTTTTCTACAGTGGGAGCCCGGTTTGATTTTTTCTAGATGCTTTGTGATTTTTTCTACCGTATTTTTTTTTTCTCGACATGTAATCGGTATGAAAAGCAAAAAATACAATTTTGGTTTGATCCACTTCGTGTCTGTGAGTTTTGCTTATTAATGCAGCTTTTCTATGCCAAGGCCAAGCGATTCTCGGACTCGGTCTGCTATTTGCTTGTGATGTGCACAATCTCGGTGATTCCACGCTTGTGAAGCTGAATACAACGCAATGATCCACAAAAAACAGATCTTCGATCTTAGTGGAGGTTGATAGGCATTATTGAAGAGCCAAGAGTAGAAGAAGCAACCGCTATGACAAGTATCTACTTCAGGACCTCAATTTATTCTATGTCAACGTAAAACTAAAAGCAATCTTATTCTGTATGTACTACCATCGAGAAAATGAAGACAACATTCACAACCTCCTGTAAGATGTCATGATATTCAATCAATATTTTATTTGACGCAGCGGCTCCTACAGCGATGTAGCTCCTACGGCGCGCGAAGTTCCGGGATCTTACACGAAGATCTGCCGACGTGTGATCTCGGAGCTCCTATTTGATCCAATTTTGCTGGTTACGATCGAATTGAATATTGATTGTGCCGCGCTCGTTCCCGCGAGACGTGGAACTTCCCGCAATCTGTGGAACATGTAGTTGCACGCCTGATTATATTTCAATAGCCGTCTAAGGACTTCTACTTCCCAATTATCCGGAAGTGTCTATAGATCGTCGGACCGTATAGCACTCACTCAACTCTCACACTAGCACAATTCTTTATGTGAACTCTGTTCGTCGACGTTGTTTATTTCAAGTATGACCTCGAAGAACGTGAGCAAGGCGAAGTCCAAAGCCCCCAGTGGGGGCGGCAAAAATGCGGGCAGTGCTGGCAATGGTACCGCCACCAAGGTCGTGCGCCCAAAGGAAATAAAAGTGCCACCAGCTGTAGTCGTGCCAACAGAAGTGACGCCTGGCGGGGTTCTTGTGACTGAGGACACAAATGCGGTCACCACAGGCCGGCTCACCGACCTGCCAGAAGTTACCAGGCCGGCGGTGTTGGACACCATAGAACAGAGGTAATTCTATCTATTTTGTCGCGTTTGGTAGGAATGAGCGAGATCCTGACCCCGATGAATTGTTTCATGGAAGCGATATTTCTATTGGCTCCATGATTTTTTGAGGTCCTTCCTTCCTATCGTGCAGAGATAGATATCTTCAGATGCGGTTTATAAGATGATTTTTGCATGCTCAAGAAACGGAACAACTACCCCTGGTCCACAGGTACACCACCGGCAACCAAGCCTACACCTTTGTCAGTGACGACCTCCTGGTTGCGGTCTCACCAAAACTGCACACTTTAACGAAACATGCCACGGCTTCAAATTCAACATCGAGTTCTAATCCCGGCATTGATACCCCCGCACAGCAGCAGCTCCCCCAGCAGCCCGACCCGCATGCATTCGACCAAGAACACCTGGATTTTTACTCGCGCTACTCCTCTGGCGACCAGCTCCCGGCGAGGTTTTTCCCGCGTCGCATGCGAGACGAGTACAAAGCGTCAGTTTTTTCAGCACGGTCGAGGGCTGGTTCGAGGGAATCGTTTCCGGCACAGCTGCATCCGGCTAAATCACCCACGCCGGCCCTGTCTTCGACACCAGGCGGCAATAAGAGGCACAAGAACCTCCAGCTGCAAAGTATGCGCACTGTCGAGCCTCACTTGTTCGAGATGCCGGAGAAGGCTTTTCGGGATTTACTGTTCTTGAAACAGAATCAAAGCCTTGTTTTCCTAGGGGAAGAGACAAGAACCGCGTTCGACATGTCGTTGGAGTTCCTGTGCTACAAAAGCAGCAGCAGCAGCAGCAGCAGTAGTTCTTCATCTTCGTCGACGTCTACCTGTGTAGCAACATCAAGGGAGCCCGGAACAGAATCTGATAGTACGCACGCGCAGATAGAAGATAGAATACGCAGCGCGATGCTCCTCTTAGAAACCTTTGGTCACAGCGGTGGCGCACAAAGCAGTGCAAATTCTGTGCCTCACTTTGGAAAGTTTCTGCAATTGTACTTCGGCGCGGACACTGTGGGGCGACCGGTGATTTTAGGAGCGACGATACGACAATTTTTGCTGGAGAGCAAGCAGGTCCTGGAGCAGAGCGGCGAGGCGATTCTGCAGTGCTTTTTGCAGTTGGAGAACGCCGGGTTATTACAGGGTTTGCTCGACTACAGGAATGAAGACGGTACAGCTCCTGTCGAGGGGCAAGAGCAAGGAGCTGATTTGTTTTCAGACACCGAGACCGCTGTGCATAGCCGGCTGCCAAGCACGCAGCGTCTCATCCGGACGTTTTTGGACCATGCGGCTGCTACAGAAGAAGCTGGGGTCGCTGTTGCGAGAAATAGTCCGGAGACCAATATTAAAGGACTGGGAAACCACGGCGCTCCTGTCCCGATAGTACAGGCCGAAATGTCCCCACGAGGCCCAAAAATCAGCAGCCTGGGAAGAGACTACGAGGAGTCCTCACGTGAACGGCAGGGCCGACTACAGGCTTTGGAAGCCATTTTTGGCAGAGCGTCGCCTTTCGACGGAGCAGAAGATGATAGGTCAGCGACAACCCGATCCTCATCGTTCGAAGCCACCTGCGACGCCCTGGAGGTGTGCGGGTTTTCGGAAGAGAAGGTGGAAAACCTTTTTCAAACCGTCGCGGGCATCCGATGTATCGCAATTGCTGCTACAGCTACAGAGGGAACTACCGCCGTCGATGCGGAACAGAAGAGGACTCTATTGAGACTTGCCAACGCTCTTCTCGGATTCTTGGATAGCACTAGCAGCAGCAGCAGTACAACCAGTTTTTACCTCGGCGGAGCGACCGCGGCTGTTGTGCACTCTAGCCAAGAAGATTATGCGGACGTCGCCACACCGATCCATGCTCCAAAGACGAAAACACAAAAACAGGCTGAGCAAACGGCGGATTTGGTCGACAAGAACGAGTCGCCGCTGCTGGTAGAAACCAAAATCGTGCCAATGCTAGAAGCGAAGCAGCACCAGAACGGCGGGATCACCGAAACCACGCCCAGTTCGGAACTCGCGACTTTAGCGCAGAACCTTTACCAGAATCTGTTTTCTTTCCTGGTTCGCGCTTTGAATGTCTGTTTAAAGACGCAACAGCGAAGAAAGATAAACGGTGCTTCTAGTGCCACGGCTCAACGAGAAGCGACATCAAACCCTACACGACGTCGTGGTAAGTTTCTTCTAAACCCGACAGACACCCCGAACTTTGAGGCCTTCGTCGCAAAAAACTTTTTGTCTACCGACTCTGATGTTGCGGATCTAGACGCGGTTTCGAGCTGCATCGGCTTGTTAGACGGTGGTTTCAGAATGGTTCGACAACCACGACCATCCTCCACGATGAAAATGGCATCTGCAGGAACTCCACGGAAAAATAAATCGCAGTCCCTGGACGCTCTGCTTCAGAACTACGTGAACGACAAATTTGCGCATTTTCTCTCGTCCATTCTGTTTCAAAAGGAGTACGAAGCGGTTGCGGAGGAACTTGGGAATGACGTGGTGCAGGAACTGTATGCGCATTGCGACAAAAAGGACCATCCGCTGGTTTTGGGGAAAACGCTCGCGAGTCTGGAAACTGCGATCTTCCCCGAGTTGAAAATCGGTTTAAAGACGTCCTCTGAAAATAATGCTGCTCCCAATGAAAATGCGTCACCGAATACTAAAACGGAAAGCGCACGACCGTCAAGCTCCTCCTCGAAGCAGGCCAAGAGCAAGGCGAAAAAATCTTCAAATAAAGTTGCGGGCGTAGGAGCTGCATCTACTACGGAAGCAAGTGGTGCGACCACCTCTGCGGCGACAATGTCCTTGAGTGAACGCCTCCGGAAGAAAATTTCCAATTTGAAACACGACTACATTTCCATCCGGGCAGGAGAAATCTTCGCGAAGAACAAAAATAAAGCCAATGTCGGGTTGGAGCTAGGCGTCAGGCATTTTGGAGGAGAAGAGCCGACCTGGTATGATGTTGCCGAGTTTGAAACTACCTTGGAGCGAGCGGAAAATAAGACCACCGCCTGGATGAATATCGGTGCAGAAGATATGGATCTGTCAGGATTGAAATCGTCAAAGTTGAAATTATTTGTGATGCATAAAATGCAAGGCATGAAGTGCTTGTCTTGCCGGGATGGCAAGTGAGGCCGACCGTCAGCCTGTTTAGGGTTTGAAATAGACATGCTGAAGTAGCATGACAAAAGCAGTCTCCTGTGCCCAAACAGCATGACAAACTGGATTCCGGTGCTCGAAAAATTTGTCATGCGCCGCTTGATAAGTGGGCTTGCGACTGGTATCGGTTTCATGCATGACAAATTATTTCAACTTTGTCGATTTCAAACCTGACGCTTCCATAGAAGACACCAGCAGTAGTGCCGGTCCTCTTTTCCTCTCACTTTGTGACAACAGCGAGAATCTCGTTGTCCGCTTCATGTGCCGCGACCCCACGAAGCCCACGACCTCGTCGTCCCAAGCGGAGAACGGTCGTGCCGCGGTGGCACAAAGCAAGCCCTTTTGTTCATCCTTTGTGCTGCACACGGACACAATGGACACGATGGCGATGCTGAAGCAGTTACTCTCCAGGTCTAAAGTGCGGTTCGTCCTTGGCGTTGAAGCTGGAACCGTTTCTACTACTGCGTCTTCGGAGGCTAGTACAACAAGGACGGATTTTTTACCAAGCTTCAACTTCGATCGCGAGGCGTTTGACGCGCAACTACGCAAATTCGATTTATACTCCGTCGCCGGGATCCGGAAGCGCGGGTATGCGCACTGTTTATCACATTCTGAGTTTCTGAAGCGATACAAAGCGATAGCAGCTCCATCATCTCCAGGAGGGTCGACTACATCGAGTGCAGCAAAAATAGTAGACGCTGTTGTTTCCGGTCTGAACGAGGCAATTGGCGGCCAATTGCTCGTGTCGGATAAAGATAGAAGAAGCGAACTCCTCATCCAATGCGGGAAATCCAAAGTCTTCTTCAAAGAAGCCACTGCAAGTCTCCTTGAGAAGAAGAAAGTGATCCTCTCCAGCCAGTTCGCGACCAGGATACAGAAAGTCTGGCGCGGAAAAATAATCCGGAAGGAGCTGAAAGCCATGCCGATTTTGCTTCGGAAGATCCAGGACTTCCCAAAGAGGTTGAAGCTTGATTACAACGAATCGGAAGAGCTGACCGCGGTATCCTACCAAAACTTCTCCGAAGTGGAGAAGCACGTCAATCAATGTGCGGAACTACTGGACTTGGTGCACGAGTCGACCTTTTGTATTGATGCGGGTCAAGATAATGAACAGCAACAGCAGGCAGCACCAGCAGAAGCACCAGCAGACCAAGGGCTGGTGCAGCTGCGTCGTCGAGAATTAGGTAATATACAACTGAATCCGGTGAAGACCCTGGAGCAGTGCCGCCAGAGACTCCAGAACGTCGGCAATTTGTTTCAGCACGTCGAGCAGATGTGCGAAACGGAGGACCGGACCATGGAGATTTTCAGCATGCTGCAACGGTGTGCGGCTTTAGGTATGGGCCACTGTTTTGCCGTCCAGCAGCTCCAAGCGAGACACGACAATTTGGTCGCGCAGAGCAGCAGAGTTTTGCAGCTGAAGCGGTTGACGAAGAGGTGTCAGAGGTTTTTGGCGAAGACAGAAGGGCTGTTTGAACCTGTAGTGGTACAACAACTACCGGGTGGTGGAGGTAGTACAAATACATCTTCAGTGGAGATTTCCAATCTCGACCGTGAAGCCTTCAAACTGATGCGGAAAAGCGAGTTGAGCCAGGAGCTCAACGCCTCGGCCCTGCTTCTATCCGAGGAGGAAGACAATAATTCTCCTAGCGGCGGAGGTGTTTCGACTGTTTTTACACCAAGAGCCACGAGAGCTCCAAACGACGGCGGACAGCACATCAGTAACCAAGACCAGGAGACGCGCTTCCAAAAATGCGTCGAGGAGGTTTTGCAGGCGTTTTTGACCGATTCTCATCGATTGTTAAACGAAATAGCGGTTTTCCAGCGGGAAGTTGAAATTATCGGAGAGCGCGACAGCGCCGTTGCGACCTGGACGAAACTCCTGACTTTCGACCCGTTTGAGGCCTTCTGTGACCTGACCTACACCGCGGTGCCGAAAGTGAAAAGTAGACACGCGGAAGTGAAGGAAAAAATGCTTCTTCAGCAACAGCTAGATGGAAAGAACAGTAGCGAAAATATTAAAAAAACCGTACAACGCCTCAACACGCTCGAGCTGGAGTTCAACGCGAGAAGCAAGGCCTCGTCCAGTAGTAGATTCGGCAACTACAGCACCAGAACCGACAGCGTTTTCAGTTCGGGGGCGCCGAGCAGGAATTTGTCAACGGCGCAAACGACATCAAAACGTGGTCAAGAAATGATGGAGGATAGTGCTGCTGATCAAGAGATGGCAGTGGCGATCGATCTTTCCTCCGAAGCGCCACAGTTCCAGAATTTGTCGACAGCAGTTCCTCCGGGAGGCACCGGCCAGCTGACCACAGGAAACGACGACGAAGACTACCCGATTAATATGCTTCAGCCCCAGCAGCTCGAAATCACGTCCTTCCTCCCATCCCCAACAAATAACTTTTTGAGCGACACGCTTCTCTCCCTGCTGCGCCTAGCCCCGAAGGGCACGCTTGACTCCGCGGGATGGCGGCGGGTTGGGAGCCTTGCTGAAGACCATAGCTTTAGCTTTATTCCGGCAGAAAGCTGCATGAAACCTCCTGGCGAGGTTGGAGCTACTTCGTCGGAGGATGCACTAAGTGACGAACCTACAGAATTGGACCTCGCGTGTTTGTACCTGGCTTTTATGAAATCCATCAGAAACATCGAAACCTACGACCAGGCTCTCATCGACGCCGCTTTCTGCAACACGATCGAGTTGAAGGGATGGTTAAGTCCACCGTCCTCGAACCGCGAACAACAGCAAAAAATGCCATTGCAGCCGCGCTCCGACAGAAAGATCACCTGGACCTTGGACAGCACACAACTCGGCATCCTGGCCCGATCGCAAGTGTACCTCCGCGAAACTGAGATCGCGGAGAAGGCGGCGACGCTGGGGAGTGCGTTGGAAGGCAAAAGCGACGAATACGGTGCGGCGGAGGAGGATGAGGAAGAGCAGAAATCCCAACTGGCGCACGAGTTCGCCGCGGCCTTCACGGTGCGGAAAAATGATTTAAACCAGCAGCTCGAGGTTCTTTTGGGAACAGCTTTCGAGATGAATGGCGGTGCAGGGGCAACGAGCGTAGGTGTGCCATCAACATCATCTGCGTTGCGGATTCACTGCAGCCGAACGAAGAACCCAGACGGGGAAGAAGAGATCAAAGTGGAAATCAGAACACACGGCGATACTGGTGGACCAGGAGGTGATGTAATAATGGGGAACAATAATTCCATCAAGCAGCAATCATTCTTCTCAGAGCGGCTTGGTGCAACGAGCAGTCCGATATTTTTGCCGCAAGTACAACGACCTGTGATGTTCCCCCCGACAACTACAACAGGGTCTTCTTCTAGAGGACCTCGAGTTCTTGTTCAGCACGGTGGCGGTGCTGGGCCTCCTGCAGTTACTGCGATGTCCATGCCCACGGCATCGTTGTCCTCGACAGCAAGACTCCCCTTCACAGGAGCCACAGCTGCAGCAACAGCAGGTAGAGCCATGGTAAACCACGTGCAAACGGAAGATCTCCGGATCTGGGATAGCACGGACAGCGAGGACGATGAGAATGCTTCTACCGTGTCCACCTCCAGCTGGGGAAACAATTTCGAAAGCAACTTCAACAAATCCTTCAACTCGCCAACGAGGTCGCCAATAGGTAGCCCTGGTGGTAGTCAACAACTGTTGCGGGCACAATCCCCAGAAATCAGCAAAACTATGATGTTGTCCTTGTCACCAAAGCATGTCAGAGCAAAAATCGACTCCCGCGCCAGCAGCTCCGCCGGGTCGCGTATGCGGACAGCGTCGTCGAGCCTCAAGGGCGGGAACAACAGGAGAAACCAGCAAAGCCAAAAGATCTCCGGCCACGCCAGACGGGTTTTGTTGCAAGAAAGACTACTCCGCGCTCAGGACGAGTACGATTTGCCGATGATGCGACGGTGTCTGGAGCGGCTGAAACAAAAATACGAGATCGAAATCGACAAGGAGCACGCGGACGTGGTACAGCTGTTGGAAGCGTTGAGCAAAGAGTCCGTGATAAGGCAGAAACTGAAACTGACGAAAGAGGCGCTTGACCGGTCCAATCGGAACAACGGGAATGCTGGCTATGGTGCGACGTTTTCTTCTTCGCAAGTACAAGCTGGCGGTGCGTTTCTGCATGACAAACACGGTAGCGTTCTTGCAGGGTCGTCCGCTGCATCGAACAAATCCAGCAGAATCAACAGTGCTTCTTTCTACAGTTCTACGACGAAAGCCGTGCAGATTCAGCAGCTTCAGTCAATGCGGTCGGTTCGGATGAGCGCGGCGGAAGCCGGGAATGAATCCGACGAAGACGAGTCGAGTAAATTTACGATTCAGACCTTCACGGATAAAAATTCTTCTTCACGATATACGGGTCCGGAATTAAGCCAACACACTGGACCGCAAGTCGGAGAGCCACGCCAAACGATCGACATGGTCAGGCCCTTCGCTGGGTTAGACGACGTTGTCGACGATCATGGAACGAAAACAAATGCGGCTAGTACCACGTCGACAAAAACCAGTGCAGCGAAAGGTGGTCTTCGTGTCTTTAACTCTACCGCACGACCTCGGACATCTTTTAACCCCGGCGAGAAGATCCGGGTAAACAAGGAACCTGAAGAAACGACGAAGTCGAAGCTGCTTTCCCCCGCTGCTGGGAAAGAGCAACAATCACCAGGAGCTCCTCCTACTGCGGGTGCAGCAGCTGTTGCACCGGTGGCTGCTACTACAACTTCCACCATGACTGCAACTGCTGCTGCAGCTCCCGCCGTACTAAAACCGGAGGACCGGTGGGAGAAGATGGTGGACCAAACGGCCAAGCAAGAATCGCCCCAGATGCTGTCCAGAAGATTGTCGAATTTGATGTCGCAGGCGGACCAACTGGGGGTTTTGCTAGAGAAGGAAGAGGAAAAAGAGTACATCCAGGCGCAACAGAAGATGTACCAGAACCACACCTTCAACGCGGAAGCAATCGCTGCAATCCCGGTACCGGTTCCTTTGCCCGCGCCGGCGCCGAGGGGAGTAGGGAGGGGTTTTGGTGTCGGAGACGATTTTGACGGTAGCAGCCCGATGCTCGGGATACTGCCGCCTGGAGGAAATAAGCATAATTATTCCGGGTCTATGAACGGTAGTATATTGGGGAATCATAGCAATTCGGCTGCTGGTGGACCGAGCTTGTACAATCATTCTGGACACCCGCCGGGTACTAGTACGCCGCCAAATCTTTCCGCTACGAACGTGTCAGGGTACGTGCCACAGGGGCAGCACAGTTCCTCAAACTCCGGTGGACCTGGCACGGGTACTTCTAGCGCTGCATTTGCTGCAGCTGGATTTGGCACAGCAGCCGCCGGCGCCGGTGTAGTGACAGGAGCGGTTATTTCAGCCTCTCCCTCCCCTCCTACCGGTCCAGTATCTCAACAGGCACAACACCATCACCCCTCCGCTTTTATGATCCCGCCAGTGTCCTCCGGTTTTTCCGAGGACTCCGCTGATCACAACAACAATGGCTACCCGCGCGACACCACCATGTCGGCCATGACAACAACCTTCTCTCCGACCCAGAAAGCCCTCGCCGACGCGGAAATGAACCGCTGGGCGATGAATTTGGAGCAAAGACTAACCTAAGTAAAAACGTACCCACACCAGAGTTGTCATGCAGATTTGCAATGACAGGAACATTTGTAATGCGCATCTTCATGAGAGGCATTTCCAGTCGTGTTTTGACATTTGTAATGCTGTAAACACGATGAGGAGATGGGTTTGTCATGCGACTGCACTTGCTAACCTGCACTACACTGCGGAGTGCAACTTGTCATGCGTGACTCCCAAAACTTCTCGGCTTGTGTTGCAAAATCTCCATCCTGACTCTGGTGTGGGTACGTTTTTACTCAGGATAAAGACTCGCCCGGGACAACGGGGACCCCCACCCGCTCGGCGGAACCGCACACCGCAGCTATCAAATGTAAAAATGTCTGGGTCTGGAAACTTGTGATGCTGGGTGGCGTCTCATGATGAGGCTACAGATGCTGGCTCAGCGTGACAAGTTTCTGAGTTCCTAGGTGTTGCCTATTCTGCATGACAAACTGCGCTTCTGCATCACAGAAAAACGGAGCTCTTGGGTAACGTGAATGACAGATTTAAGAGTCATGCCAGACAAGCATGACAAACATGAATTCTTCCAGACCCAGACATTTTTACAGTTGATAGCAGCTACGAAAGCTCGATGGAAAGCCCGCCTTTGCAACCGAGGGGGAATTATCCAATGCAAAAATGTCTGGGTCTGGAAACTTGTGGTGCAAGGAAGGGAATATTGAGCACACTGTAATGCGCACCCCAGAATTACAAGTTTTTCCGTGGTTCAGAGTTGCGTATTCCGCATGAGAAACTGCGTTTTTGCATGACAGACAAGAGGACCTCTTCGCAGGCACGCAATACAGAGTTTAGAGTCATGCCAGACGAGCATGACAAATTTCGCAATCTCCCAGACCCAGACATTTTTACATTTGATAGCATTCCTCGCGGCACCACGGCTTCCTACATGCCGAAGCAGTCAGTTGTCTCTTCTGTCGTGACGAATGAGAACATCGCGGGAGGTGGGGCAGGAGGTGCTGCAAGTACTGCTCTTGATTTGTCCCCAACAGGTACCGCTGGAAGTGATCAAGCGGACAAGAAGTACGACGTTGCAGAGCTCGACGTCTTTTCCCTCCGCCACTTCCCGAACCTGCGGGAACACAGCGACAATACTCTTGGTTGGGTGTTCATGGATATGAAATGCAAAAGCATCGTACTAGTATAAATTGCATTACAAATTCACTTAGCGTTACAAATCAAAGTTGTAATGCGGATTTGCCTTTGTAAAAGAGATTTGTAATGCATAAACGCAATTAGTACGAGTGCGATACTTTTGCAGTCGATAATGGACGACGAAGTCTGGCAGAACACCCCACCGAGATTAAGGTACCAGAAAGAGCTATCAAATGTAAAAATGTCTGGGTCTGGAAACTTGTGATGCTGAGTGGCGTAGCATAAGGAGGCCACAAGTGCTGGCTCAGCATGACAAATTTCTGAGCTTGTAGGTGTTGCCTATTCTGCATGACAAACTGCGTCTCCGCATGAAATCTGTTCTAACGCCACGGTATTGGCAGAGGCTAAATCTGTTCTAGCGCCACCCTGACAGGAGTCAAAGGTCAAAGCGATGCGATACGATACGCATGACAGAAAAAAACGTCTCTTGGGCAATGTGCGTGACAGATTTAAGAGTCATGCCAGACAAGCATGACAAACATGCATTCTTCCAGACCAAGACATTTTTACATTTGAAAAGAGCCGCTGGACGAGCCTTTGTGCGATTTCCCGAACTTCACGGACAAGTGGGGCCGGCATTTGAACATCGACCCTTTGGCTTTAGATGTTTTCCGGGTGATTCTCTCCCTGTCGGGGTCAGCGCCGAAACAGCACTACGACACGTTGTATAAGGATTTGGTCGAGGATTGTCAGCAGTTCCGGCCCTTGGTCGACGAGGTGTGGGTGCAGATTTTGAAACAATTGTCCATGTGTCCGTCCAAGATAACGAGGAAGAATTTGTGGTTGCTTCTGAACAAACTGGTCAAGCACGTCTATTACGAGCGGGTCCTGACCGGGGAGGTGATCACGAAAGAGCAGAACATGATCGACGAACTCGCGTACGAGCTCGCGGTGTCGAAGCGCTCCTCCGGGAACACGTTGGCAGCTGCTCAGAGGCAAAACTTAACGACCGGCGAAAATACTCGACCGCAACTGTCTCTGGTGGCCGAAGAACCTCCTTCAGGGACAACCTCCAGTCATCTGCAGTCGTCTGTTCAACAAAATCCTGCACGACAGGGGGCAGGCGGCTCGCCGCAGATTGACGTGACCCCGACTCCTGCACCCGTTCCTGCCTCTTCTCCTGATGACGACTCCGAAGCGGCTCAAGCCGCTTCCTCCAAATTTTGGTTTAAGCACTTCGCTCGGGTGTACCGCTTTGTCCCGTCGAAACAGCTATCCGTGTTCGTCGTCGCGTTCTTCCGCCGCTTGATATGGATTGCAAAAATGTCTGGGTCTGGAAGGTTGGAACTTGTGATGCTAACTTTGGACTCTAAAAAAATTCTGTATTGCATGACCAGCAAGAGGAGTCCGGTTTGTGCTACGCGTGGAGGGCATTTGTCATGCGGAATAGGCATCGAGAAGCCCTCAAAAAATATGCATTGCTAGGGTATGCATCACAGACATCATGGCTCATGCAAAACGTGCATAACAAGTTTCAGAATCTTCCAGCCCCAGACATTTTTACAGTTGATACTTGATCCACTTCGACGAAATGCGGGCGAACGCGGTGCACCTGCTGCGGAATCTGCAAGCGCAGGTGGTCGCGCAGGTGCAGGACGACGCGAAAGCGGCCATGAGATTCAAGGTGTGGCACCAGGAGGAGCGGAAGTTGCAAAAAAGAGAGAGGGAAATGATGCAGCAGGGGATGCTCTCTGCAGGTGGAGCAGCGTCAGCATCTACTTCCGGAGCAACAGCAGGTACAGCTTTAATACCTGGTGCTAGGACGACGTCGAGTGTGGGCGGTAGAAGTTCTTCTCCTGCTGGCTCCAATAATTCGGTCACGAATTCGCCCAGCACACGGACGAACTTGATAAACGCGACCAGTCCGAGGAGCCGCTTTATGATGCTGAAAGGCGTAGATCCGATGGAGGACTGGAGTGTCATGGAGGGCACAGCGGTGTTGACGAAAGCGTCATCGCCGAAGGGGGGCGCACCGCCGGTGGGGACCACAGGATCATCTAGAGACAAGGACAACAAGCTGCTTTCGCCGCCAGCAGGTGGGAGTGAAAACAGTAACACTATGTTCGGAGCCGCTGAGCAGGGGGATTTCGGTGGCGATTTTTCGCATCATCATCATCTCGAAGATCCCACAAGCTCCCTAAATAACGACGACGACGACGAAATCGATGAAGCGCTTTTACTCGCGATGGGCTGGCGACCGCTGCCGAACATTTTTCAGCATATGGATTGCAAAAGTGTCTGGGTCTGGAAGGATGCAACTTGTGATGCTGCATTTGGATTCCAAAAACATCTGTATTGCATGAGCAGCAAAGGGAGTGTCTTTTTGCTACGGGAAGAAGGCATTTGTCATGCGAAATAGGCATCCGGAAGCCCTCAAAAAATCTCTGATGCTAGGGCATGCATCACAGACATCATGGCTCATGCAAAACTTGCATGACAAGTCTCAGAATCTTCCAGACCCAGACATTTTTGCATTTGATACAGCACAAGGCGACGCAAAAAGCGTTCCTCGAGCAGGAGAAGAAGGAGAAGGCGGTGTTGCAGGAGGAAGCGCGCTATGCATTGCAAATATGTCTGGGTCTGGAAAGTTGTGATGCAAGGAAGGGAATAGTGAGGGCACTGCAATGTGCTGCCCAGCATGAAAAGTTTTTCCGTGGTTTTGAGTTGCGTACTCCGCATGAGAAGCTGCGTTTTCGCATGACAGGCAAGGGGAGCTCTTCGCGGCCACGCAATACAGAGTTCAGAGTCATACCAGATTAGCATGACAAATCTCGCAATCTCCCAGACCCAGACATTTTTTCAGTTGATACGCGCCGGGCCTTGCAGAAAAAGAAGGCGGAAGAGAACATTCTGCTGACGGAGCAGTTCCGCGTTGGGAAGGGGTTGACTGGTGGCTTGTCCGGTGGAGTAAATAATTCGGAAAGGCAAACCTCGCCGACCACAAATGGGAGAACAAACAATCCTCCGAAACTGTCGGAGAGAGCGCTAAAGGCGAAGTTCGACAATGTGGAAGCGGACGAGATAAAGGAGAATTCTGCTGCAGGAGGAGGGCTGGGTAAAAATAATCCAGCGAATGTCGAAGACGAGGATGACGACACGAAGACTTTGGTCGGCGCGGGAAAGATCGACCTGGGCCACAACGCAGAAAATGACCAACTCGCGTATTTGGTTTTTTTTTTTTTCCGATGAAAGTTTAAGTTTCGCTTTCGTTTCCTAGTAGAGCGCCATCGCCTATACCGTATAGGCCTTCATTGTTTTGTGTGCACAGCATACAAATTTGTATTTTTCCCACGACCGCATTGATTCATGTGCAAGTGCACGTCCTTTCAAATTTGTCAAAATCCGAACCTCACAGCACCATCCTCGAGGGCGATGAGGAGGAGCCGCAGGAAGAATCCTTCTTTGGCTCCTTTTTCTCGCAGCAGCAGCCCGACCCGAGGTTGGAGAGGTCCAGGTATTCCAGAAGGCAGTCGGTGTTTCTATGGCGTTCTCAAACGTTACATTCTCAACTGTTAAGTACATGAATTTGTAATGCAAGACTAGCACAGGTGAGAGGGAGAACCTTGCGCGTCTTGCATTACAGGTTTAGTGCGGATTACAGTGCTACTTAGCCCTCCGGGAATTTGTCATGCGAAGCAGCTTGATCGTCTGGCGGGTCATGGTCATTTTGCATGACAAATCATGTAACACCAGTCGAGAATGTAACGTTTGAGAACCCCATAGTTTCTCAAAACCTACGACCTGGAAAACAGCCGGCTACTCCAACGGAGAAAGCGACGGGACCAGAAGAAGCGCGCCCAACTACAGCATCAGCAGCCGGCGGCGAATCAGGACGGCGGGATGTTCGGCGGTTTGTTCGGTTACACGATCCCGGAGGACGAGGAATTGAAAATGGATGAGGAACAACTACCTGGCGCAGCAACCCTGGACAGCCCAAACGGAACATCAAAACTTGGCAATGACCACGACTTCCGCGAGTCCAGCTTTGAGGGCGCGCCCATAGCGGGCAGGGCCAGCGAACAGAACGACTTGTCCAAGTTACCCCACCGCGGTAAGAGTTCTCGCTGGACGGATAACGGACGGCCACCGATTCCTCTAGGGTCTCGCTGGACGGACCACAACAGCAAGATGCACTCGCAGGACAGCGCGTTTAGGGAAGTATACAACGATCCAAACTACTTGCAGCAGCCCGGTGCGGGAGCTCCCGGCAGTCAGCATTATCGGTATTCCGTCCCGGATTCGGTCGTGGCGAACCAGCTGAAGCCGTTTCAGTCCGAGCAGCACTACAGTCAGGATAACTTCAATCGGCAGCGGGTGCGGAGTAGTTTGTACAGCGACGGTCTGACCATGATGGACAGCGAGACAGAGGGCGATGATACGGGGTCGGTTTACACCCTGGGGTTTGGGCGGCAGTAGTGAGCTCCGCCCATGTGCTGAAAAGATCTAAAGGAAAATCTGCGACAAGGAAGCTATGCCATATCTCCACATACCGTGGCTGTGCCGCTTGTTACAATTAGCGCATTCATCACCACACGACACAGAAACAGTAATCGAACAATTCTCTTCAGCGACAGATCTATCACGTTCACGATCACGGGGTGAAGAGCGTGAGACGCTGCCGCCCTCTTCACACGACTTTGTACGAGCATTCTTCATCGCAAGTAGCTACTACAGATCAAGATCAAGTTGTTGTGGGGAGGTTCCCAGGTGATCACGAACAGATCAAAAAGAAAACATTCACATTGGCTTTCTCTGCGTTGTTTTTCCAGTTCAAAAGCAGATCAGAGAACGAGGAGAAGCTAACGCCCTTCATTTTTTCGTTTTCCAGAAAATCGTGATGAGAGACGGCAGCTTCTATTGTTGACTCGTTCGGGCTGGTGGGGAAGCGAGTGAGCGATCATCTTGGAAAAACGTGCCTTCAAATTTGTCTCGAAAAATTGATAGCGGCTCTACAGCGGAGGTTTGATGTAAACTATATGGTCTACAACTTATCTATGGCTTAGGCTTTGAATAGCACTTACAATGTACTACAACATAAGAGCCAAATAAATGACTTCCAAGCGAATTTCTTTCATTTTGAGTTGTTGTTTTTCACGTTGTACGTCAGAAGCGAACATGTGAATTTGAATATCGATCCTCTGCGTGAGTGGCAAAGAAGAGTTGTCGCACTGCCATGCCAGCAGACCTCAAACGCCCCCGCGCAGGGGAATCGCCAAAGGCGACAAAGGCGACCAAGAAGGATGTCGCGGCGCGGCCTCCTCCCTCGGACTCAGAATGGGAACAAGAATTCTCTGAGATGTCGGAGCCTGAAGCCGCGGGCCAGAAGCAGCAGACTATGGCGCAGTGCATAGCGACAACAATCCGTGACTACCCTTCGGAGAACACGGTGAAAGAGTTTGTCCAAAACGCCGAGGACGCAGGAGCGACGGAATTCGCAATGTATAGCTGCCCTTTATTTCTCTTTGTGTTCTTTTAAGCTCCTTATCGCTATCCCATACCACTCCTCAGGCAACGTTGCGCGCATTGTAAACCACATAGTGACGAAGACGAAATAAATGCAACAGGTACGTCGACGAACGCGAGGCGCCGACCGACAGGCTGATATGCTCTTCCACCCGGGAACTCCAGGGGCCTACCTTGGTCTTCCGAAACAACGAAATCTTCACCGCGGAGGATTTCGCACAAATCTTGCAAATGAATCAAGGCTCCAAGAAAGGAAAAACGGGGAAAATCGGGCGACACGGTGTCGGGTTCAATTCGGGGGCGAACTTTGGCGACATGCCAATTATTGTGTCTGATGCCACCATCCAGGTTCTGGATTCAAGGCTGTATTTGAAGAACGCAAAGCGGGTCGAAATTGCTAAGGGACACTTTCACGACTGCTCCACTTCGAAAGACGAGCCTGGTAAAAAGTTCAAGCCGCACCAGTTACAGCGGCCGACCCTTCGTAATCAATTTGGGCGGTTTACTTGGCCGCCGTATAACCTGAAAACCGAGAAAGGCGATCGGTTTGACGAGACGCTGGTGGGCATCGCGTTGCGGAAGAAGCTGATTGAGACCGGAGAGGCGCAGCTAAGCAAGAACTTGTGGACCCCGGAATCCGTGCACAACCTCCTTGCCCCGCTCCTGGCAAACGAGGTGCGGCTATATCTACTTTTTCTGCGGAGTGTCGAGAAAACAACATTTGCGCTGATCCCGAAGGAAGCACCAAAAGATCAGCCGCTCGACATGAATAAACTGCGGTATTTGCAAGTGTCTGCTTTGCGTGAGAAACAGGCAGCTACGCCTGGCAGTGACGGTGTTGGCACTCGCGTGACACTGACGCAGGAGGAGCTGCAGCATGCCGGTGACAGTACTAAGAAGTCGCAGATCATCAGCTACGCGAACTTGTCGAAAGCGTTGAAAAACTGCGACGTGACCAGTCGTGGGGCGAAAAACAAAAAGGCGCTCGCCAGAACTACAGATAGCGCACCGCTGCCATCGACGAAGATGAAAATCTGGACAGAACAATACGACGTCGAAACGGTTGGCAAGGCCTCTGTAGCTGCTGTGCGAACTACTAGCGAGGACTCGCCGCACACTTCTTACGGTGCGCTGGAAGAGACGACGCACAACACTGGCTACGTGTTCGCCGGGCTTCCGGTTCGGGGACTGCAAACCAACTGCTCCTTGCACATCCACGGGCTCTTCGACTTGTCAACAGACCGCAAAACGCTCCGGATAAACAAGGACACTTCCGGAGCTGGTGAGGAAGAAACCCGCAACAACTTGCGTATTCTGAAGGACGCCGCATGCGCAGCCCGAAATCTGATCGAGCGCCGTGCTGCTGAAACGAAGTGCATGCCAGTGGCGTTGTTTCCAAAATACGTCGGGGAGGCCGAAACGGCCGGACGGTACTTGAGCGACTATTTCTACACGGAGGCGTTGCCAAAGCGTCCGCAGATTCATTGCACCATCGGGGGCGAGATATTACAATCATTCGACTGCCTGCTCATGGCACCAGAGGATGAAGCGGCAAAATCGCCGACACTGCTTGAAGCCTTTGTGCAGCTCGGTGTTCCAGTCGTCCGTCTGACGGAAGAAGTGATCAATCTGTACGAGAAGAAGGCAAATTTTGGTGACGATGGTGCAGCAGAAGATGCAGCGCGGCCCAGTTTCAGTTCGTCCATCACTATCACAAAGTCCTCGAAAGAAAGCAGTGGTACAAGTAAAGCGCACGCAAGCACAGCGCGGGGAAGCGGACTAGTATTGGCAATATCGAAAACAACCGGTAGTAAATCCAGCGGAAATCTTCATTGTGGCAATCTCCTTCCGCGACGTTTGACACGCGAGAGTTTGTATGGCTGCCTGATGAAGAAATTTCGTCAGGCGCCGGAGTCAATGTGGAAAAATACAACTTCATCTAGCACATCAACATCAAAAACCGACTGCAAGAGGACCACTGTAGTAGACCTTGCGCTCGCAGTTTTCAAATACTTCGTCGACGATCAAAACTTTGACCTGGAGAAGCTCGAAGGCCTGAAGCTGTGCCCGGTTGGTAACGAGACCGTGCGAGTTTTCGACTCCCAAAAGCCGGTGGTATGCGGGCGCACGTCTTACGCACGAGAAGTTGCACAATCACTGCAAAGCTCGATGGTTTTGCACCCTGATGCAGTTGCGATCTTGCTCAACGTCTCTGCCGGAACTGTGACTACAAGATTCGGTGCAGCAGCGAGGGAATCGTCAAGCGCTACCTCCGACGAGGCAGAAACCATCGCGAAAAAAAACGCGGAGGAAGCCGTCAAGCGGCTCGGCCAGCTGACGGAAGGACTGACTCCGGAGAGCCTCGCGGATGCGGTGAAAGAAATGGAAAAGAAAAATCAATCTCTTTCCAATCGCATCGCACCCGGCACGGTTGAATTCGCGTTGGACGTGTGCCGCTGGCTTCTGAACGACATGTCGGGCGATCTCACAAGACTGGCAGACCGTCAGCTGCTGGACGAAATTCCAATGTGGTGTATTGCGACGGCAGGTGCAGACACTGCAGCAGTAGAAAAGGTACAGGCTCTCCTACCGTGGAAGAACCACGACCAAATCGTTGGCTCGGGGTTCAAAAGCTGCAAGCACGTCCTGCACCTCTGCAACATCTCGGTGTTGGAAAGCACGGCCCGCGCGTCTTGTGCTTCGAGCTCGAGGAAAAGTGTTAACCTGGACGAAATGAACGAGCTCCTCGAGCGGCTGCAGGGGCCGGACCAAAATAAGCTACTCTCCGCGCTTTCGAAATACGTCAAGGACAAAATCAGGGACAACTCCACATCTCTTTCGCCCGGTACTGCCAAACCATCCAAGATGAGACGGCTGAACACCAACTCGGCGCAGGACACCTCCCGCTGCGCCACACTTGACAGCGAGTGGCTGGTGTTGCGAGGGCATCTGGCGGGAATTTTAAGTTCACCCAGCGCTTTAAGTTCGAAAAACAAAACGGGGTCTTCAGGTACTCTGCCACAGTCGATGAAACTGAACCTGGCGCAGGTCGACTTCAGCTTCTTGTCCTGCCTGCCGCTGTTCTCCGACTTTGGAGGCACGAGAAATCGCCTCTACGCCGACCTCGACGACAGCGATATGTGCGCCGTTTTGCAGCCGCCCAGCGACGGGGAAAAGGACGCGCACCTGTTGAGCCTGGACAGGCTGAAGGAGCTGCAGAAGGAAGTGCCGCACATGCCCGTGTTTTGGTCCGAAGACCGGAAGGTACGTGACCTGTTGGTGACGTACTGCAATGTGCCGAAAGTGTCAACGATTCGCGAGTTGCTGTTCACCAGCAGGAGCAGGCGTAGTCGTTCTTCCATTCTGTCTCCCAGCGACTGTCCGCGTTTCATGCAGGAGATTTTGCGAGAAAACAAGCAGCAGCTGTCGCTATCAGACGAGGATCTCCAGGGCCTCGCTTTTGTGCAAACGGCTGCTGAAACCTATCTGCGGCCGCAGGACGCTGTGCTCTGTGGCAACAGCGAGGAGGAGCGGCACTACCCGCACCTCCTAGCCGCGCCATCAGTCAAGAAGAAGTACTTGCACAGCCAGTGGCGCGAAGAGCAGGTGGTGTCGCGATTGCGCAAACTGGGTTTGCGAAATGTGATTCCGAACGAGGACTTGGTGAGCGTTGCGAAAGCTGACATCGCTGCTGGGAGGACTGATGCAGCAGATCCACCTCTGTCGGACGATTTCCGGCGGAATATCGCCATCAATCTCGCAGACTACGTCGTGTCTTCAGGAAGAAAAAAGTCGAAAGCGGAACAGCGAGAAGCTGCCAAAATACTCGCTGACATCGCTTTTGTTCCGGTTGCGACCCTGGAGGAGGCGAACGCGAATGACCGAAATTTCGCAAAATCGTGGATGAAAATCGACGGAGATTCTTTGTTCTACAAGCCTGCGGACGTCAACCTCTGGACTGACCGCTTCTGTGTGTGGAGCGTCCGGCACCTAGCGCACGAAAAAATGAACTCCGAGTTTTTGACCATGTGCGGCGTGCCCAAAGAGGTACAGGCGGAGTTCGTCCGGAAGCAACTGAAAATTGTGGTTGGCGAACACGCTGCTCGATCACCGTCCGAGAAGCAAAATCGGTCTTACTCGTGTTTTCTGCAGACAGCCTTGAAACACATCTACGAAAACCTCAGCACAGCGGACGCGGACCATCTCACGACTGAAGTCGGGAATTGGGTCTGGATCGGAGACGAAAACGAGTTCTCTTCGCCCGATATTGTCTGCAAGGACTCGTCGCACGTTTCGAAAGCAGCCCCGTTTCTCCTGGTTTTGGAAAAGAAATTGAACGACTTGGACCTCTTCTCTTCGTTCTGCAACGACATCCGTCTGGGCCAAGGTCCGGAGATGATTGTTTCGGCACTGCAACGGATCGCGAATAGCCAACAAGTCGTGAAAGATGGCGAAAAAGGAAAACAGAATCACCCAAAGGACGAGGTAACGAAACGGTTTGACAAACAAATTGTCGAGCTCGTCACGGCCTTGTGGCGTGCGACGAAGCTTGCGGCACACGAGAGGGCGGGATCGCCTTCGCAAGATGTGGTGCCGATGGGTAAAAAGGGCAAGGGAAAACAAGCAAGAGCTGCTGTGGGACCATTAGCTACAGCACCAAAACCCCCAGAATCATGGAAGAACCGGATTCTTTTGCCTGATTCTGCGGGCCAGTTGCGAAAGGCGAGCGAAGTGCTGATAAACGACATGAAAGGCGAGATGAATGACTGGAAGAAATCTGCGCCGGGGCGGTACGCGAAATACGCAAGCCAGATTTTGTTGAACGAAATCCCCGAGGACTGCGGACAGGACCTCGGAGCAAAGTTGTTGAGACAGGTGTGTCTGGCGGGATTTCTAGCCCCCATAAGGTACTCCTGGCTGAAGCCGCAGGGACAGCAGCAATCGTTGACAAGTCGGCTGAAAGGCATCTTGAAGGATTACGATCCCTCCTCGATTATCCACGAGATGCTGCAGAACGCCAACGACAGCGAGTTGGCAGCGGGCAAGGTTGAGCTGACACTCGATTGGCGGCACCATGCCCACCACAGCTGCCTCACGACGCAGCTTGCAGAGATAAACGGACCGTTTTTCATCGTCCAGAACGACGGACTCTGGCGGGACGAAGATTTTGAGGGCGCCTGCGCTCTCGGTGAGGGGAGCAAGCGGAAGCAGCCGCTAAGCGATGAAAATTCGAACGCGCATATACCCGAGGGGCAGTTTGGTGTTGGGCTCAGCAGTTTATTTGCTACAGGTGACGTGCTTATAATCCGGTCTCGCAACCAAGTCCAAATTTTTGACCCGCACCTGGACTTCACAAAAGACGCAGGCGCTTGCCCAATTCAACGAGGTCTGCGTTTGACCCTTTTGCCTCCGCAAACTGGATGTGGTGCTGCTGCTGACGAGCCAAGCCCTTTGGAGATCGCTCCGCACCAATTTTCGCCGCCGTACGACCTGCCATTCACTCACGGAGGCGGTAGTTGTGCGTCGCAAGGCAGTTCAACGAGCAGGTGGAGGGACGGAGGAGCACATCTGGAGGGCTCGATTATTAGCGTTCCTCTGCGGAGATTGGAGTTGGGTGCTCGGGCAGGATTGGAGCAGTGGAAGAGCAAGATCTCCGATCTGGTTATGGACAAAGATCGCTGGGACGAAATGGTGTCTGGGTGGAGAAGCGATGCGCACCTGCTGATGCTGTTTCCACACAAGATGACCGAATTGGTCGTCTCCCAGCTTCCCGCGGACGCTGTGCCGCTCGGATCTCGAAATGGATCAGAAAAGCGACAGGAAACTACTGCGGCGTCTGCCAGCGCGGATAAAAAGCGAAGAGGGAGGACAGCATCACGCTCGGCGCAAGCAGCCGCAGTTGCGGAGCACCCAGAACACGTAAACAGCATGAACCCAGACGAATTGGTGCCAGCCCAACGAAAGACGGACTTTCGTTGCACACGCGAAGTTGAAGCGCAGCAGGCCAGCTGTAAAAGCGTTGCTGCGGAGACGCCTTTTGGGAGCGGCCTCTCCTTCATCAACGTCGTGGTGGACCAGCCGGAAGAAAACGGGTCGTCAAGAACGTCATCCAGAAGATACTCGATGCTGGCAACATTACCTGCAGAAGGAGAACCCAAGGGTGAACGTCGAGTCGCGCTTTGCGTCAAGACCACACACATTGATGCAACTACTTCCAGGAACGGGAAAGACAGTTCCACTAGGGGTACTTTGATGTCAACTGAGCACGAAAAAGGAAAAATCTTTTGTGGGCAGCCACTCCGAGCGTCCTTCACAGGATGCTCCGTGCACGTCTGCGCACTGTTTCAGCCCGCACAGGACAGACGCAAATTGGTTTTGGATGACAGCGGCGGTGATTCACGGCGAAACAAGGAAGTTCTGCTTTTGTGTGGCCGTGACATCGCGGAGCTTTTGCGGCACGTAAACGCAACTTTGTCTTTGGCAAAAGACGAGGACGTGGACGCGTGGCTGACGAAATCAGCAGAGGACGACACGGCACTAGACTTCGCCTTCTCAACCCCGGAATTCTCACGGACGATCGCGCGCGCCAATTTCTTCGAGTCTGCCTTCCCGACGGCAGACAAGGCAGCGAACAAAGATAAGAGTGAGCGCAGTCTGCTCGCGGAGGGTTTCTACAGTGCGATTGCAAAGGATCCAGAGCGGTACGCCGGGATGCACTCCAGCATCGGCGCCGAGACCGGCGACGACTGTTCTGGAGACGTTCGCGCCCTGCAGTCCTTTGACAACGTCCTGTTCATGGCCAGCGACGCGTACCCGGGCAAGGATGAGATCCGTAGAAACGCCATGCAGGTTTTGGCAAAGATTCGTGCGCCGATCGCGATCGCACCCCAACCAGTCCTCAACGCGTACTTCGAAAATGAAATTCTAAGCAAGACGGAAAACATTTTTTCCGTCGGAAACCTGCTAAAAACCGTCGTCCGTCCGCTGGAACGCGCTTTGACCGGTGACGAAGCAACCAAGCTTCTAGATTTCATTCTCGAAGATGTGAATGTGAATAAGGGCGGTCGTACAGCACAACAAGATGTCTTCAGAGATCTGGATGGCTGCAAGTTGTGTGTGCTGGGGCCGCAGCCACAGGAGGATGATCAAATTCATCACGAAGAGCAAGACACCCGGACCATTGTGCCGTTTGCGAAGGACGATCCCCCAGTTGCCTGCACAAAAAACGAGCAGCAAAGACTGATGCGGGCGCTTGGGCAGGAACGCAACGTCGTCTTTCCTACCATCGATAATAAAGGCGCCGCCGCGTCCCGGTCGCTGCGTAACACGAAGATGTTACAGAAAGCCGGACTGTTGCAGGAGCTGCAGGGACAGCATGTGAAGGAAATGCTCACAGCGTACATCGGAAAGCAAAAACAGCCGGACATTCCCGAGGAGCTGCTAGATGCGGTTTTCGCTTGGGCAAAAGCGAGTTCTCCCGCGGACCGTTCCTGTCTGGACGAAATCCCACTACTGCCCTGCTACATCGGTGACGGCGACGCGGAATGGGCCCCATTTTCTGACCGGTTTGTCTGTGTCGGGGAGAAAGAGTGGATCGGCATGCAGGAATACCTCAGCGTGTTCGGCGTGCAGGTGCTCGCGGAGAATGATTTTTCGCAAGGAGGTGATAATATGTAGTGAGGTCACCGAACGGTTCTAACCGGGGAGTTTTTTTGACACCCAGCCAGCAAAACGACCGGCAGTTTTCAAGCGGCCGAAAGCGTTTTTTGACATAAAAAATTTTCAATTATCAAGCGGGCGGGGCTTTGATATCAAACAAGCCCGGTCGAAAACTATCGATTCGCACTTGATAAAACGACGCAGGGGAGCCGGCAAAAGGGGCGCCCTTCTGAGGAGCCCACCGCCTTAGTTTCTGGCGATTTGGGGCGCCCAAAAAGAGGCGCGCAAAAAGCGCGCCCAAAATCAGAAAAGCGAAACAGCATGGCACGGCCGCGATTTCGAAGCATTTTGGGCGGCCGCGAAAGCGGCCGCCTTTTCGCCGGTTTCAGAGCCTGGGGAGCTTTGCAAAAAGCGCCGGCGTGAAAAATAAAAACGCAAAAGGGAAAAAGCGCGCCAGACGCGCAAAGCCAACCCGCATGCTGCGGGCCCGATTTTTCTTTGCTTTTTGAGCGCCCCCCGTGGCGCCCGGATCGGCCCCATAGCATCGGGGCTCGCTTTCGGAAAGGAATTTTGGAAATGTGCCAAGATTTGTGATGTTTCTCAAGTGACCGCCATACCGTGCGGCATAACGTTACTCACGGCGGTATGGCGAGCCCAGAAAAAGCAAAGCCGCGGCCAAGGCGGCGGTCGGAAAAAAACGCCCACGACCTCACTACCCCCGCCCCGGCGGCTATATTTGGTACTACGGGCCGCGACGAGGCCACAGCCTTCGTATCCAGAGCTGCAGCAGTCCACGAGCTTGCAGACCGGGGCGAACACATGCCCGACCTGGTTGCTGCCCTGGAATATCTCGCTTGTCGTAAGAAGTGCACGTTTTCCGAAAGCCCTTCTGGTGGAAACGACAAAGACAAGCAGAGCGAAAACGTGAACGATGACGCCGATCGTAGGTTCGACTCCGAGGCCGCTCAGCTATTGAACTTTCTCGCCAAGCACAGCGGATCTGGTCCTGAGGTCGTCAGGGCGATATCTAAGTTCATCGGACTGCTTCCGATCTTTCCCTACTGGTCTTCAGCTGAGGGGGCCAGGACAAGTCTGCTGTCGAAGAAAGTGAAGTGCATCTTTGCGATGCCGCAAGGCGACGTGTTTTGGAAATTCGCAAGAACAGAGGTAGCGGAGGTGCGCGAGATAGTCGTGCTCGACGATCACGAGGAAGATACAACAGCGACAAACAAGGCTGCGAAAAAGAATCCTGATAAAGCAAAAGCTCTGGCGCAGGGGGCAAAGCAGAGCAGTATCCTCCGGCTCCTGGAGGCGGTGCGCGAGGTTGCAACTGCGGAAGCGGGTGGCGCACCGTCAAGCAGCGTAGCGAAAAAGCGCACGAAAATGGGGAAGCAATTACCTGCTGCTGCGGTGGCTTCCTCGACCAAGAACAACGATTGCGATTTGCCGCCCATTCTGCGTCTGGCGAAGGATCTGTTCCTCGACTTGCGGCTTCTGCCGGTGCAGAACTCTGTCTTGATGTCCAAGGCGATCGAGTGCCAAGTTTTCCGCCCGGAAGACCAACAGGAACTTCTACAGGAAGAGTTTGTTCCGGGTAACGATGGCTCGTTGCTGAAAATCACCGACTGCTTCTTCGTCGACTCCGACTTTGGGCGGTTGAGTGCAGGGATCAAGCGCGGACTGAACCCAACCTGGCGGGGCAACAAACCGCTTCGCAGCAAAATCCAGGCCATAGGCCCCGGCTTCCGATCGGAACTTCATGCGGACGAAATGCTCGAGGTGCTGTTGCAAACGGTGGACCGGGCGGGGGGAGAAGGTGCGCATGTTGATCCAAACAATGCCTCCTCAGCCGCGGATCGTCCGGATCCGGAATTCGCTTGTCCCTCCTTGACGCTCGATCTGGCGAAGAAGCTGTACCAAAAGATCACTTACAATGACGACGTTGCGCAGAAGTTGCGTGGTAAGCGGTGGATCTGGGTCGACGGAACTGTTAACGGGTTCGTTTCTCCGTCGCGGATTACGTATACCCCGAAGCAGAATGCTGACCTGGCGCCGATTCTGATACCCTTACCAAAGGCCTACGAGAAGCTGTCGCTATTTTCCCAACTGATTCAGGACCGCACGAACGAGTACGCGTCGTCGCTTGTCACGTTACTGGAACAGATCCGCGAAGCCGACATTGCGCTTTCTGCTGGACGAGTAGTAGTTGAGAACTCCGATGTTGATGGCGAACAAGCTCCAGCGCGCGGACAGGTCGACGCAAGGAATCCTTTCGCGGCAGAATCGCAGGCCAGCGCACGAGAAGAACCACACGAAGCAGACTCGGACGGGGCCACGCTGACTGTCAAGTGTGGCGCTTACGGGCTGCCAGACCTGCAGTTGCGCGAGGAGGCGGTGGTAGACAAGAAATGCCGGATCCGAGTGATCGAAAACGCGGTGCTCGCTTTGGATAAAGCCAAGAGGGAAAAAAAGTTTCAGCCACTTGAGCTGCTGCTCAAGCGAGTCCTCCTGCCCACGAAAAGCCTGGAGCTGAAGCCCGCGGCCGAGGTGTTTGTCAATGATCTGAAGTGGGACCCGCTCGGCCAGAATAAGACAGAAAAGCTGCGGCAAGACATTCTCCACGACCGAATTGGCGACGAGGTCGGGTTGGCGCTCGGGGCCGGCAAGGTACGGAAACGGCTGAAGGACCGCTACCATTTAAACTTTCCGGTGCAGATCATGGGACTGCAGGAGTCGCTGACGAACCGACTGAAAAAGATCGTGAACGAGTATCCGCACAAGTTCTGCTTCCGTGAACTGCTGCAGAACGCCGAGGATGCGGGAGCAAAGAGGTTCGTAGCGGTCTACGACCACCGGACCTGGAAGAACCACGAAGCCGCCTCCCTCCTCTCGCCCGAGATGGCGCGGCAACAGAGCAAGGCGCTCGCGTTTTGTTGCGACTCCATCTTCAAACCCGGCGACTTCGAGTCGCTCTGCGCGCTGGGCACCAGCCGCAAAGACCACGCAACTATGATCGGCGCCCACGGGGTCGGTGGCAAAGTGCTTTTCGGCCTCACGGACGTCCCGGGGTATTGGAGTGGCGGCCAGTTTCTCTTTCTGGATCCCTACGTCGATTCGCTCGCAGATATGGGCGCGACCCGAGAGCAACCCGGCGTCCGGTTGAAAAACAGCGAAACCGGTGGCGACGGCCCAATGGACGCCTTTCCCGACCAGTTTGAACCCTTCCGGAAGCTTGCGGCTGACATTGGCATCCCGCTCTCCGTGAAAGGAGACGAGCTGTGCGGGTCGATTATTCGCGCGCCCCTCCGCGACAAGCAACAGGTCGAGCGCCGGAAGAACAGGGAGGACTCCAAGAACCGCATCTCCGACCACGTCACGTCATCCCCCGCGGTGCAAAAGGAGCTGCAGAAATACTTGCAGGCGAATATGTCGGACTTGCTCCTGATGCTGCAGTCCTGTACGGTGTTCGAGTACCATGAGATCGACTCGGATGGCACGAGGATCGATGCGGAAAGCCGGATCTGCAAAAGAAACGTGAAGTCTTCCGGTGGCGCAGACCTCGACCATGAGTTTAGCCAGGTCGCAGGGAGTCTCCAGCACGTGCAGTACGGGCACATTGAGCTCGTCACGATGTGTCAGAGCAAGAAGAACCACCCGCCGGAGCCTCGCACATTTCTGCAGTACAAACAGGCGAAGCTGGTTGAAATCGCTAAAGAGGATAAGAATGTGGGTCGATTTTTTTGCGGACTGCCGATCGAAGATTGCAAAACAGGCATCCCGCTCCACTGCAGCGCTTTCTTCCGCATGAGTGAGGACCGCCGAAGCATCCTGTTCGGCGACAATGATCCAGCAGATGCGAAGGGGAACAACCGTGAATTAGCCGATCAGCTGGTGGTTGCGTTACGAAAGTTTTGTGCGATCAAGGGTAAAGAGAAAAAAACAACCGCCTTCAAGTACTTTCCGATCGGCAAGGAAAGCAGCCCGTTATCAAAGTACATTGAAAACGCCTTCTACCAAAGTCTGCGCGAATCCCCAGCCGAGCGTGTGCTGTACACGATTAGCAGCAAGCCCGTAACCAACCTGCAGGAGTGCTTCTTCTTTGACCGGCGGCACGAATGGAGCGCATTTTTGGACGACGTCTCCAGTTGGGACGACATGGGGCTGGAGCTGTTGGCCCTGGATAAGCAAGAGGAAATTGCGAACAGGCTGCAAAAGTCGACCGGCAACGACGACCCGCAGGGACCGATCACTCTGACCGGCACGAACCTCTTGTTGAAACTAAAAAGTATGGGTGATCAGCTCTCAATAGGCGCGGGATCCGTCGATCCAATTCTGTGCTACTGTGTGGGAGACAAAACTGAGTTGCAGACCTACCTTCCCGGGTGCAAGCTCCGGGCGCAGCAGGACGGTGACATCACGAAGTTTGCACGTGCTCCGCAAGAGCACTTGCGCCCCCTGGTGGCAGATTCGGAGCCGGCTTGGAAATTGCTGGATTTCTTCCCCCGGCCCGATGTTTTAAAACAGCTCTCCAGCCCGGTCGTTGCAGCGTTGCAGAGTGCGGAGTTCGTGAAGGTGGTAAGACTTTCCGACGTCGCGAGGCTGTTCAACGAGCACGGCCAGTTGCAAGATCCAAATGTCACAATGCGGCGCGCTGTAGCGTTCTGGGACTATGCGGAGAAGTCCTTTTCGCGAATTGAAAACGCCAGGCGGCAAAATCCAACCGACCAGGAAGGCCGGAAAGATCCGCTTGAAGCGGCAAACGGGCTGCAGCTGCTGATTGCAAAAGGCAAATCCTATCACCCTTGCAGCCTTCGCGGACGAATGATCGTGTTTTCGGACGATTTCCTTGCACACGCGGGCCCCAGCGGAGCAAATCTGGTTTCGGCTTTGCAGAAGTGCAATGTTCTCGTCGGCACCAACACAGTGAAAACAATGCTCCCTTTTGTTTGCAACGCGACCGAGGGCAAGCCGCAGGGAGCTCGGGTAAGCAAAAAATGGATCGACTTAAGCGAGCATCAGCGGAAGCACCTTGTGGGCCGGGAAGTTGCGTCCTCCCTTCAAGCGGCGTTGCAGGGGCAAAACAACGTGGACAACCTGTCTGCGTTGGAGAAGAACGCTTTGCGGCAGTACTTATTCGCAATTGGAAACCACGGGGTGAGCTTGGGCGACGATCCGCCGGACCTTACGAAGAAGTGCCTGGAACTCTGTCGCAAACTCCCTCTGTTCAACCTTCTCGGGCACGCGGCAAATGACCGCAAGGCGCTGCCGGAGAAGTGCAAACTTTTGCCCCAGCCGAAGCCAGCCACTGAAGCCGCGGCTGAGGAGTCCGCCAGTGCTAGCGAAGACGAGGAGAATCAGGAGAACGAAGTTGAAGAGGCGGAAGAACGGCGGCAAGAGGCGGAGGGGAAGGTAGTGTGGGATCTGATAGAAGTTTTTGCCGAGGGAGAGGTTCGCGTTGCCGCGGCGTGTGCCGAAGCTGCTCCAAACAGTGAGGCGTTGCGGTTCTTGCAAGACGTGGTAAAGATTCCGACGATGACCGACGAGGACTTCGTGTGCACTATGGTGAACGAGCTGCAGCGACTGCAGTCAGCTCGTGCACAGGGTAAGGTTTTGAAGGCCTTGCTTACAACAACAGATGCGAGAAGGGGCAAGCGCCGCTTCGCAGTTCAGTTCACGAATAAAAGCTCCGGCCGAGTGAAATCGGTGGCTTTTTTGCAAGCAGCAGACGCACAGAGAGCCGGCTGTGCGTACCTGCAACCTTCTGACTGTCTTTCCTTCAAGTTTGCTGCAAAATTTACCGCAGTCGGTCTTTGCAAGCAGTTGCATCCCGACGTGGTCGCGGAGTTGTTGGTTAACCAGCAGCAGGACAGAGGCCCCGACGTGCTTGCGCAGATTATGCGACAGATTCTCACCCCGGAAGAAGTTCTTGAAGTCGCAGACCACATTGAGGCAAACGCATCTTCTGGACTAGCCATTGAGCTGTTTAAGCACATCAACTTGACCATGTTTGGTTTCGCAGCTTCCGGGCGCAAGGAAATGCACGAAGGCCTGCGGAGCAAGCAGTGGCTCCCCGTCATGAGCCAACGACCGCAGAATTGGCCGGCCGGTTTGCCATGGGCAGGCGAACGTTTGGGCGGGTGTCTAGTTCGCCCCGACGATTATCCTCAGAGCATTTTTTTGCCTGTGACAAAAGCCGCGGTCGGCTACGCGTTCCCAGTCGTCGACGATGCCGCCTTGACAGACTCTACGAGAACAAATTTGATCCGGAACAAAAACCACGCTGACGCGCTTGGCATTTGGAACCAAGGGGATCGCTGCACTTCTTCTCACATCCTCGAAAGCATCAAGAGACTACATGAACTCTCCAGCGACACTCGACGTGAAAAAGCCGGAGAAATTGATGGCGTGATCCTCAATCTTTACCAGGAGATGCACAGTGCCCTGACACCGGATGAGCAAAGCCAGCCCTTCGTCTGGGACCGAAAAACGCATTCGTTTTTGGGCATAGCTGCGTTTCACAAGGAGAAACCCAAGGCAAAATCTGATGCTGCACCGTTCGACATGAAATTGGAGCCCTACGTGTGTGCACTGCCGGCGGCTTGGAAGAACCTCCCCGTGTTTCAAAATGTAGCGAAGTCTCCCGGTGTCGACCATATCGTGGGCATCTTTTCCCGACTTGCAGCCGAAGGAACTGGCGCTCCGCTGGGCGAATACGCTAATCATGTGGCACTCTGCGCTCGCGCCTGGTGGGTTTCTTACAAACTTTGTCCACCCGGGCCGAACGAGATAGCAAAACTGATTCCCCGTGACAAAGCAGTCTTTCCAGTACGAAACAGCAGAAATGGACTTCTGGAGTTCGCCACCGCCGACTCGTGCTTCATCGACAACATGCCTTGGCTTTCCGTAGACCATGGCGATCTGCTCGATCCGAAACTGCCAGTGTCGCTTGGCGACAACGAGACAAAGCACATTCTGCAGATTGCTGCCGGGCAGTACAGTGTGCCCCCAGCTTCAGCGCTCTATGCGGCGAAGCACCAGGTACCCCTACCAGAAGGGTCCTGGATTGACGACTTTGTGCCGTACTCTGCAACTGAACAAGAGGACAAAACCAGGGCAGAAGATGCAGACTCTGCGTTTCACAACTATTTGCTTCGCGTGACCGACTTCTGGTCGAAAAGAACAAGTGGTGCGTCTCCAGAGCGGAGCCCGACACCACTGGAGATTTCTTTTCGGGTATGCCCGAACTCAACTTCGAGCGGTGCACCAGCACACGATGCCGGCTCTGCTCCTAGTGTCATCCCGCAGCTGATAGTGGATTCGACAGGAAACAGCATGGCAACGCACCATATCGTCACGGAACTGAGGGGGGCCGCGCCGCTGTCCGACGAAGAATGGAAGTTCCTGGCAAATCACGAAGTGCTGTTCTGGGACGCTGCAGTGGCGGTAATCTTGAGTAAAGGCGTGATTGGATTTTTTGATCCAAGCAAGAAAATCCGGCAACTTCGAACGGGTCGCAGTGACGTCTCTCCAGTCCTGCGATTCCCGGTGCACGAATTCGCGCGTTTGTGGCCAGAGCAAGCATCCATTCTCGGCCTTTACGAGACAGCGGCCTCTCCTGGATTGCGCATTTGGCACTTCGGAGGTGAAGTCACAGTGGAAACGTGGAAATCGTTTATCACGAATGGCGCAGGACGAGGTCTGCCCTTTCGAGTTTCGCTCCTGGCTTTTGAACACTTGAGGGTGCTCGAGTTCGTTTCGGAGATGACCAGAAATGCTGCCGCAGGGTCGTCCGCAAGTGCGACCCAGGCGAACGCAGCAAATCTTTGCAACAGACTGGAGAAGCAGAAAACAAAAAAAGAACTACTACAACAGCAACGTCCACAAAATCAGCACCACCAATCTTCTTCGAGTAGCGCCGCAGCGCCAGTACTTGATTCTGTTGCAGTCGCAGAACTGACAGTGAATTCCGTGTGGGTAACGCACAACAATGCCAGTGGCGATAGCAACCGGACTGCCGAGCAGAGCCGCTGGTATCGAGTTTCTGCAGACGATTGCGCCTTTGTCGTTCCGGTAGACGGACAGATGAACCATCCAGGCTTCGGCAACATCTTGGCTCATCATGCGTCCGTTTTGGGAGTAGCTGGACATGCTGTGTGTGTGCAGCTAAAATGCTTCGATGAGCTGGCTGAATCAGCAGAATCTTTGGGTGCGTGTCTTGGCGGAGTCGTTGCCTGTCTAGCGAATTCAAATCTGAATGGATTCGATTTTTCTTCGCCGGAGTTGAACTTCACTGACTCGATCTCGCCGGACGAACTCGACAAGACGCTGCACACTGTTGACAGTGTCAAAGGATTTTACAACGTGCTTCAGTCAGCGCTGCTCCTGCACGGAAGGCCCATGTCCTCATACAAGATCCTGCAGCGGACCTGGGGTCGCGGTGACGCAAATGCGACAAACTGGTTGGAAAAGTCCGCACACTGTGTCGGCCTGCCTGCGTGGCTCCAGAAGTATGTTTTTATGGAACGCCACGACACGACAAGAATGCCTGCGGTTTGCTTCGCGTCATGCCGGTACATCGTCCAGAAGGTGTGCGAGAGCGAGAGGCAACTGTCGGCTGCCGTACACACATCACTACTGTCGTGGATGATGAATTGTGTGGAGTTTTGGCAGGAGGACACGTTGAAAGAGCTGCCACTGTTGCGGGAAGATGACTCGCTTTCCTCTACCTATCCACGATGGTACTGTAAGAGCGACAAGATCCGAAAGATTTTGTCCCCCACAGTTTCCAGAAGTGCCATCGTGAAGGCTCTACCGAAAACACCAGCGGGCGTGACCAACAAGACTGAGTACGACGCGTTCGACCTACTCGGGCCGTATCAGCCACCCGCAGTTGCGGGGAACGCCGACAGCATCATACATGCAGAATTCTGGAAATTCTATGCGAGTCGTTCGTCGTCCCAGCGTGCCAGCAGCGTGCTGTTGCAGCAGTCGCTTCGATCGTCGATGCATCTTCTAGAAGAAAAATTGACGGTGGAAGTTACTGCTCCGAACAACGGTAACCAGCGCATTCCCTTGCAGCCCCACTGTGCGCTTCGATCAGGTGCGAACAACGAACTTTTGAATTTTGGAAATGAACTTTTTAAGCGCATCGGCTGCCGTTTCAGCGAGGAAAGCTTCCCCGACATCGGCACCCGCGAAGATGACAGCGGACAAAAGACGACGACTGAGTATGCAGGAGAGACGGTCGACTTTGTCGCGCAACACTTGGCTGCGTTGGCCAAGGATGGAGGTCTAAACATCATAGGCGCAGCTGACGCACAGTCTTTGTTCAAGTTTTTTCTCGTCGACAAGAAACTTCAAACAGACGCCGGGAGAAGAGCGCTCGCTGATATTCCGCTAATCGTAATCGAGACTCCTGGTGCTGGAGGATCTTTACTGGAGATCGCCAAGTGCAAATTCATACAGTCAGAAAACGTCGCCAAGCTCTGTCGCGTCCGGACGCAGCCACTACCGGTATTTTGGATTCAGGATCCAAGGTTTGCACCCTTCGCACAACAGCGCATCATCAAACCGACCACTCCACTGGAGATTCTGCGTGCCTACGCGACCACCATCGCCTCATCGGTATGGTCCGTAGACGAACGGGAAACCTTGCTAGCGGCTGTTGCGGCAGACCAGCCCGATTCCGCGGCCAGAGATATCGCAAAGCTCCCTCTTTTTCCTGGCGGTGTTCCCCTGACCTCATTGTTCGCCACATCTGGTACATCCGGACGGGGCAGCAGTAATAAAGACATCGTGAAGATGGTTCTCGATGCTAATCCGGGGGTGCGGGAAAAGCTGTGGCATTGCCCCGACGTCGGCCCAACACAGTTGCGACGGCAGGCGAAGGGGCTCGACAGCGCCAACAACGTCGTGGAATTTTTCCAACAGTACGCACCCTTCGTAAAGAACATTCCCCAAAACTCCCACAGGAAGTACCGACAGGCGCTTCTGGAACTTTTGCACGAGCACGTCGCGGAGGATCAGGCGTCGGTAGACGAAATCCGAGCGCTCCAAATCGTCCCCCTGCAGAACGGAAACTGGCAGTGCCCGAAAGACGTGTATTTGAAATGCGTGCACGAGTTGCTCATTAACCACACAGACGACGGCAAGTGCCGAATGCTCACGGAGTCGGTCGATGACATCCCCGGCGCGAAGAAGTTCTTCCGTGAAGCCCCTCCGGTGACCCTAGTTCTCGTGCAACTGGATCTCTTCTCGCGCCAGTGGAGCGTCGGAACGGGCATCAGCCAGGTCGTGTCCCGACAGGATGATTTAAAACAGTTCCAAGCCATTTACGAACACCTCGCCGACGCGCTTGCAAAAATCGAAGCGGAAGACGAACCCGAACTGAAGAAGCACGAGCAGTCGCCTGTAGTCCGCAAGTTGCAGCAGCACACGGCCTGCGTCGTCGGGGCGGACCATGTCTTGCGGAAACCGCACCAGTACTCGCTGAAACTGTTGGAAAACCGTCCACCGCTGTACATGATGCAGGCGACGCTGAAGGAGCCGCGGTTTCACACACTGTGGCGCGTCCTCGGGGTGCAGCAGCAAGCCACCGGGAGACTGACTGCGAAACCGGTTATGCTGCTCGAGCAGCTGAAGTCGAAGCAGGTGGTTGCGAAGAAGGCGGATTTGGTTTTGGTCGCCAGCAAAAGCCGTATGAGAGGTTCGCGGGGTAGTGGAAGTCTCGTCCGACCGGACCTGTCTGCGTCTTCGCCGTCGTTCTCAAACGAGCAGAACGTTGCGGATCAAGACACGGTGAGAATCCCGTTTTACCAACTCGCGTGGACCACGGTTTTTCCAGACTCGGTTGCAAACGTTGGAGCAGCAAGACGTGCTAGTGGCCCAGGATCAGCTTCTATCCCATCGCAAGCGTTCGATGCGGCGTCTTCTTCAGGTTCGTCCAGCAGTAGTTCTGCTGCTGGCAATCAGCACCAGGCAAGCTCGTTACTACAGCAGCAGGCACAACAACCAATCTCAGTCACGGAGCTGGACCTTCGGCCAGCGTCGCAGGAAGCGGTCAAGATCCTCTGTGATTACGCCCTCCAGGAGCGGCTGCCGAATGAGGTCGGGGAGGATCTCGGGTTTGAGCTGTACCAGCTGGGGAAAAGGTTGAACGCGCCCTACATCGAAGAACACTTCGAGGCGGTGCTGAACGGGGTAGTGGGTCTCGGGATCGACGGCGGGCTGAAGGAACTGGAATGTTATCCGTCGTACTGGAAGAACCAGGCGACCCATTTGGATTTCTCGGAGCGGGTGCAGTTGGATAATACCTGGGTTCAGAAAATGACGAGGCTGATGAACGAATCGTCGAGGGCCGGCAGCTGCAATGCGTGCGGTGGCAAAAAGTTCCAGGTCGCGTCTGTGCACCGCATTGAAAACCAGGATCTGTGGAACCGATACGCAGCCCGTCGGAAGCTGCTTTTTGGGCTGGTGCAGAAGAAAAAGCGCGCGGTGAAGCGACTAGAAGGCACAGTCGTCAAAGGAGAGTTGCGGAACATCACGGCGGAACATGGCCTCCGGCATGAGGAACTGAATGAGTTTTACTGTTTTCACGGAACAAAGCCCGACTTTGTCGAAGCGATCGCAGAAAAGGAGGGCTTTGACGAGCGCGTCGCGAATCTCGGTGGACTATATGGCGCTGGCGTCTACGGTGCGGATCAGGCTTGCAAATCGCATCAGTACACCGCAGCTGATGCGCAAGGCTATCGGAGCATGTTCTTGTGCCGGTTCGCACTGGGAAATCCGCACTACACCAGTTGTTGTTTGGTATTTGGACTTTTTTTCGCTGATTCAAAACAAGTATTTGATGAAAATCGCAGCTGTGTCAAAAATGAAAAAGCCATTTAGGTTCGTGGCTCGAGAAATGAAACTAGAATTCAGCCGATGATCACATGATATGAGGCACCAGCACAATATCGCAATGACAATATGAATATACATTGTAAATAATACAGGTGAATGCGCGACGACCGCCGCGGGCTGACAAAGAAGATTGCGTGATTGCCGCAACGGGACCGATGGCGGGCCATTTCCAAAATCGTCAACAGCACAACGAGCTGATTGTGTACGATCGATCGAGCGTGTATGCGGAATTCCTCATCAAATACAAGGAAGTACTAGGGTAGACTGGTCGGTCATTGTGGTAGACCAAAGATTTTTTTGTAGTCACAACTGTTGCTACTCGCCAGACGCAACCCCCTTTTCCTAGTGTCTGTCACTTTATGTAGTGTGCTCTTCTGTACTGTTTTGATGTTGTGTGTGTCCTTTTTATATCCCTCCGTGCATCTGCGCAAAGACAAAGCGGTCCGTGTTCATGATCACAATTTTTTTCACCAGCGACAGATTGTCAGTATCGAAGGCGAATTTAGCAACGGGCTGAAGGTACGCTCTAATTGACGACGAACAAAACAAAATAAAAAAACACCTTTTTTGAAAAGAAGACAAAGACAGACGAACAACGACCTTTCGAACTACGAGAACTACTGCGTAATAATCTTCCGAACGAAAACTTGCCGACAGTTGTATACTGACTTGTGTAATTTTTTGCGTGTCGGTGTCGGTGTTTCGATCGCGGTATTCGAGAAAAACGCGATGTGCAGAGTAAGCAAGAGTTGAAAGAATGAAAGCGAGGAACAGAGAGAGCGAAGCAAAAGTATCCCTTCTGTCATCACGGAGCTTGTGTGTCTAAAAATGGTCCATTCGTTTCGTATCGAGTTGTTGTGGTGCTCGTGTCGATTTGAAGTTTTTGTCACCTCTTGATCGCTGTTGATGTGCCGCATCTTCACTTCCGGCTTCGCATACATGATAGTAAAAAGACGCAGATTGCTTCTTCGAACCGCTCACGTTTAAAGAAGCACACGATGCTTTGAGTTTTGTGTTTTTCAAAAAAGGCACGATAAGCTGGCCTGCACCACAACTCTTGTGCTTCTTTGAATCAATTGATTGCGTCGACGGCTGTCATCATCAAAACCATGCCTGACCGGCGGCAGTCCATTTCCGACGATGCTTCCATTGCAGTTGGTGAATCTGTTGCTCCCATGGCACGCCGTGGCCGGGCGGATGTGAAAGAAGATCAGGACCCTGACGCGCGTGAACATGCTTCTAGTGTCGACGGCCAGCATGATAATGCTGGTGTCCTCGGAGGGATTGCCAGAGGACCCGCGCACGCCAACGAGGCTGGCTCTAATGACAGTCATGCGGGCCGGGATCTCAGGGGAGACGAAGATCGCGAACTTGTTCAAGAACAGGAAGAAGGCGACGCTGACGAGAGACGGGTGGTCAAGAACGACAAGGCCACCCAGGATTTCCTGAACGAACATCTCCCAGGACTGTCTCTCACAACGCAGATTGACTCGATCTGCTCGTACACGGATTTGCTATGGAAACTCCTACACGAAAAATGTAAGTTTCCCGAGCGCCAGAGACTAGGACAGACGGCGGAATACCTGAACTTCGGTCTGGTGAGGGTGCCAGGAAAGGCGCTGCCTGTCTGGTCGCGGGACAGTTTAAACGGACATGGGCTGCTCTGCAAGATCATGGTCGCGTTCTTCCACAAGCACGTAGTCTGCAAGTCGACCGACAAGGAGCTCTTCTGTCTCGTGGACAAGGCCGACGTTGCGCGCGAGTACGGCACGGATGACCTGCCGTTCACTTCTTGCACCGTCAACAAGGGCTTCAAAAGCGGACTGCACATAGATGAAAACGACTCCGGGTACAGCTTCGCGGTGCACATCGGGCCAGATCCCGCTTGTGGCGGCGGTCTCTTCATCCACGTGCCGTGCAAATTTAAGCGACAGAAGCTGATCGACCACCCGTCGAATCGCGTCACGGCGGCCACCCACGTTGTTGCGGAGGACAAGAGGATCAAACCTGGCAGGACGGTGTCGCAGGGGGAGCAGCTTCCAGGGATCTTCGTAGACACAAAGACGCCTGTCTGTTTCCACGCACAGGATGAGCACGCAACCGCAAACGCAGACCCTGGGCGCATCGCGATCATCTTTTACTCGCAAAGGAAAGTCCGGCCGGAGCGCAAACTGGAGCTCCAGTGCCTCGGTTTTGTTCCGCCGCCGACCAGGTGCTTGGGCTTGGGATACTATGCGGGTTGCAATTTTTTCGCACAGCCGCGAGGCGGTGCACCGGCAGGGGCCTTGCTAGGAGTGCAGCTTCCGAAATCCGCTGCATCCGCGTCCTCCGCGTCTCGACTGCCAAAAATGGAACAGCAAAGTGTGAAGCAGGAACCTGAAGTTGTTGGTGATCATCAAGCCCCCGCTCCTCCTGCTGCTGCTCTGCTGGCTGTTGCAAAAAACGAGCCACAGCACGAACACGTAGTCAATGCTGCCAGCAAGAAGGTCAAGGTCGAACAAGCACCCGAACAATTGGAAAGAGAGGCGCCAGAAGCAGATGTGGTCATGGCTGATCTTGAGGATGAAATCGACGCAGCCCCAGAGGAAATGAGTCCTCCCGCACTACCGCAGCACGACGAACCGAAGAAGACGCAGCGAGGACGGCACGTGTCGAAGATTTCGGCGGATGTCCAGGGCTATCTGGACCGAGGGCACGATGTACCAGACGCACTAATGGAGGAACTCGACGAGGCGATCATGGCTGAGGCGGCAAAAAAAGCAGGTAGTGCATCATCCTTGCAGGAGCAAGCAGCACCCGCTGTGCCACCGAGGCACGGCAAAGAACCAGAAAACGACGAAAGGGAAAACGCGAGAACAACAGGAGCTGCACACGCGACCGCAAAGGCAAACAATCCGCCCCCAGGTACCGTTGGGGCCTCGTCTTCATCTGCAGCTCCTATGTCCTTTTCAGCGGATTACGCGGACCTGTTTTTCGGGCAACCCCCGACCGATGGCGATGAGGAGGAAGAGCCACAGTATTTCCTTCCCGATACTGTGACTTTACCGTTGAACAGTGGCGCTTTCGACAGCTACAGCGCGGGGCCTGCAGCCGGGGTGCCGCAACAAGCCGCCCACGGAGGCGGCACAGGGAGTCGTGTTGTCAGCGGTCGTGAAGGAACAGGAACTGGCGCTCTTCTACTAGAGAAAGATAGTCGCGGCATGTCGGCGCAAGCGAAGGCCGAGGGAGGTTCACTTCTTCCAAAGGACGAAAGTGGAGTTCATGAAAGGAAGAGCAAGAAGCGAGGTTCCGTCAAAGCAGAAGGTGCCCCCGAAGCCGGAACCAAGAAGCAAAAGTCGAACAAGCAGGCAAAATCAAAAAAAGGTCCGCAGGATAGCACGGCGTCACGAGTAAAACTGGGCGATGAAGAAGGCCTCTCTGTGGCGAAAGGGTACAACTGGAAAGCTGACCACGAAGACCTGGAAGGACAAGCGGACGGCTCTGGGTACCTTGAGGATTATGCCAACGAATCTGCTGAAGCGCCGCTCCTTTTGCAGCGTGACATCCCGATGACAATCCCCGAAGCTAGACCGTCCACAATTCTCCACATCATACACGCTGACGCGCACCTCGAGCCTGCGGAAAGCTCGCCGCGAACCTTGAGAAAACAGAACAGCGACAGCGTCGACGGATGGGAACAGCTTGTGCAGGAGGTCCTGGGGGTCGTAAGAGAAAAGAGAGGTCATGACCATTCTTGTAGCAAGTCCGAATCTTTCCCCGGGGCAGAAGGCGCGGCGCACGATGTATAAATAGATCTTCTGATGATCTTGCCTACGATGCCGTCGTTGTTTCTTTCAAACAGTTTTTACATGCCAGCACCACTAGCAACGCCACCGTGCTGTTGACCGTTCAAACTAAGTAATTTGAATCGAATGTGATTGCGGACGATAAACGTAAATGTAAAAAAAAGAAAATGATTATTTCAATCTTGTCCAACATGTTCATCAGTTACAATTTCTTCTTCCGGTGTGCCAACCCTGGGGACCGACGAAGCCATTTCCACGACTCGGTGACGGCCTGAGTAAATCGCAGGAGAAGCTTCTTTGCCAGCTGTTTGACTGGTGGAAGGTCGTGCGTGACCTGCTTGCCATCTGGTCGGACGCGCAGCTCAAGAACTACTCGCAATCGGCACGGAGCAACGGCCTTGACAGCGGAAGTAACCACTGCCCACCGTTGAGCACCGAAACCCAGCGCAAGTTCGTTTCCCAACACAAGTGGTTTCCCTGGTCCCACATTCGCAGGCAGCTCTACGTCTTGGAGACCTTCTGGATGCTCAAACATACGTCACAGGTCTGCAAACTGCCTTGGGCAATTCCGGTCGTGTTCACAGAGAAGCAGCAGCTCCCGACATACTTCGAAGAGCAGATGCGGACGGTGCCCGGGGCTCCGCTGCAGCAGGGAGAACAGACGCACGGGGTCGGCGTGAAGAGCAAAGCGAAGAAAGACACAGGCGGGAACTCGGAAGGAACAGGCGGTAGCCTATGGGACCATCTGCGGAACCCTTTCGGTAGAAAAAAGTGAAGCGCATGACCACACGGACACGGATGATGTGAGTGTGACGCAAACAGCATGTTGTGCTGCCTAGAAAATACTTATGTGCGAAAAGTCTAATATCGCTATCCCTCTTCCACCTAAATGCAACAAGTATTGGTCCTGCTCCTGCTAAGTAATAGGCTGAGCAGAAATGAGATGAACTTGGAGAACTGAAGAAGCTGGCTCGAAAAAAACTGTATTTATTGAAGCAGATCATGGAAAACCGAAACCCTGCCATTGCCAATGTACAATTTGATTTTCGGACACCAAGATCTAGCTACACGGACAATTAAGAATTGCGCTTGTGGTACTCTCTTGTGATGGAAACCAAAACAAAACTCGCTCGTCGGAGGTGCACGGATTCGCTTGGTGGTATTCGTGCCGTAGCATGTTACTGCTGGTTCGTCGTTTCTCGGGGTCACAGTGAGTACCGCCGCGAAGCTGAGCCCTCTACTCCTATTGCGTTTCCTTTATCATCATGAAAATTTGAATTTGCTGTCTTTTTTTACTATTGCTCAGGGGTTGGTGACACCTGCTGAGCGAATTTCGGAATATTCCTTTTGTTTCCTTTTTCGCTCAATCGTGTCAACGCAACAGATGTTTCATCCTTCCTTTGTAATTTCATATTATCAATGATCGTGCAGAAAAAGGGAGGCTGTTTTTGTCGAAGACCTTGGTCTTATTCGTGATTCCTTGCCACCATGATATTATTAAACACATTGCTTTTTTATTTTTGCCATTTTTTTATTTAAGAAAATATTATATCTAATGAAAACTAGCAGAAGTACAAGCTGAACGGCGACAGTCACCATGTCTTCGGCCTTTCTGCATCGGAGACTGGGAGCAAGCGCGAGCAGCGAGGGTCCCGCTGATGGTAACAGTGTCCCGTACTACACAGCTCACACGGAGGATGGAGGCAAGACCACAGCGTCAAAGCAACTGCCGCCGCGGCGTATCAGATGGGAAAATTTGTGTCACGTTTGCCATGAAGGATTGAAAAAGGTCTTGTAATATTGATGGCAACTACTTCAAAATTGCAATTGCATTCCGAAGGAAATCGAAATGGGGGGTATGTATGATGATCTGAAAGTATAATGTGCTTCTGCACTAGAAGTACATCGAAGCCATAGTGAAGCTTTCAGTGACAACCTAAGAAATTTTCGCATTCACCAAACCGCCATATCCAGACCGCGAAGACCTTCTGGCAACTCTTTTCCGCGACGACAGCAGCAGTATTATGGTGCCCGACGACACCGGACCGGCGCACTACTCGTTCCCAGCAGCGACAGAGGCTCCCCGTCGACCCGCGCCGTCCGAAAGTTTTGCAGAAGCCGACCCAAGGACCAGAAGCTTTTCTACTCCGCTGCAGCCCCGCCGGCTTCCTTGGGAAGACGGATCCGTTGTTCCGTTTCACCATGATCAACAACAGCGTGATGAATTTCATAAAGGCGGCCAGCAAGTGGAGATGAATCAACCAAATTGGCAAACAAGTTCGCACAGCGGCAATGACCACGTGGACATAATAACATGGGAGAGTTCCGTGAACGGTATGCTGCTCCTCTGGGTCTGCGGCTTCGCGCTGTGCTGCTGCTGCTACTGTCTCGCCCGCCCGCTGACGGAGCTTGGAATGCGGTGCTGCACCACTGGTTTGCGCAAACTGTTGCGGAAGTGCCGCAGGACGGCGAAACGCGTGCAGAAATCCGTCGACACAGACGCGGAAGTCGCACGATGTGTAAAGGAGCTAAAGAGGAGGGAACGAGAAATCGCCGAGAGGATCGAGGAGCGTGCAGTTGGGCCCTTTGTTCACAGCTACGGAAGGATAGAGGAGATTGTTCGAGACGACGACATCGAAGCGGCCTTCTCGGAGCGCGTACGAAAACTGGCTATGGAACGATATCTAGACGATCTTCAGTGGCACGACATTACGCCCCGCGGGGCCGAAAAACGCTGCGCATGCTGTCCTGCTGACAATAATCTATACGACTGCCGGCGCAACGTATTTTTGACAGCTAGCAGAGACTGCTTCATTCCGTTCTTATCCGCCACGCTACGCAACTATTTGCTGTTTATCCGGAGGTTCTGCAAGTGCGTTGCCTGTTTCTGCAGTTGCGGTGGCCAGTTTCCGGACCTTTGTTGCACGAACATCGACTACTGCGGCTCAGTGATTGGTTCCACGCCCCCCGCGCTCCTGCCTTCACCAACGGGGGACATCGTTTCGCAGGACGAGGCACGGAAGATCTTTGCAAAACTGATTTGCGAAAGCCACGATGGACACATATCAAGAGCACCAATGGACTTGAATAGCGGTGGGGACGAGGAGGGGGAAAGCGAAGACGTCGAGTCATCAACAACCACTTCAGCTGACGACCCTGACAGCGAAACAAGCAGGATAAGAACATCAGATGAAAGTGGAGCACAAGAAGTACCGATTGCTGCTGCCGAGGGCGACGAGAGTTGTTATTTGAACTGTTCTTGTTGCAGCTCCTCCACCCCAGCTTCTGTTGTGCGAAAACGTAAACGAAAACGCAAACGACAGCGAAAGGAACAGAACCAGTTTCGCTTTCGTGTGTCCAAAGACTGCAACGGCGTCGACGGGGCCAGTGCTGGGTATCCCAGAAAAAAAGATTGTAGGTGTAACCTTTTTGGAGGAACAGCATTACAAATCTGTGTGACATATATAAGAGCAAAACCTGTCATGCGCAGATCGTACTGGAAAACTCGGCTGCATGGACCCTACAACGCATTCCCAGCATGACAGACGCAATCGTCTTGCACGTTGCGCATCACAAACTTTACACTAACAATCTTTTTTCTTGTGATACTGGGCTGTTTGAAATCGCTGCGGTGTACCACTCGAGCTGTCCGCCGACAAGGGACATCAGCATCTCGAAATTTGGGAGAGGAAGAACTTCATTATTTCAGGAAAACTTTCTGCGCAAACTTTGCTGTGCCTGCCTGTTTCGACCAAGCCCGGCACAGCTGCGGAAGTGGACAAAGCTCCGGACGATAAGCTGGAAACGGTTCTACGCCTGCCGTGAGCGAATGATCGCGAAGTGCGCAGCGGAGGTGGAGCAGCGTCAAGATGTTGAATTGGGGAAAGCAAAAGCTAGAGCCCATGATCTTCTACTTCGACCAGCGTCAACATTCTCGTCGGGATCCTCTCCTGCTAGGGATGAAAGAAAAAGTCCAGCACCTAGAAGTTCTCTCACTGGCCAAAGTAGTAGAGACAATGTGGATCATATGAAAAAGAAACCGCAGCTGCGCGGCCACAGTTCTGACGACTTCCTTCGCTTCGTCGAGTTGGAAGTGCCTGCAGAGGTTTTACTTCGAGACTCTGAAGATTCTTGTGAGCAGCACAGCTCGTTCAATGTCTCGGAACAGGAGGCAACGGATAGTCATAGTTCCACCGCTGTACCACGGGCACCACCCTCGTCTTGCACCTGTTGCGCGCCTTCACTTCCTGATGCCAGTTGTATGGAGATGAGAAACACGTCCTCGGATAAAATTAAAAGGCAACATCACAAGAAGTCGTGCAGGCTGCTTCTACCCTGGGCCTCTACAGCACATGACTACGACTTCGATGTTGACAGAGAGCCGCATGAAGAGCGAGGCGCCGACTTCACGGAAAGTGCTCGCTCTGGTGTCTACGCGCGCCGCGGTTCCACTACTACAGACGGCCACCACGGTACGAATACCGCTGATGAGCAACCACGCGGCGGCGACCGAGACAGAAAAGAAGAGGAAGAATGTTTCCTCGCTCACTTTATGATACCGGATTATGAAGACTCCGGGTCCGGCTCCGACGTGGATGAAGATGATTCTAGTACCGAAAAGATCATCAACAGCTGCCATAGGGGGCGAGACGAAAAAAGAGCGCTAGTTTTAGAAGAACGGGGCTGTCGTAATCGTATAGATGAACCTACAGCAAATAATCCATTGGAAAACGCCGGGTGCGCAACCGCAAGACGAACAGGACAGGAGGTGAAAAAATATCTACTCACGGGGATTGCGACCTCTGCAGGGAGGTCCACCCCTCGGCTAATGAGAAGCGGAAGCAGTAGTAGGTCTCCTGGTAAAAATGAAAATACAAATAGATCTTCAGCGTCCGGGTCGGGCAATAAAGAAGTTGTCAAGAAAGCCGGGTTGCAGAAATGCAAACTGTGTCGCGAAATTGGCGAGTGCCGCGCGTGGCACGGGACCAAATTTAGTTCGGCGCGGGACATCTGGAGCGAGGGCTTCAATACGTCCCACTCCGGTCGGAACCGCGGGAATCTCTTTGGCGACGGAGTTTACCAAAGTCCACACGTGTGCAAGGCCATGCAGTACGCAAAAGAGAACATCGCGGGAGAGCGTTACGTGATCTGCAGCCGGTGTCTGATCGGGAACAACGTTTTGGTCACCGCCCAGCGCTTCGACGATAAACAGCGGCAGGAGTTGTTTAGCGGACGTGAGAAAAATCATGCCGGACCAGGCCCTAGTACCGCTGGCTCTGGCGGCAGCTCCAGCTGCCAACTCTACAGCGACCTTGACTCCGTGCTTGCGGTTCCCGCGTCCGAAGTGCCAGAGGATATCTTGCGCAAGGAGCGGTATCAGGAAGAAAGAAGGTTCGGTTTCTGGGGCAGGGTACTGGGTTGTGAAAGCGCGAGTAGTTGTGCTGCTAGTAGTGGAGGTGCGCCATCGGGTTTTTCTCCGCCTGCAGAGCTGCTGGAACGATATCACGTGTGTGAAGAAGACTTCCAAGAGTACATATTTTCATTGAAAAGCCCTCAAGGCTCCTCTCAGAGTGTAGTCCGCCTCGCCCCCCAGGACGACAGCATCATCAACGTGGTCGACCACAGTCTTGGCGTAGTACACCAGAACGAGAGCCACCCCTTTATCAACACCTCCGTCCAAGCCATAAACCGCCTCCCGTACGGACTAGACGCGCACTCCGACTTTTCCACCGACTTCATAACCCGCTACTCGCGGACCGACGTGGAGCGACTGGAAAATGCCGGAGCAGTGAAGACCCCACTGTTTGCAAGGACGCAAAAATTCGTGCGCCCGCCGGCGAGAAGAGGCTCTGGCGCGGAGGAGACGGACTTCAGATCCGTCAACCACGAGGAGCACCGCTGCACCAGTGCGCACCAAATGCTGCCTGAGTACTTGCTGCAGTTAACCCGTGTGTACGAGTATGAATAGTTGTTGTGGTGCTGCATAATGATAATGAATATGCAGTACAAGCAAAATTATTTCCCGCACTTAGATTGTGCATGGGGATCGGATGGAACAAATCTGAAGCACGGGTGTGCACCACGTGTCTATGCACGCATAGGGGAAAAAAGAAAGAATATGAAAGAGAGAAAAAATATTTCGTCGTGCAAGCTGTGTGCTGTCACGGCGTGTAAAGATTTTCTTCCCAAAAACTACGATAAAAGAGGCGCAACTTCTGTGTAGGACGACCCACAGTAGTCACTGACACTGTGTGAGTTCGAACTTGAGATTGAGTCCATGTTCACATTGATCATCTTTACAATGCAATGGATCGCACATAAACACTGCCGTTTAATATTGGTCTGTGATACACACACACAGACCACCACCGCCGCCAAGAACTTTTACCTCACGCAAGTCGGTATTGTATTCCGCCCGAAGGCGTCGAAGCCTATCTACAGGAGCTTCTCGGTAGAGAAAGTCGGAATCACCAAAGTGGTGCAAAATAAATTTGTCATGCCTGACCACAGACTCAAACTTCGTCCGGTTCTCGGTCTCAAGAGAAAAGGTTCAGTACGTTCTCTCAAGCATTCTTAACCCTCCGATGGTGGACCGAGAGGACGAAAGTGGAGCAGGTGAGAGCAGCTTTACTTAGGCAGATTAGTACTTTAAGAATGTTGATCTCTATCTTAAGCCCTAGACCTAGTGCGACATTACTATAGGATCATGATCTCGGAGTGAAGTTGTAGTTGACACATCAAAACACGATCTGAGGATTGATGTTGCAGGGATGTGGTGGTCCACTATCAACGACCTATTTCTTAAAAACGAGTTTCATGAACAATAAAGAGAGCGTGTATCAACATCTTAGAAAGGAGCGAACATTACTGGCGCAGCAAGAAATACATACAAAATCAAGAACAAATCAACAATAAAAACTTGTAGTGACGCCGTAGCTGGCCCAACAAAAGCGCAACACTATTTTAGTTTTACCAGAATGACGGTCCTCTCCCGTCTTTCGCGGCGGGCGGGCCCCGGCCTCAGTTCGTCCGTGTCCTCCGCTAGCCGCGGAGGTGTGCTTCACCATTCCCGAAGATCAACACCGTCCTCAGCGTCGCACTGGAGGATCGTGTTGCTCAGCAATGGGGGAAGAACTACCACGAGGTCATTCTCCTCCCTGGAAACCTCACCCATCGTCTCCACGCTGCAGACCAAGATTCTCGCCTTGGCCGAGCAGAAAAAGGACGCAATTGCCATGATCAAGAAGCTATCCGCCGCAAACATGTTGTGCGAAGGACGCTGATCTTCATTTTTGTTGCGAAAGATAAAGAATTTTTGAAAATAGAGTCGCGCGGAGGTCTTCTGCAGGGCATAAAGTATGACGCATTTATTTGCAGTAGGGCAGCGGTTTAGTGCAAGCGATCTAGTCTGTCGCATGAAAACAAAATCATAGCTGCTCCTCACGCATTTGAGATCGCCTGCTGGGCCTCTTCATACTCAGTGAAAATGTCACATGAGAAAAATTGAATCCAGAGGTCCCATCAAACATATTTGCAATCCCGATACCAGAGCGACGCAAAGGTTGGAGAGATCACCGCGGCACAGGTGTTTGGCGGCATGCGCGGCATGCCGGGGATGGTCACGGAAACGAGTGACTTGCACCCGGAAAAGGGCATCACCTACCGTGGATACTCGCTGAAGGATGCAAACATAAAGTACGTTTCTACTTTTGATTTGTACTTATTTGCATCGACCTGGGATGATCGCGTTGCAGCTGTGTCATGGTATATGTAGACACATCAAACCACGTAGTTCGTTGATCCTGCGACAACAGTTGGTGAGAAAAGACGCCAAAAACTTTTCAAAAAAAAGCTTCTCCTCCTTCCCAACCGACTGACATATAATTTCATTCACCTAGATTGCCGAAAGCCCCCGGCGGCGGCAAGCAGGGTTTACCGGAAGCCGCCTGGTGGCTGCTCCTCACCGGAGAGATACCAACAGACGCCGAAGTGAAGGAACTCGGGGCGGAGCTCACGAAGCGTGCACCCATTCCAGCACACGTTTTGAAGACACTCGCGGCGGTATAATTTTTTGATGTGCTTGAATATTGCGACTTGATTTGTATGAAAGAACGGAAAAGTGAATTTTTGATTGAAGTCAACGATGAATGCACGACTGATATACAATAATGTTTGAAACTTCATGACTCTTGCACAGGTTCCGACCACGGTGCACCCGATGACACAGCTTTCCATTTGTCTCCTGGCCCTGCAGTATCGCACTGAGATCTTTTTGAGGGGGGGAACGGAAGACCTAAATAATAAAAATGTCACCACAGAAGTCGTGCCATGAATTGAACTTGATAATTGAATCTGATGACTGGAAGTCAGGACCAGGAGGTCAAGAACGACTGCGTGAAAGTACTATCGAGAGCCCTTGCAACGTCGGCCGGCTTGTACTCCATGTCGCGACGATCACGTTGCGCAGTCTGAGAGGCAGGTGTCATAGTTCACCTAACTCTGGCAAACCCGTCAACAAGATCTCACCGCCATACCACGAGCGGCTCCAAATTTCACGCCGCTTACTCGGCCGGCGCGCTGAAAAAAACGGACTACTGGCAGTACGTCCTGGATGATTCCCTCACCCTGATTGCGCAGATCCCCACCGTCGCCGCGCACATCTACCGCCGGGTGTTCCACGACGGCAAGGTCCCCGCCTGGGACCCCAACGTCGACTGGGCGGGCAACTACGCGAACATGCTCAACTGTGCCAAGCCGGGGAACGAGGAACCGTTTAGAGAAGTATAATGAGACTCAATTTTCTTTTTCACTGTTCTGACACTCATCCTTAGTTTTGATCCTGCTACTAGTTGTTGATATCTGGCATGTAGCACTGTGAAAATAAGAACCGACACACTGATGAAAAAAATCATTATCCAAAATCGTCCACCTAGATCACCCGTCTCTACCTGATGCTCCACGCAGACCACGAGGGGGGAAATGTCAGTTCGCACATCACGCACACCTGCGGTTCCGCGTTGTCCGACCCCTTTATGTGCTGGGCCGCCGGAAACTGTGGCCTCGCCGGGCCCTTGCACGGGCTCGCGAACCAGGAATGTCTCCGATGGCTGAATGAGACCATGAAGTTGCTGGACGGTATAAACAACTATGTATAACATGTCAAGTTTACACTATATTATCCACCTAGTTGATGTCGCCCCCACAGACATGCACACACATGTTTGCTAGCTTCGCATGGCAGAAAAAAAACACATCTTCTCTATCAGGCAAGGAACCCACGGTAGAGAACGTGACGCAGATTGCGAAGGACACACTGGCTTCGGGCAAGGTCGTCCCGGGCTTCGGGCACGCCGTGCTCCGCGCCCCGGACCCGCGGTATATGCTGGAATACGAGTTCTGCAAGGAAAACCTCCCGAACGACCCCACGTTCAAACTGGCGGACATGTGCTACCAGGCCATCCCCCCGGTGCTGGAAGCGACGGGGAAGGTGAAAAACCCGTGGCCCAATTATCACAATGAAAAACGCCCCCACCTCCGAACTTGGGAGCATTTGTATTGCAAACCTTTCCAACAGAAACATTCGCCCTCTTGCATCTAGCAGCATCACAGATTTCCGATTGTGAATAGCGAAAATTTGTATTGCAACAGATCCCAGCAAGAGCGGCGCTTGTCATGCAAGCAATGCTATATACGCCTAGACTCTGCATCACAACGATTCATATTCCTTTCATGCATGACAAAAAGTTTTCATTTGGACACTTCGCAGCACAAATTATTTCCGCCTGACTCCACGACCTGGTGGCCGAACCATGTGCGGTGAGGTGCGCTTACAGGTTGTGTAGTGGTTTCGGTCGGTTTAGCATCACAAATTATTCCAACTTTGGGGGCGGGGGCATTTTTCACGGTAATACCCATGTGGATGCTTTGTCCGGCACAGTGATGCAGTACTACGGATTGACCGAGGCCGACTACTACACGGTCGTCTTTAGTGTCTCCCGTGTGCTCGGCGTCACAGCGCAACAAGTCTGGTCGCGGGTGATGGGCGTGCCTATTGAACGACCGAACTCCGTCACTTTGGACTGGATCAAGGAGAAGCTGTAGGAGGCTCCTGCGTTCGACCACGACGAAAACTTCGCAACACGTATAGATATCCATCGTATTTACAACGCAGCATGAAAGTGCGCGTACGATAATTTTTCCCTAGGACCTGCCGAATTGATCGAGGACACTAGCCGACGGCGAACATAGCCAATTTTAAGCTCGTCCAAGCAACCTTTCATGCTAGTCCTATGTATCTGTTATTTCCGTAGATTTTTTTCAATTAGTCGAACCAATTCTTCCCCGTGATATACAACAACATGTCCTCCTGCAACTTGAATCGAAGTAGAAGGAGAATCTGCAAAGATCTCGAACTTCGAGATCTCGGCTTGAATTAACGGAAAAACATCAAAGCCCCAAGCGAAAAAAATCATCTGATGTGCATCAATCACACACAAAGCGGGCCGAAGCAGTAGATGCGTATAAATATAATTTCCTCTTCAGCAACTGCAGCTGTGCTGGTCGATATAATTTGTGACTCGCGGTCTAGTTGGACCGGATTAGTCACCTGGCACCAGGGGCAGCAACACGCAGAGCATCTGATGTCTGCTCCTGGTCCTGGTGCTTCTAAAAATCGCAATTTTCTAGAAGCGAAACGAGTCTGCAACTGAGGCGCTGCAGAGCCAAGGTAAGTCGCAATATAAAAACCAAATTATAATAGAACAGTGATCACCATCACGATCACACTTCTAAATCTAGTATCGTGGTGTGCCTCTGAGGACACGAGCGCACGCGCAAGGGCAATGCGGTGCAGCGATGAACCTGGCTATTTCAGCTTGCTGCGAAATGTATGTGTTGAACAAGCCGCGGCGCAGGTCCCCGTCCTCACCGCGGCACCGTTTGGCGAAGGTGTTCCCTGTTGTGAAGTACGTTAAGTAGTGCTTATGCCACATAGAAGTTCTATTTCATTATATCATGGTTGGACGATCCATGAGGACGTCGATCATAAAACGAAACGCATTTCTTCTTTTTTCAAACACTTTCTTCTAAGACGAGAGAGACAGAGTGAGAGATTTGTGACGAAGAAATTTACGTGGTGCGGTGACCGGAAAAAAACTCTGGTGAAGTTTGCAGAATGTGGATGTGCTCATGCACCACACAAATATTAATATTTGTGTGGTGCATGAGCACATCTTCTAAGTAGGTCTATGTAGCTTGTTTGGACTGCACTAAACGTTTACCTATTTTCTTCCTTGTTTTTCCGTGGGAACAACTGAGCATGAGAGAAAAGCGATATCTTTGTCATGAAAAATTCACATTGAAATTAGCCAATTTGTCATGCAGAACCTGTAGGGAGCTTCATTATGTTCACCGAGATAGAAATTGAAATCCTTGCAGTAAAGCACACGAAACACTTCTTTTTTCCTGCGATTATACTTTCGCTGAAGCCGAACCCGAAGCGAGTTTATCTTTATTCAAGTTCTACAATCTGGGAGAACAACTGGATTGATATGCTTCCAGGGTACTAATCAAAAAAGAGGATCCTCGTATCTTGTTCTTGTCAAAGCAGTGCATTGGACAACGTGTGACATAGAAGGAACCTCGGTACTACACCGACTCGAGTGACCTCGTCCCAGTATTTGTTATCAACGTTGGCACTGTATTAACTGGTGGACCTGCGCCTGCCCTTTGGTTCAAAATGAAGGTTTCTCTTCTCGCAACGACCACGAGCCTCGCCCTGCAGGCCGTCGACCTGCATGCGCTCAAGGTTTATGAATTGCAACAGTATCGTCCTCGTGCTGAAACTAACGACAAATTTTTAGCATAAATTGCATGACAAATTTATTTGAAAACCAGTTGTGAATGTGATGCAGAAGCAGATTCAAGTAAAAGTAGAAGCAGCTCTGTCATGCAACTGCAAGACTAAATTCAAAATTTTGAATATTTACGAACGAGTGCGATATTTTTGCACAGGATGAGGCTCTCACCAGCAACCAGCAGACCCCTGTCCAGGGCCAGCCAGCCAGCATGCCGGCCTTGGCCGCCTGCACTTGCGTTAATGCGAAATCGACGTATGCATCGGAATGAATATGTTTACGGGTTGGGAAACAAAAACTTGTGCTGTTCTTTCGAATCAATATGAATATGTTGCAATGATGTAAAATACAAAGAAGTTTTGGTAGGGGTAGGGCACTGTAGCCTGAGCGAACTGCGAGCGTATAAATAGTTGTAAGGTGGGCACTGCGATTGGCAGCCGAGACCGAGATGTTTTTGGATATCATGCATTAGTTACAGATCACGATAATTCTGCACGAAGGAGAGGTTTAAGTGGGTACAACTTTCTCTCTCCCTTCCGCCCCGCCACGATGCATGACACTGCTTTGGAGATGAGTCATGCCAGCCGAGCATGACAAACGTTGTTGCAATATCCCAGACCCAGGCAATTTTGCTGTCGATATTGGTACTGCCCTTGGCGAAGTCGGCACCGATCAGAAATGGCTCACCCAGCAGGACGACGATACGGAATATGGAAAGCTCTACGCGTATTGTAATATTATCGTGATGCTGATGGTGATCTTTAACCTTATGTATCGTTCTTTCATTCTTGAATATGAATTATCAATTTCATATATGACTACATCGACATGAGTATCGGAGTTCAGTTAATTTTCATCTTTTTTCATCAAACAAAGCAGCGTGTATAATTTTGAAAAAAACCTTAACCTATGAAATGTATTAACGACAGCTCCGGTGGCGACAACTACTTTGCAGGGGGCGTCAAGGACGCCAAGGGCTTGAACAACTACGGGGAGTTTTGTGCCGCCTGGGAAGACGTCACCGCGGACCTCAACGACGGCACCAACAGTGCAAAAGGAGTTGCCGGAATGAACAAGGACTGCGCAGTATCACATGGAAAAAAGGACAAAAAATTAGGAAATCATATTTGCATGTGGAAAAACTACACAGCCTTCACCTTCAGACATAGATAGTGCGTAGTTTCTTTTTGATTTTGCATAATCTTTAAAAGTCAAAAAAATTTGAATTTCATGTTCCACCTTTTTTCCGGAGGATATGCAGACACTGCCACGCGGCCGAACTGGTGCAGCAAAAAATGGTGCTACGTCATATGGTCGCAAACTCAGGTGTTATAATCATCTCAACTGTTACAAAGAAAATGGGAGCTCAATATTGTGGACCACCCGAGGTCGAGGAGAAAATGCACAATATTCTGTGTCTTGCATGACAGAGCCAAGATATTGTAACTACATCTGAGCGGGCTATACGTCAGATTGGAAACGGAGACCCCCGGAACCGTCAAAATCGAGAGAGACCCGCTCGACAGCAACGCGCCGGGAAACCCCGTGGGTCCGGGCTGCACCGGGCTCAGTGACGTGACCTTCTCCAAGATATCCAGGAAGAAAATGTGTACGTGTTAGTGTAGGTGCCTTTTCAAAAGGCGGCAGAAATTGTGTGTGTGTCGCTCGCATGACAGAAAAGACCTGTGATGCGTAGCTAGCATACGTGAAAACGCGACGCATGGGTTCTATGGATTGGCAAGTGTCGTGATTGTTCTTGGCATTTCTGCATCAGAGAAGTCTATACACCAGCACAGTTTTTGTTCTTGCATACCAGATCCAGGACAGCTACACTATGACTTGCTCAGGCGGAACAATCTCATCAGCTGGAACGATTTTTGAATGTGATGCAAAACGCGAATCAGATTTTCTAGTCCTCGTGGTTTTTATTGGCATGACGAACTTGGTATCAAAGTCAAACAACTCTAAGCCGCACGGAAATTTTTACCCGTACAAAATCCTAAATCTGCCCTGCGGAGCTGCCGGGAAACGGAGCAGTTGACTTTCCTTCTGCAGCCATTTATGCATGACAGATTTCATTTGGTTTATTTCTGCATTGTTCCACTTCAGATTGCTGCAGCTGAACACGGCATACAGATCTGGTACTCCTACCAGATGTGCGAAAAAGTCTAAACACTATGCGACGTCGTTCGGTGGTCAGAAGGAAGATCTTGGCGCGTGTCGGGATATCAAAATAAAGTACTACAGCTGACGAGGTTACTTGACGAGAAAAATAAGGAGGCAATGGAATGAATTTCCTAGCATGTCACTAGATATTTTTCAAGCGACGTCGCACCAAATTTTTATGCAGAGGACCGATTTCGTGTCCGTATCTTATTTTAAAGCGTGACTATAATTCAATTTTTCTATTGAAAAGAAAAGAAAATGAAAATGGGAAGAAATATACGACAACTCGTTGGCTGTCCTTCAGCCGATGTAAACAGCAAACAGAATAGCAGTTCAGCAACACGCCTGCAAAACGTGCCAAGACTTAGATAGACTAGCAACTGTGATTATGAAGATCACCATGTAATTGATTGCCAAGCAATTGAAAACACGAACGACCATGGAAAAAATGCAGAACATCGGAAATCTAAATCCGTATTGCCATACAGAAATCAGTATTGCACATGAAAATCGTTTAACGATGAACCGTGGACAAAACAGGTTGTATGCTTTCACACCAAGAGAGGCCAAAGTCGACGCGGCGACCGCTTCCTGATACGAATACGGAGCGCATTTCATCGCATTTCCAACGCTTTCCGTTAAAGGTTTCTGACTGTCACAATGAGATTAGAGATGATCATTAGAGCGGAACAAAAGTAATCACACTATTGAAATAGAAGATTTGGAGTTTTGCTTTATGTGACGATAGTTCGGAGGACCAACGGCGCGCAAGTACTTACTGCTTCCAGCCAAATTGCGTCGAGAGTGCAAGAGCAGTAGACCACGAGGGAGGGCGTAAAATTGTACAACCGCGCGACGGTGGAGGACACGACCGCTGTCTTCCACGGATTCTTGTTTTCTATTGCTTTTTCAGAGTTCTTTGAAGTGTAGGGATCTTCTGAACAATCATAGTATCGCTTGAACGGGACGATAAGAAAAAGAATAATTGCAAAGAGCAACACTGTTTGTCGTTGCCTTCCGGACCGCCAATCCAAGAAAGGTCTTTGCTACGGCGCGGAGGAAGGCAGCCGCTCCTCGTTCTCTTCGGTGTGTGGGTCTCAGGAAGGGTGAAACTCATGGGGCGACCGAACCGCGTCCTTGCCCTCGGGCCCCTACTGGCGCTGCCGCACCAAACGACCTTGGCGATCCAACTGGACACGCCCCCAACTACTGTGGGTGGAGTAGCGAAGGTGGCGGCAACATCTGCATCGCCTGCAAAGAAGATGAAATCCGGAGCCGCAAAGACCTCCAAGCCGACTACAGTGGCGTTAGCAGCTGTGAAAAAAACCGATAGTACGAGTGCATCAACCACGAAGGGGGCCAGTAAGCAGCTTCCGATCGTTGCAGCACCGAAGAAAAACCTCAGCCTCACACTGGTCGGAGGCCGTGCCGCGAAAAAGCAGAAAACTACAGCAGTCAAGAAAAAGGCGGTGGATCCAACCTGCAAGTGTGTCAACTGGAAATTACGATCCTGTGCAAAGCTGTATCGTAAACTTGGAAATGAGTTGCACGTCTTCCTGCATGATGACCGATCTGTTCGTTTCCCTAAATGCGCATGACCTAGTACACAATTAGTGCGATACAACGCATTTGCAATGCATAGTTGGACCCCGATGACGATGGAACCCTTACTAACGTGGTAAAGAACAGTCCGAATGATCCTGAAAATGCGGTTGCTGGCGGTACTATCCAATGTGCATGTGTAGTCTGGGTCGTCTGGAACAATAAACTTGTGATGCTCGTCAAGTGTGGTTGAGTCGGACACTTTCAAGTGGTCCCAAGCATGAATACTTTTTCTGACGTTGACTCGAACCTCCTTTGCCGGTCATCCAATGCAGATTCCTTCGAGAATTATGCAAGACACACAATACAAGTTTCACATTATAGTTTGAGACTCAGACATACTTGCAATCCACAAGAACTCAGGAATGGATCACTCCGCAGAAGGACGACACAGAATACGGAAAAGTCATATCACACAGAAAAAAAGCTAGCACATCACGTTTGGAAGAATCATGCAAAAATTTCTCTTGCTCATGCTGAGCTCGAGCGCCACTAAATACTTGCTATGGTCCCTCCCATCAGACGTATTCTCGTGTACTCGTTTTTGCATATACAAGTCTGTCACTGCTGTGCTAGCTTTTATTTTCTCTCTGATAAGCTTACGTGAAAAAGTACAAGGGGGCCCCGAACTACGGCGAGTACTGTGCAGCGTGGGAGGATAACACGGCTACCACGCTCGGAGCGACGGACGCAGGGTTGATCAACACAGCGACAGGGGTCGCACCGGAGACGACGGGCAAGAGTGGCATGCACGAGGACTGCGAGGGCACGGCAGCAACGCGGCCCAAGTGGTGTATGAAAAAGTGGTGCTACGTCCGACTGAATGGCAACGCAGCGAACACCGATCCCCACCAGAAAGACAACGGCAAGATCATCACGAAGCCGCTCGACAGCAACGCACCGGGGCAGCCAGACGGGCCCAACTGCGCTACCCTAAGCGATGTCACCATCTCCAAGTACCAGGACAGCTACGTGTGGTGGTCTTACCAGATCTGCGACGATGTAGCCGATCCGGCGTAGGAGCTGCGCACCTCATCTTCGGGTGAAGCAGAAGAAGAAGAGCTTTGATGCAGTCTGCAAATTTATACAAAAAGCGACGAAGAGTGGTATTTGCACATACAAAAAAAAACAAGTTTAGAAGCATAACGCTTGTTCGTGTTCGTAGGTTGGGTAAAAAGACCTACCAGATTGTCGCGCTCGCTTTTTTTGCAAAGGAAAACAATTAGATTAAGGACGACGTAGCAGTCCGCTTTTGCGGAAAATAAAACACAAAAGATTTCAGAAATTCAGCAAAGATGCTAAAGCCAGTCACAAAATAAACTGTATATTGTAATCGACGGGGGTACCATAAGTGCGATTACTCACGTTGCCAAGCAACAAACAGAAAGCATATTTATGCCTTGCCCTCGCCCGGGAGAAGCAAAGGTAAAGGATCTGCATGACGATGATAAAAAAGATACAGTTTGTCGACAAATGCATTGTACACATATTTTCACACGACAGACACAGCAAGCCTGTGTCCTTTAACACACACCCACTTCACCTGACACCTGCTGGTGGTGTAACTCACACTCATGTTCTGGGTGCGCGTGCGCGGCTCGTGTGGTGGTGGTTCACCTCAGGCCGGTTTTCTGCTCGTCACGTCTTCCGGGCTAAGCAACGAAGAACGCAGGGGGCGGGCGAGAGGGAGAGCGACCACCTGCGGTCTCCCGCCGGGGGAGGGTGAACAAAGAGAAACAAGAGAGGAAAAGCTTGTGCTTCAAGTAATTCTAGTACTACAGCTACAAATTAAGAACACAATGTATTACGTAACGCAACGCTTCACCCGCCGCGCTGACAGGACCTTCGAGGATTCATGTTTAGTACTTTGAACATGAGAAGGGTCACAAGAGAGTGGGTTCTCGTTTTGATAAGACATGCCGCTGCACACCAAACGTAGGTGGTCGCGAATAAAGACCTAGTAATCGAGTACGCACTTCATAAGGATACTACAAAAATGTCGTACAAGCAAAGAAAACTCGGCCGCCGAGCGGCGTGCCGAGGAGGGGAAGCAGTAACTAATTTTTTGAGGACCTCTCTACAACAGTTCTAGCTGCTGCCTCCACAGGAGCCGAGGCCGCCCTACTACTTATTTGCCCACGTAAAAAGGCGGCGCACACCATTCCGGAGCTGGAGCCATGTAGTTGGGGTTTTTATTGTTCTTGGTGTCAGACTGTCTCTGTCATGCGGGAACGCCGACCCAGCTTCGCAACCGCACCTCTCGGGACGCGAGTCGTGGCTGCGACCCTGCTCGTCTTAACCGGATGCTCAGTTGGGTTGAATCTTCAGCACGAAACACGAACTCTGCGACAGTACGCGAACAAGAAAGCAGGAGGATCTAGTACAAGAACAGGCAGGAAGGTGACCACGCATGCGACAGCACGGAGCAAGCGTGAAGCGAAAGTACTGAACGAAAAGACTACAAGGAAAAAATTCGACTTTCTGAAGTTCCTCCGGGACAAGCTGGGCGTCGGGTTGTTTTCGAAGGTTAACGACGTCAGCGCAGCGCAAAAGCGCGACAGCACCACTGGATCTGCATCGTTCTCAACGGGGGAGGAAGAACAAGAAGTGTGGCGCCAACTCGGAGAAATCATTACCCCAGAAAACTACCTTCGTACGCCGTTGGAGCTTAGTACGTTGACGCACGCAGCGAAACAGAGGCGAGCAGCAGCAGCGGAAGGAAGTAGTGACTCAACGAAGAAGAAAGCCATCGGAAAGTGCATGTGCGTCGGTCAGTCGGACTACGCCGATACGAAGCACGCTATCACCAAGCCGGCCCACCAAGACTGGATATCAAATGTAAAAGTGTCTGGGTCTGGAAGGGTTGGAACTTGTGATGCGAACTCTGGCACACACAAAAATTTGTGTTGCATGAGCGCCAAAAGCTGTCCATTTCTTGGCACGCAAGTAGGAAGTTTCTCATGCGGGACAGGCATCATGAGGCGTGCTCAAAACCTGTGATGCTTTTGCCTGCATCAGACGCCACTTGCGTGATCCGAAATATGCATGGCAAATCTCAGAATTTTCCAGACCCAGACGTTTTTACATTTGATACTGGATCACAGCAAACAACAACGACTCCATCGCCCCCCATTGGCAGATATCCTGTGCAAAAGTATCGCACTCGTAGTAATCGCAGTCATGCGTGACAAATCTTGTTTCTTAGCGAAATCAGCATTACAAATTGCATTTTTCCTTCTGAAAAAATTTGTATTGCGATTTATACTAGTGCGATAATTTTGCAATGCATAGCAGAACGCCAACGGAACGCTGATAGGAAAATCGAAGTGGGGCGGCGAAAACAGCAACGACACCATCTACGGCCAACTATAACCCGCTCAGGTGTTACAATCTCAAACGTTACAATAGAATATGGAAATCTGTGACGCAAGAGCGCATGATCTAGCCAATTCGCATAGGATTGCGCATGACAAGTTCCGGAGCTTCAAACCCCACTGCAATGTGGCGAAATTTGTATTGCAGAAAGTGGAACGCTCTGCGCGTCTGTGATGCTCATCATGCAACACAGCTCTCAGATTCTAATGTAACGTTTGAGATTGTAACACCTGAGCGGGTTATACCAACTTTACGAGTATTTTTGTTTGATGTGGGTGTCGTGATCATTGAAAGATACACATGGTTCCCATCGCAGATTTGATCAATCATCGACTGCGCAAATTAACTAAATGGACATGATGGAGGAATAAATGCAGCATTGAGTACCACAACTGCTACTGAGTTGGCAGAAAAAACATTGAAGAACTTCTGATCATCAAATACATGATCAGGCACAAGTACGGCGGGGGCCCTAACTACGGAGAATACTGCTTTGCCTGGGAGGATATAATGAAGCAGAACACGGCTGGTGGAATTATGGCCTGCTCTTGCTGAGACGATGACGATCGCAACTAGAACAATGATTATGATGCATGTGCCGGAGCGGAAATAAAGTGTTTTGCGTACTAGTGAAGCGTCTTCAAAGTAGCAGGGAGGTGCAGCTTCGCATTAGATTTTGTACGCATTGCAATGCGAATGTCTTGCCAAGGAGCGATGCGGATGACTTGACACCAGATTATCAGAAGTAGCATGATCCGCACTCCATGATCCTGCATCCCAAATGGTTCCAAATGCGAAGATCGTTCGAGCTGGGCACCACGCCATAGTACCCGACCACGCGTTTTACGGCAAGGCAGGCATCAACAAGCAGTGCAACGACACGATGAGGCGCCCCCGCTGGTGCGTGCAGGACTGGTGCTACCTGAAACAAGCGGATCCCATGACCCCCGACGGCGAGATATCCTGTGTAGAAACGTCCCCACCCCACCCCCAGAGTTGTCATGCAAATCTGCATGCCAAAAAAGTTTCTCATGCGGACTGGTTGGTACTTTTATTGGGGCGACTTGCCGTGGTAGCGCTCGGCTTTTGTATGTGGAGGTCGCCGAAAGTGCTTCCTCGCCCACCCCCCGGGGAGGGGATCCTTGACCTGTGCCGCTGGGTGCGGGTGTCCACTACATGACGATGATGATGCGGAGCCCCATGAGAGCGAGAGCCATTTTCTAGTCGTGTTTTGGAATTTTTGACTCTAGAATCAGCATGATATGCCAGATCTGTGATGCTTCGGAACTAGCTAAACAGGATTACACTACAAGGACAAACTTGATGTCATGCGAAACATCCGAAGCTGGTTGATTTGTCTAGTAGATTACCCATTTTGACTCTGGTGTGGAGACGTTTTTACTCAGGACGCGAGATACTGAAAACGGACCCGAATACCGGACCGCAGTGCGACAATGTCGCAGACGTGGTATGAGAGTGCACAACTCCACCCCCTCCCCCTCATTTGTTGGGCATGAACATTATTACAAACACCAGTACAGGTGGACGTGGACCCTGTGCATGACAAGCTCCTGCGCCGAGTGTAGTACTATTTGGATTTCCGGAACTGGTCATGCACGCGGTGCCACAAGGAAGCAACTGGATTTGAGTTTTTGCATGGCATCAAATGAGGGTGAGGGTGAGTTGGGCACTGTCATACGTGACGCTGAGCGGCTACAAAGACTCCTACCTCTGGTACTCCTACGACTTCTGTTCCTATCATGGAAGCGTCAGGATTGAAATCGTCAGAGTTGAAATAAGTTGTAATGCATAAACGGGATGCCCGTTGGGTTGTGACCCAGTTTCCAACTGGCGCATGACAAATTTGGGTAGAACCGGCATCCAGTTTGTCATGCTGTTTGAGTAAGGAAGACGCCTTGTGTCATGCTACTTTAGCAGCTCTATTTCTACCCCTCAACAGGCTTACAATCTACCTCCCTTGCCTACTCTGCAAGACAGGCATTTTGTGGGTTGCATTTTATGCATCACAAACTGTTTCAGTTTCAACTTTGACGATTTCAATCCTGACACTACCATACCTATCACTAGATGAAGAAGGGGGCTAACTTGTAACGCTGGTGCTGTCTACGGTATCCGTACTGCATTAAAGTGTTTGTTTCTCCTTATCCAAAAACGGATTGACGGGACGAAGGAAAAGGCAAACCACCGCGGAAGAGGAGCCTGAACCACATTACCCGCAACTACACCGTGGAAACTACTAGCGAGTTGGAGGAGTCGTTTGTTAGGAAGGGTTGTGATTGGTTTAAAACTCCATCGATCAGCCGAAAAAGCTGTGCGCGCTTGTCTCTTTGTACTTGTTAGAAAGAAGTGCTACGTACAACATCACGTTTCTGTTTCTAAATGCGTTTCCATGGCACCGACCAGCACGGCAGAGGCAGATCTGTTGCCGAGCAATGACAAAATGCACATAAATGAAAAAACTGGTTTTCTCAGCTGCGTTAGCGTTCTCACTTTTTGTGAGTTTTCTGTGAAAAAATACAAGCCTTGTCCTTGTGCGAAAAAAATAAAGTTTCTCAATCATTTTGCATCAGTCGCTACCGCTAGCGAAGCTTTAAGTACGCTCCTGCACATGAAGATGAACCAAGCCTGCAGGGGCGCTTTTGTGAATCCAAAGAAGTTGTTTGAGGGTGGTGCGAGAAGCAGGTGCGGGGATTCGTGTCATGGTTCTTTTACGCTGATAAAGCGCAGCACTAGCTGGATACGTGTCTTTGTCGTTCTCCTGGAATCTTCCGACACTATTGCGTTTTTACCGTTGTATGTTGTAACCAAAAATGCTTCCCGCCGCAAGAAGAACCATTCTCAGTCTGAAATGACCTGCAGGTACGGAACTTTTCTGAATTTCCCTTGTTAAAACCAAAACGCAGCGTACAAAAGACAGAATGTCATGCTCCCAGCATGTAGTTCCATTGAACCGCAAAGAGTGCCGCAAGCGGAGGGGATGCGGTGCCGGCTGCGAGCGACGTCGTGATGCCCTGGTCTCTGTAGCGGGCTGATGATCTACTTCGTGGTCTGTCAGAACAAATAAACGCGAGCAGAATAAATAGCAGATACCGGCGGGAGAGGAAGATGAAAAGCAGCGGCGGTAGAAGCTCCTCATGTGTGGGTGCGCGCCGGTCCTCCGCTGTGTCAGTGGAGAATCTTCACCAGGCCATGTCTGATGTGCGCACGAAGCCCTCAACAAGTACCTCTCGGGCTCTGGCGAAGGTTGCAGGGGCGGCGTTGCTCCTGCTCTTCGGCACTTCTGGTGGTCGAAGCAGCGTCCGCGCGACGTCCGCGTTGTTGAACTTGCAGCAGAAAAAGGTACTAGACTCCGTCGGTGAAGAATTGAAGCGGACGAAAGCGCGGCGACGAACCCATCAGAGTTCCGGGACGACGAGCGCCACTCTTGCTGGAAAAGAAATAGACGTGGACGACGAGCAGGACGAAACCAAGTCCACTTCTGCTTCCAAGTTGGATTTTCTCATCAGCTTCCTGCGAGAAAAGAACCTAGTCGGAGCTGCAGGCAGCCAGGAGCTTAGTACCTCTACTGCGAGGACTTCTGCCACTTCCAAAGCCGACGCCGAACGGGAGGAGAAAATGGCGGAGTTTCTCGAGCAATTTACTCCGGACGCCTACCTACGCACGCCCGACGAGCTGGACTCGCTGATGGAAACGTACCGGGAAAGTGTTCAGGTACGACGCATATGCATTGCAAATATAGTATGTCTGGGTCTGGAAGGATGCAGCTTGTGATGCTGCATTTGGATTCTATAAAAATCTGTATTGCGATGTGAACAGCAAAAGAGGTCCAGTTTGTGCCACGGCGAGACCGCATTTCTCATGCGGTATAGGCATCAGGAAGCCCTCACAAAGCCTGTGATGCTGGGACATGCATCGCAGACATCAGGAGTCATGCAAAATGTGCATGACCACAAACCTTGCATCCTGCCAGACCCAGACATATTTGCATTTGATAACGGAAGGAGGAAAAGGCTTCGGCTACTTCTGCAGAAGGGGAGAGGGAAGCGGGTATGAATGTTTTTGATAAAGGAATTTTTAGCTGCGAAGATTTTCTTCACATCGACATCTTTCGGTGGAGGTTTTTCCTGCTATTCGTATTCGTCGTATTCAGCATATTGATTCCGCTCCCGGATTGATGCCACTCGAAGATTTCTAGAATTCGACTGCTTCTAATTGCTAGCGGTTAGGCAGCGCGAAATGCAGAAACCGAAACGAACCATAGATCTTGCTGAAATTACATTCATTTCTTACTCTTACAACACCACCGACATCAGCGCTGTCCGCTCCCGCTGAACAAAACCGCCTGAACAAGGGCAGCACTGGTCGACACGTGCGGCATATGGAGAGAAAAAAGTTTGTCACAGTCACTAACTTGGAGGTTTTGCATTACAAATTTTTTTTAGCATCACAGCTTTTCCTTGTATTGCGGAACACTAAGGTAAATCCCGTATGCAGTTTGGCTGTGATGCATGTTTACGCATGACAGGCATTTTTTGTATTGCAAAAATGCCCATGAGTGATCGCGACGAACTTTTTTCTTTTGATACGGCACTACTTCGCGCGCCAGCCCAGCGAGGAAGAAATCAAAGCGGCGAAGGAAAAACAGGCACAGGACCTGCTGTTGCGGAAGAAACGGGCGACCGCGGCAGCCGTGACGGAGCTCGAGGTGGCGCTGGACCCGGGTCTGTTCACGTTCGCACAGGCGGCCGGGGACTTTGACACGCACAGCACCGCGGACAAGGCCATGACCTACGGGACGCACTGGGACAGCCACTTATCAAATGTAAAAATGTCTGGGTCTGGAAACTTGTGATGCTGGGTGGCGTCTCATGATGAGGCTGCAAATGCTGGCTCAGCATGACAAGTTTCTGAGCTCCTAGGTGTTGCCTATTCTGCATGACAAACTGCGCTTCTGCATCACAGAAAAACGGAGCTCTTGGGTAACGTGCGTGACAGATTTAAGAGTCATGCCAGACAAGCATGACAAACATGAATTCTTCCAGACCCAGACATTTTTACATTTGATACCACTTCTACATCAACGACACAGACCGGCTGGGGGCGAACGCCAACACGTGCAGCGGGCCCTCCTACGCCACGTTCTCCGGGTACTTTTGGTGGCAGGCACAGCTGAAGAACGGCGACACGCGGTATGTGGAGGAGGTGCGCATTTTCAACCGGCGGCACCACGAGTCCGAACTGGACCGAGCCAGACTCTTGGTCGACGGCGATTCCTGGGACAGCGCGATGGACATCGGCTTTATTTCCTCGGACCCCGCGAACCTGGAGGAGAGTCTGTACTCGACGGGCGGCACCGTCGTGAAGGTGAAACGGATTCTAAACAAGTTCCGCATCCAGGACAAGGTCCGGTTTAGTCTGTGCGGAATTTTCGTTTACGGGGTCATGGAGCGCTACAACAGCACCGCCCTGACCGCCACGCAGGATTCCGCCGACGCGCAGGACGCGAACACGCACCTCTACCCTTTCAGTGCGGTTAACGGACGATACCCCCAGCTGGCGGGCACCATTTCAAAAACGGCGACTGGGGGCGGGAAAAAGGACCGATACTGGCAACTCACGTTCGCAGACGGGCAATCGATACGCATTGCAAAAGTTATCGTAGACTGGTAGGAATGATCGCAGGACAAATAATTTGCGCAGCGTGAGGAGTCCTCGGAGTGGAATTAATTTCGAATGCTGCCTGGTTTGGCTTAGAAAGAACATTTTTCATGCAGTAAGTAACGCGATTAGCCTCACCCTCACCCTTAGTATCTGCGTAATAAAGCTTTTGCAGTGGATACTCCCACTACGTGGACCAAATTCGTCTCATCAACCAGCGAGACACGGATTACCTCTCCAGCCTGTCTGTCTATTTCGACGCAGACGCCGATGCGACACCGGCAACAAACGCCGCTTTTTCGCTGAATGACGGAGTAGGACATTGAAAAGTGCTACGTCATGCACCAGAAAGGTTTGGCATAGATACTTCTACAAAATTCTTGTAAATGACATGCAACATGCTGTTGACAGAGAGACGTCAACTTTGAGTATGCTGCCAATTGTATGTATGCATGGCACAACTAGGTAGTTTTAACCGTCCCACAACAACACTTCATGATGCGGAGACAAAAAACTTTTCCGTCCGACACCCTACCCGCACCGTCGACGGCTCCACGGTGATTTCTGCGAGACCGGGGGGAACCATGGTGAGGATCGAGCGCACCTTGCGCAAGATGAAGCTGCAGAACACCGCCGGGACGCTGGACGATATGGTCTCTCTCGCCGGTATCGAAGTCTACAAAAACACCACGGTGATCCGGTCCACCACCCCGGCCCCGGTTCCTGTGTTGGGCAAGTGCATGTGCGTCGGGATGTCCAATTTTACCGACGCAAAGTAAGGAGAGTGAAAACTTCGCCTCGTGTTTTTTCGTACGTCTTTTGACTTTTTCTTTTCCTCCCTTTGTCCTGGTCATGCACGACCGTTTCTTGCAGTCATGCTGGTATTGCATGTATTACAAAAACAAAAGCGTTGGACACGTAGCATGACAAAGAACACGAACAGACATTTGTGATGCGGTTTTCCTCACCTGCATACCACGCACGCCATCACAAATCCGGAGCACCAGGACTGGATAACAGCGAAAAATTCGGACTCCATAGCACCCCAGCTGCAGAACTTCAGCACACAGGTGCTGGACCCGCCAATCGATTTTGCCAACAGCAACGACACCATCTACGGTATCATTTGTAAAAACGTCCCCACATCACCATAGTTGTAATGCAATTCTGCATGCTGAAGATAGATGTTTCTCATGCGGAGCCCAATGAGAAGCATTTGCTAGTCGTGATGCTGGTGAGCTAGCTAAACAGGAACACACTACGAAGCCAAACTTGTCATGCGCAACACCCAAGCCTTGTGAACTTGTCTAGCTGATTTTCCATCTTGACTATGGGGTGGGGACGTTTTTGCACAGGATATACGGCCGGCTTTACGAGTATAGAGCCACTTTGAAATAATTATCATGTCCCAATTATTTTTTTTCTGATCCTGCAGCATGCACTTGCTACTCCACCACCAAGGACACACTAGAACTGCTTAATGTTACAACCACCATGTATGTTGCAGCCGAGGCTTAAAATCAAAAACAGTTGTGATCTGATTAGCAAAGAATCGTGACCTCTAGCTCTAGCTCTACTGGTCTCCCCTAAACACATAAACGATGAAAATAAAACTTCTAAAGGACAAAGTACGGAGGAGCGCCCAACTATGGAGAGTATTGCGTATCGCTGGAAGAAGACAATAAAAGCGCCCAATATGCAATCACCAGCAGGAGCAGCATGTTGATCTTGATGTTTGGCATGGACATGGTGAGTTGAAATTCGTGGCGGTCACTCATGTAGTGTTGTGAAAATAAATTCAGTAAGCATGCCATGCTTATTGCAATTGCATTCTGTTTCTGGTGCAGGAATGATCGCGCACCATGCCAAATATGCAGCATTCCAGATTCATCAGTGGGACGATAACATTTTTCATCTTGATATCCTTTCGCCTGGGAAGACAACGCCAAGGAAAACACTGCCGGTGGCGCGTATGATGTAGGCAAAATTCGTCTTGCAGCAGATGTCTCAGATTCGTCATGCACGACTACTAGGGGTAAACTAAAAGCAAAAGGACAAGTTAAATCTACAAGTAAAAATAGTTGCGACACTACAAGTAAAAATCGGTGCCTCAAGAAGTTTTTGCCACGTGGATACAACCGGCACTAACACGTACTACGGGAGATCGGCTATGAACGAAGATTGTAACGGAACCAGTACGGACCGCCCCAAGTGGTGCATGCAGGACTGGTGCTATCTGAAGTATGCCGACCCTATCATCGCGCCCGATGGGGACATTGTGCAGCGAGACGCAAACAGCGGTCCAATGTGCGACAACGTTGCGGATGTAACCATCAGCAAGTATTTATGAGGGAGAAAATCAGGACGCTAGAATGGTCCTCAACACAAATCATCAGAAATTCTGGTCGTCTGCATCATCAAAGCCCTGCGCACAACTAAAAATTCTTCAAAGAACTACATTAGAATTCCTGGAGGACGAGACCACCTATGACTTAGAAGGTAAGTACTTATCAAATATTCAGATTTTTTCCTTTCCATACGCTTATCCTGTGCAAAAGTATCGTACTCGTATAAATGCAAGTCTTGTTGCGTATACAAATCTTGTTCCCAAGGCAAATCTGCATGACAAATTTTATTTCTCATGCTGGGGGAATTTGCAATGCATTTATACGAGTACGATACTTTTGCAATTCATAACGCTAAGGACTCCTTTATCTGGTACTCCTACGAGTTTTGCTCGCAGTAGCGTACTGAGCAGTCCTATCAAATGCAAAAATGTCTGGGTCTGGAAGGTTGAAACTTGTGATGCGCGTTTCAGAACACAGAAAAATCTCTCATGCATAGGCGGCAAAAGTTGCCCACTTTCTGTCACCACAATGGGGGATTTGTCATGCGGATTCGGCATGGCGAACGCTTCTCGGAACCTGTGGCGCTAGAGCTTCCATGCCAGACCTTCTGTGTCATGCAAAAACAGCATGAGTCTTCCAGACCCAGACATTTTTACATTTGATAAGTCCCTCGAGTCGGTCAGCAGGAAGGTTCTGCAGGCGTGGTACCCGCGATCGGAAGATGCCACACGATCATACTTACCCAGGGATGAAAGTACCCACGGATGGACGGGCGAAACACGAGCGGAAGTGAACAAGAGGCGCCGGTTACAACTCGTGATCCATAACCTCGCAGATGGAATGAACCTCTGGAGAAGCAGCTGCAGCTGCATCCCTGCGGGATTGCAAGAAACGCACGGGTAGGAGCTGCAGGGGTGCGATCTTGCGGCCCAGAAGTCTATCTTGGCGATGTGGTGTGAGAAGAAGTTTGGCTCTGAGGTCAAGGTAGTTCTGCGTTTCTCATTTCAGCACTGTCTGAAAAAGCTGGACGGTGAGATGAAGTCTGAGTTGTGCCAAGCAACAAAATGTAGAATCAACGGCGCAGGCCGGTTTCGGTTTCTTTTTCAAAGATAAAGAGGATTTGTTTCTTTGTTGTGTGTACTACACACAGCAAAAATGAAAATGTACCAAAGAAGATTTGTATGCAAAGGAAAAGATGACCATGATGAAAAAAAGAAGACCACGGCCGACACCTCGACCTGTATTCTGTGCTACAACGTGGGGGCCCAGACACGAGCTACGAAAATTGCCTATGTCGTTTTCTTCTCTATTACTTCCTCAGTTTATGACTCAGTCTTAGTTCGGGGAATTTTTTGTCTGATGTAGAGGTTGAGGACCGCAAATAACTCCGTCTTTGTGCGTCCCATGAGAGGACAAAATTACACAGCTGAGACCTTGCGGACACGCTATTGTTAAAAGAAAAAAACGCGAACCCCAACTTGTCCGCAGAGCGATGTTGACGGGGAGGGGGGCTACAAGAGGGGTTTGTTCTAGCACTTTCGCAGTCAGGGATTTATGAACGCCGAACAAACTTTTACTCTACGAATTGCAATTATGTCGATCGGCTTGCTGATGCCGACCAAATTATCTGCCGTTCTTCACAGCAGAAAAGAAAACATATCATCATGGCGAACACGACGGGTCTGAGCGTTGTACCTGAAACGTACTTTCCAAGGAAGAGGCGAAGAAGGAGGAAGGCAGGGGCTCCAGGTGCTGGCGTCCTCTCCGTTACAACACTGCTTGCATCAGGTGCTCTCAACACTAGTTGCGGATCAAGCTCCATGATGAAACAAGCGCATCCTCCTGCAGGGGCGGCCGCGATTTATTTGATGCAGCTTGTTTTCTCACCTCGCTTGCTGTTCGCGCTTTTATTTTCAAGCTGCGGCTTGTTCAACGTTCTCGGCACGGGTGCGTTGTTTGTGAAAAAAAGGACGAACGCGTGGTCTTCTACTTCTGGTGCCGCTGACAACTACACGAAGACCCGTCGTGCTGGTGCAACAGCCCTCGTGGACCACGACAAGAGTGGCCACAAAGTGGCTGCAACTTCGACTGCATTGGGCAGGAGTCGCAAGATGCAGAACAAGTCTCAGGACGACAAGAAGCCCTGCGTGTGTGTGAACGAAGGTGACGACAAGTTTACCCAGGCTGCGGGTGACGCTCCGGGGCAGTATTGGCTGAACGCAACTGGGATCCAGGACACTGCTTACGGAAAGGAATACGAGTATAATTATGTGTTTTTGATTTGTTGACATGAAAAATGTGCTGGTGCTGGGATGATTTTTTGAGACCACGCTACAAGAATTTGCCAGAGCGTACAATTTGTTTCAAATTTAATTCATCATTCCTACGGTGGCAGGTGAAGAAAAATCATCTTCTTTCTTCAATGAAAACAGAGGCACCTTCGGCGGCAAAGGCGATTACGGCGAGTACTGTTTTGCGTGGGAGGATGAGGTGGTCGGCGGGAAGGCCGGTACCAACCAGGACTGCCGGGGCACGGACGACGACCGGCCAAGCTGGTGTGTGGAGAAGTGGTGCTACGTGAAGGAAGCAGATTCTCCCTTCCCCTCATTTGTCATGCAAAATGCCTAATTTACGCCTCGGCTCTTGGCACTGTTTGCATGACAAGTTCTGGCGCGACCCCAAATAGCACTACACTCCTGTTCAAATTTGTCATGCGAAATCTGCATTCTTGCTGACGCTTGTATTGCTTTTCATGCAATAGTACAAGTGAGGGGGAGGGGGAGTTGTGCACTTTCATAGTTGCTACGTGAAGGAAGCAGATTCCACCACCGCAGCGATTGACGCGACGGAGGCGCCGGACTGCGCGAATTTGGACGACGTCGTGAAGGCGACGTATGGTGCCAACCCGTCCATGGACCTCTACTACTCCTTCAAGTACTGCACGACAACCACGACCACTACCACGATCGAGGCTGGGTAGGGAGCAGTGCACGCGAAAGAGGAACACGGTGGTGGAGATGCTGGTGGCACGTAAGTCGTTTGTTGTACTTAATGCAGGAGGGTGAGGAACACGGGGGCAGGAGCAGATGTGCTGATGATATGTAGGATAGTACCGCAACTTTCGGGCGGTTTAGCTACTTATTTTATGGTTTTTTGTGATTATTGGCGGGGCCTCCGCTTGAGAGCAGACTTTGTCTTTGCTTTCTGAAGATCCCCAATAGAGCAAGATCCAAATCAATGTATGATATCAATGCACTCCCATTGCTGGATTTAAATTTTATATGTCACGGTTTCCAAGAATAGCACCGCCTTTCAATAGCTGGACGCGAAAATAAGCCTAGAAGAAATGGGGACCTTGCACATACTCGGCAAAGAAAGGGAACACGAAGTAGGCTGTCAGGCGAGGGTGACGAGAGTGGAGTAGAACGAGCTTTTTTTACAGAAGCAAGAAAAATTATTAAAGCTGCCTTCCGCTACTTCCCTGGTAGCGACCTGTAGTTGAAGCTGCGTCGTCAGACCTCTTCGAAAAGCGAGAGGGGCACTGAGGTGCAATGTTTTGGATATGCGAGTGATGAAGAGCTTGAACTACTTTTAGCCCCGGCTTCATCGTCCTATAAACACTACAATCGTCGACGAACTAGAACTACAACGAAGAAACGTTTTGCGCACCATTGTGCTGCTGTAGCACAACTCCGTTGGGCGGAGCGGGAATGGTGGAGCGTAGCTGCAGGGGCACTTGGGCAAGAAGGGCGGTTCTTGCCGCAGGTGGTCCCTCGGGTGCAGCGCAGGTACTATGATTCACCACTTTTAGACCTGACAGACTGATAGCTTTTACGAGGACAAAGTGCCAGTTCATCTTTTCTGCTGACGAACATATCTTGTTTCATTTGCATGTTGTGGTCACTTTAACAATCTTTTGAATTGCTTGCAGCGATTTATTTTTCTTAGTTTTTGTATATCGTTTTGATTTTGTTGAGCTCCTACTCGCAGATACTCAAACGCATCTCCTTAAATGTAATCTTAAAGTCCGTCGTCGCTCTGAACCTGAAGCACAAAGACAAACTGGACCTCCAAGATGACGTCGTGGCAAAGAAATCCAGTAAAGATAAAGCCGCCTTAATGTCGACTGCTGGCTCCAGCGGGGAAGATGTTGAGACAGAGACCTCCAAGATGACATCTTCTTCCTCTACTTCTTTGAAGTCTACAAAATCCACCAGGAAGAAAAGAACAAAAACAGCAGGCGACGGCGATGACGACGAGGAGGACGACGATGCTGCGGAGGCAGCAGACGCAGACGCGGAGGAGACCACTGAAGGAGAAGATAACGAGGACCACGCTGCGTCGGACGAGGACGTCGAGGCGGAAGAATGCGTGTGCGTGAACGAGGGCACCGTGCTGATGAACGAGCCCGATAAGTTTACCGCACCAAAACCGGACGCGGAAGGCCAGGCCTGGCTCAACAACACAACGGGCTATCCTGAGGAAAAACTACGTCTCCAACTTGGCGGCCTTGCTACACAAATTTGAATCAACACACTTTAGCTAGTGTTTGCTCGCATGTTGACAAGTTTATTCGTGTCCCTGTAGGCTAGTTCTGTTTGAGGTAGTCCTTGCGCAGACGCATCACAAATCGAGTACATGATCCTGGTGCCAGCGTCATAAATTTCCAAATAGCTGCATATTGGCAAATTATGGAGGACCTGATTGAGCTGCGCGTGAGAAAGACAAACATTTTGGACCGCGTGCTACTTTGCATGACAAGGAGGTCTTCCGGGCAGCTGGGGACGTTTTTACAAATGATACGGACGAGAGCGCACCGTCTGCGTATGTGGATACACCGTACGGGCAAAACTACACAAAAGTGTACGGCTAACCAAGAAAAAAATCGTGTTTGCTGCAGCTGCTACCATACAGGACAGTCGTGACGCCTGCCATTTTAAGTAGATACCACCGATAGCATCTTTTACTTTTTGTTTTAGGGTTTTCATTGAGCCTGGCTATTGGCATTGCAGCTATAAATCTTCCATGACAAGTTTTCATCCCTGTCCTCCAAGCCAATTTTGTCAAGGTCATACCATGTCAGTATCTTGACTCTTTCAACGAAGAAAGTATACACTAACACACCTTTTTTTCTTGTACAACGACGGGCCGGTCGACTACGGAGAATACTGCCGAGCCTGGGAAGACGAGTGCACCGGTGGGAAGGCGGGGTTGAGTACCTCCTGCAAAGTCACCAACGCGGACACAGAGTGCCCAAGCGGGACAAGCTACGACGAGGACAAAGACGACAAACCAGACTGGTGTGCCGCCAAATGGTGCTACGTGAAGACAAAGTCGGCAAAGAACGGAGAGATCGCTAGCTACACGAAGTTACCTAATAGCAAGTTGGATTGATCTCGGTGTGAAAGTGAAAAGAACTTGTCGTGGTGCTGCATTGCGAAGAAAACGAGCATTGGACAGCATTTTACCAACAACAAGTGTGCGATCCAGGAGGTATGATCACAAGTTTCATTTGGGACCACGCGTTCATCTCCACCTGTGCAGCGCGCTACATGGTTGCACGACTACATGGTTGCACGACAAACAAGGAAAGTGCGCGTCTTGTGAGTCATGTTGGTATTCTACTTGCACAGGTTCTACTTCATCTGCAGGTCTAGAAGATAAACCCTGTGCATGCGCGTTTCTCTTTTCCAGACCCAGATCGATGTTTCCATTTGGTAAAGACTCGCCGGACACCACGAGAACGGACCGAAGTGCAGCAACATCGACGACGTGGCGCGATCCTCCTACGGAAACCTCAACGTGTGGTACAGCTACAACTACTGCGCAACGACCGCAACCAAGACGAACACAGTTGTCACCGTCCTGGACAAGAGCAAGTAAAATCTTGGAGACCTTCGACGCCGTCGCAAGAAAGGGCCTGCACTTCTACCACGAGGAGCCAGCAATTGCATTTCTGGGGGTGGAGTGCAAAGCAGACCGGACGGTGTTCGACGTTCCGCGGCACACGGAGGCGGAACTGGTCGTGCAAGCAGGAGGACTAAAACGAGTCATATAAAAATCAATTTTGTGGTGGTAAAGTTGTATATAATACCAAAGAAAAACCTGATCCTGAACGTGACGAAAATAGTAGCTCTTTGAGGTTGTATCCTATGGAAAAGTAAGCTGGTATCTTGTGGGAATGTTGGTATAAGTACCGTGTAAGATTGATGTCGGCAGATAACAAACTTTTACTTTAGTGGAAGTAAAAGTTTTTTCTTTTTACGTCTTTCCTTTGCCTTTGCCAAGCAGGGGCATGCAAACTACTTGCGAAAGAACGCTTCACAGCTTTTTTATGGTCTTCACAGACGGGTGAAAAAACGAAAGACAAAGATCGCGGTTTTTCTTCCTAGAGAATAAAGCCTCAAACTCAAACTGGTGCAGATGATCGACGTTGATGGAAATATGGGATTAAGTAAGGATTTTTGATTGCTTTAGACAGTTTATGATATATTACAACTACAAATCGAACAAGACTAAAGTGAAAGTAAGGGACGACTGGTCCTTGCGGGCCAGTACTTATCGGTGACCCTGTTCTGCTACAATGATAACACCATTCTGAATTGTAATTGTTGACGGGGGATAGGGGTATAATTTTGATTTCTTCGCGGGCGAAGCAGGGGCATGCCATGGGCATGGCAACAGGCAGAGAATCGGAGTGAAAGTGCGAAGAGTCGGAGTGGGGGGCGACTGTGCGTACTTCTGTGCTGCTGACCGGCGGCGCGGAGGACGCAGCGCAATTGAAGGAAACAAAAATTTGAGAGCACAAAAAAGGACCATATACGAAAGTTTCTACTATGCGCTTATTACAAGTTCCAGACCCAATCTTTCTACGCATGTCTTCGCTTTCGGTAGATGTAGAGCGAGCAGTAGCAAGGGAAAAATAGGACGAGCCCAGAACTTGAAGTCGGCGAAGAACTGAAAGAATACCACTTTTTAAGTAGACCCACCGCCTGCTGCAACGTCATGATGTCGTCGACGACAGGAGGAGCAAAAAATCCAAACTTCCTGCGGACGACCGGCGCCAGCAGCCTTCGCCGCGCACCGGTTCCGCCCTCGAGCACCAGCCGGGGGCTGGTACTTGTAAATGCGTACTTCTACATGTGGCGCTGTACTAGTACCACGCACGGCATGCACATCAAAGTGGACGACCACGACGCAGACGCAGATATCTCCGCGAAGGTAGTTGCGCAACACCAACTAGTACCCGCGTCAGCATCTACTAGTAGCGCAACTTCATCAACGTCAAAAATAATCCACGACACGAAGCTGCTGCAGCAGACGCCGGAGGAGTGCATGTGCGTGAATTCGGGCCTGAATGCGGACCGTGTGAGTGACAGGTTCACCCCGGCACCCGAGGGGATGCCGAACTATCCTGAGTAAAAACGTCCCCACACCAGAGTTGTCATGCAGATTTGCAATGACAGGAACAGAACATTTGTAATGCGCATCGCCAGGAGAGGCATTTTTAGTAGTGTTTTGGAATTTGTAATGCTGTAAACAGGATGAGCAAATGGATTTCTGACGCAGCTGGCCTTGCGAACCTGCGCTACACTACGGACTGCAACTTGTGATGCGTGACCCCCAAAAGTTCTAGGTTTGTGTTGCAAAATCCCCATCTTGACTCTGGTGTGGGGATGTTTTTACTCAGAATACGAACCAAACGTGGTTCAGCACCACGGCTGACGCGAGTGGCAAGTATCCGGACTCGCCCTATATCAAATGCAAAAATGTCTGGGTCTGGAAGATTTCCAGGTTTGTCATGCATATTTCGCATGAGCTATGATGCCTGTAATGCATGACCTAGCATGACAGATTTTTTGCGGGTATCTTGATGCCTATCCCGCATGACAAATGCCCTCTCCGCGGAGCAAAAACTGGACGCCTCTTGCTGCTCATGCAATACAGATATTTTTAGATTTCAAAAATAGCATCACAAGTTGCATTCTTCCAGACCCAGACATTTTTGCAATCCATACCCTACGGCCAAGTATGATGTGAGAAAAATGTGTTACAGGCACACATTGGCTGGACCTTTACTTCATCAGCACAAACATTCTCTGCATGGCAGAGAAGTACTATAGATACTTGTAATGCAGCGATTCTTACAGATTGATCACAAGGAATTTTTATTGAGCATATTGTATGAAATTATATCTACAACTAGGCTCGGGCTCCTGAGAGTATCCGGCATGACAGAACTTGTCTGTCTTGCTTGGCCTGCGTCGTAACACTCTTTTCTTCGCATAGGAAGTGTACACTGACCAGTACGGGGGGCCCGCGGACTATCAAACAAAAGAAGTTCGTCACGCTTACTCATGCGCATTTGTTGGAACTCTCCGTCATGCGCAAGAACAATGCGTCAACGCAGTCAGACTCCATGGGCGATTTCATCCCTTGTGTTTGCGAAATAAGTTGTACAAGGAAAATAATTTCCTGTGAAGATGCCAGAAAAATCTCTGATGCAAATAGACCTGCAAGTTCCTGTGATGAACCGTTTTTTCTCTCTTCCATACGGACTATGGGGAGTACTGTCGCGCGTGGGAAGACGAGTGCGCCTCGATTGGGGGCAAGGCTGGCGAGTATGAAAGCCTCAGAATGGAAATCCTCAAAGTGGAAATAAGTAATTTGTGATGCATGAAATGCAAGGCAAAAAAGCCTGTATTGCAGAGGACACAATTGAGGCCGACTATTGCCCTGCTAGGGGTGAAGAATTGGGCTGCTGATTAGCACGACAGGATGGCACCCCTTTGCCTAACTAGCATGACAGGCACGTTTTGAGTGCCCAGGAAATTTGTCATGCGCCGACTACAATTGGCACTTTGACTGGAGTCGTTTTTTTGCATTACAAATTATTTCCAGTTTGAGGATTTCCAACCTGAGGCTTTCATAGCGAGACTTCCACGTGTGCAATCAGGGAGGAGGATTGCGGGACTGCTCTGGATACGAGGCCGGTTACCTGTATGGAAGCGTCAGGTTTGAAATCGTCAGAGTTGAAATAATTTGCAATGCATAAGATGCAGGACCCGAGGCACGTGTGTTGCAGAGCAGGCAAGTGAGGCCGATTGTGAGCCTGTTTGGGGTTACAGCTCGAGCTGCTAAAGTAGCATGATGCAATCGCTCTTTTTTGCCTAAACAGCATGACAAACTGGATTTGGGGACCAGCGAAATTTGTCTTGCGCCACTTGAAAACTGGGTTCCAACTGGCATCCATTTTATGCATGACAAATTATTTCAACTTTGTCGATTTCAACTCTGACACATCCATAACCTGCTCGAAGACCTGGTGCTACATCCGGACAAGCAGCGCGGTGAACGGCAACATCGCGAAAACGGACGCCATATGCATTCGCAAAAGTACTATCGCACTCGTAATAAAAATCGCAGTCATGCAGGAGCATGACAAATCCAAGCTGTAACCTGAACTAGCATGACAAATTGAGTTTGTGTTCTTGCGAAAATTTGTAATGTGCTTCACATACTAGTGCAATACCAATACAACTTTTGCAATGCATACGACAATTTCCCGCCAGTGTGCTCCAACATCCCGGCGGCAAACCTGACCGTCCAGAGCCGCGACAGCGTGCACCTGTTACGAATTGCAAAAGTATCGCACTAGTATAGCTTGCAATACCAATTGGCTCAGCATCACAAATTGAATTTGTAGTGCGGGTTTGCCATAGCACCTAGATTTGTAATGCATGGCCGCAATTAATAGTACTACTACTAGTACGATGCTTTTGCACAGGATGCCTGTGGTGGTCTTACGATTTCTGCACCACTACTACCACGACGACCACTTCTATGAAAGTGCACAACTCCCCGTCCCCCTCATTTGTCATGCCCAATATTGCTTACCAAGTCTAACACTCTGTGCCCCTTTGGAATGTTAGCATGACAGATTCTGGCAGGCCAAACACCACTACAATTCTGTGAAAATTTGTCATGCAAGAAAAGCTACACTCTTGGTGCATGCCCTTCTTTTCTGTTCATGCAATACAAATGAGCGAGAGGGGGAGTACTAGTTGTGCACTGTTATAACTTCCACGTTGGCGGTTGAAACTGTTTCCCCCAGCACCACCACCACCCCTGCGCCGGAGACGACACCTATCCTGAGCAAAAACGTCCCCACACCGTAGCCAAGATGGGGAAGCCGCTAGACAAATCAACAAGCCAATGATAAATTTGCCTTCGTAGTGTATTAATCCTGTTTAGCTACTTCAGCAGCGTCACAGATCTGGACTATCGTGCTGGGTGGAGCATAACAAATACCGAAACACGACTAGAGCGTGTTGCACTCTCATGGGGCTTCGCATGAAAAGCATTTTTAGCATGCAGATTTGTACGTACAACTATGGAGAAGTGGGGACGTTTTCACAAAGGATAAGACCGAGTCCGGAGGAACTCGCCAAACTTCAAGCCGAGCTGCAGGCGGCCAGTATATGCATTGCAATATGTTTGGGTCTGAAAGAGTTTCGACTTCCATGCTAAGAGTCTGGTGCATACAAAAATCTGTCTTGCATGATATTACCATAAGCTGCACTCTTTTAATAAACCAACATGAGATGAGGGAGTTTCTCATGCAGGAGAGGCATGGCATATTAGTCTATGCCATGCCTCTCCTGCATGAGAAATTTGTCGTGCTAGGTCCACCTGCATTCCGGACCTGCTCATGGGGAATGGAAATTTTGCATGACAAGTTTGTATTCCACCTGCAGACCCAGACCTATTTGCATTTCATACGGTATGGGTGGCGACAGTACCGCGAACGACACGAATACTACGGAGGAGCTCCTTCTAGCGTTACGGGGTGGAACAGGAAGATCCGCCGGCGATCACTCGGGGAGCACAACCACAACCACCGGTGGGAGCGGGGCGTCAACATCCACTGCTAGCACCGGCGGCGGCCACACCACTGACACTGAGGACGCTGCTGGCAAAAGTAGCGGTGCGCTTCTGCTGCAACAAACCAGGAGCGTGGAGGACGACGTCTCTGGTGGTGTTCACGATTCGTCTTCGAGCGGCGGGGGCTCCGACCACTTTGGCGGCGGCCAAGACCTCGCTGGTGGCTCCGGCTACTACTAGTTTTCGGGAATAAAAACGGATGGTGCCCTCGTCCAACTCCTGCCTGCTCGGGGCACCAGACGTCGAAAAACGTTCTCCTGAGTAGAAGGAGACGAAGAAATACGATAGAAAGCGACGTCGACGACAAACTTACGGCAGGACGAAATTGCTATCTTCGCGTATCAGTTCCAAAACAACTCGAAGTCGGCACGACTAGCAACAACACGACATGATCACGCCGGATGAAGTTCCTCGGCGGAGGATCATGGGCAAGGAGATTGTAGCCACACGAAGTGAAACACTGGTAAACGAGGAGGACCCGCGTCCGGGCTCGGATGAAGATTGGCCGCGATAATTTCTTTCTGCCGGAGAGCAGCAAGGCAACACAGGAGGTGGTGGGCAGCACAGCCACAGATTTTGGTGAATATTAATGCTAGCAGTCTTGAAGAACTAATCTCGCACGGAGGTGGCCGGTAGGGGCGCAAGAATCTAAAGCAAACCAAATATGACGAAACTTCTTCTACTGACCTCGTGCCGCCAGCCGCAATCGCAGTCGACGCCGAACACGAAGTGAAAGAGTTTTTCAACAGCATCTTCCCGAACACGAAGTGAAAGAGTCGTTCGGCGTTCGTGCCTTTCACGCTCACCGAGGAGTTCGTCCCCGGGCCAAGGTCGAGTAAGAAGAAGGACCGCGTTTTAAATAATACTGGCCTTCTTGCGGGAACGGAATTCGAATCTTTAGTGGGCGACGAAGATAAAAAGTACAACTACAACACCACCCGCTCCTACGTAGTGCGGGAAGGGGCACGAGCAGGATAAGAACAGTCCTGCAACCCAACCGGCGCGGGAAGAAGAGTCCTGGTGGGGAGCAAAGCCAAACGCGGAAGATGATCAGTTGTGTCGCATCAAGGACTCTACTTACGGCGGGGACGAGGACAACGGCACATGTTGCGGAAGGAAAATTTCGTCCATAAAGTGCTACCAATACCTGCTTCTTACTGTATCTTTATGATGTAGATGAAGGTGTAGAAGGAAACGAAGTGCTCATGTAATATCTTCTCTACTTCAGTGAATATCAATATTCATCGAGACCACAGATAAACTACGGCGTTTTTTTTTACGAGGATCATCTGAGGAACGATGAATCTCGACATTGTCTCAAATTCGTGCAGCAGCTCCGTGGCTTCCTTTGCCAAGCAAGATGACGCGAAGAAGCAGGAAGTAGTACCAGTCTCGTCGGTGGAAGTCATGGGCAGAGACGATTTAAAAAAAGTAGAAAATTCAAGTAGAGAATCGGGCTTCCGTAGCGGTTCGTGCGTTGAGGTGGCAATCAGGATAAGACTGCGGAATACATAAGAAGTTTTAGAAACTTCAAAAAAGCTAATTTGTTTGCCCAAGGTAAAGAATCAAAATCATTTGAAACAAAAAGAACGCTACTTAGTCGTAGGTTTCAGTCTCACGACACGAGAATAGAGCCCCTTCCCTGGGCTGCTTTCTTTGGACAGACTCACTGGCAGAGATAATGAGTACCACAGATTTTAATCCTGATGTTCTGTAGTTTTGACAACATACACGCCAACAAGTTGAGAGAAAAGCTGCTTGGTGTTTCAGAAATTGAATGTCGTTATGGTTAACGTTCAAATTCTTAGGCAGGTCTGTTTTCCCCCTTTTTTTTTTTCTTTTTTCTAGTCTGCGGAACAGTAAAACGAAGTGCGTATCCTAGCTGCACTGGCAGCCGACCTTACGCGCACCATCAGAAGTGCGGAACTGGCCGGCCTTTGTGGTGTCTCACCATCAGAAGTGCGAACTACGGGGGCCGGGGCGTACAGCCTAAAGTTCTAAAAGTTCTAAAGTCCCATCGCGCGATAGATAGATAGATAACGCATAACGCATCAAAGTTGACCCCACAACTTTTTTTCTTAGGAATAATCATCGCGCACGAGTATGTATTCATTGAGGAGTGGAGAAGTGACAGGACACAAGCACGTGGACTTGGCAGGGATTACAACTGTGGGACAGCCAGCCACCAGGAGGATGAACAAGGAGAGGTGAGTGTATATGTGTAAATGCCTGGTGCATGTCTGATATATGCTCTGGTATAGGAATGCTAGTTTCAGTTTGCAACGCTTTTGCGCTACGTTTGCTTTTCCACGTTGGTCCTGGGGTGCAGATGAGCGAGCGAACGAAGTTAGAATACGTGCAATATGTTCAATACATGCGTTTTTCCTCCGAAAGTAAAAGCGAGAGCCCCCCTTATAATTAGGTGTTTCCGTGTTGCGCTACACGATCAATGATTTTTTTAGGTGGCTGATTCTGATATTGTATAGGCAATTTGGCGCGTCGTTTTGTATTTCCCATTGGTGCGGTACGAAGATGAAGTGTGCTAGTAGTGTGCTACACCGATTTAAAATTGTCGCTTTCATCTTCTGTGATTTTGCTCTTGCGCAGAAGCGTTGTGTCAACGCGACTTCAGCCGATGGCTCTAGAGAACTATCGACGATTGGCAAGTATGTTGCGCACTCACTTTGTTGCGTCCTTCTTCCAGAAGTGGTCATGACCATCATTGTGAAAAAATCCAAAGGTCCTTCCTCATTCACAGATGAAGAGGGAAAGAAGAATTTAAATTATTGAAAAAATTCAATTTTAACAGAAAATAGCCGTAGGGTTTGAGATATCTTCGAGAGAAAATAACGCTTCATTTGTTGCGTGTGTTTTTCGCACCGCGGTGCAGAAACGGAGGAAAATGAAGGTTGCTCCCTCGGGGCTCGCCCTGGCCCTCGCCATTTGTGGCGGCAAGGTATAGAGTGTTTTTCTTTTTCATTTTGTATATCTCAGCCTATGTGCGCTGTTTTTTGAACGCAACGGTAACATTTTGACCGATAGACGATAGTAAATTCAATAATAATAAAATCAGCACATCATGCAGACCGCGTTGGGGCTAAACATCCAGAAGGTGGTATCGAGAGAAAACCAGTGCTGGTTAGTTCCTAGTGTAGATTGTCACGACAACATTTAAATGTTGCATTTTGAGTTCTAATGGAAGGACGGGCAGAAGGTGTTGGCAGTAAGCCAACTGCCAAAGCAGATGATTGGCCCATCTCCAAAGTCGGGAATTGCAATTTTTCGCGGCAGCTTCGCTCATTGTTTTAGACACAGTATAAGTGAGTGAATTCTGGACTTGATACAGACAAGTACAAGTGAGCGAACAAGTTACACTTACAAGGATATTAAGGAAAGTAGCTCGCTCGTTTTTCTCTCGCATAAGCGTACGACAAGGCGAAGCGCACCCGCAAGACTACGACAACAACAGCTGATATCCAGAAAAAAACACCCACCCCCATCCATTTTCACACTTTTTCAACGCATGAAAAACGGGAAAAAGGAAAAAAGAGAAAAAAAGCCAAAGCGATTTTGAGGATGATGTTTTTGCACCCGACAGCATGCTAAATATCGGATTGACCCGTCCGCTCATTTTCTATTTAGAAATTGCGTGGATGGGTCGTGCCGATATTTATCCTACCGTCGGGTGAAAAAACATCATCCATCCCAAACAGGCACAATCTCGAAAACGAATTTTTTTTGTTCGAACACGAAATCAAAAAAGTTTTCGCTCCGGTAACTGTGCCGAACAGCAACAGTTTTCCAATCCTGAACTTGTATTTTCGAATCCAACCGGAAGGAAAGAAGCCCCAAAATCTCCTCTGAGCCCGTTGCTTTCGTCCCATGTGGCGACGCGTTGGCATGGTGGTGTGGCCGCTGCAAAATGGCCAATAGCCCTCCGAGCACTGAAGAGGACTTTCGCAGGAATCTGCGACTCATCGCCCGCTGCGATTGCCTCTGATGGACCTCCGGAGTGCGTATCTCTGACATCACTTGAGCGACGTACGTACTGACATGATTAAGATCGAAATCGATCACTGACGGACCTAAATTTTTTGAAAGTAAACTGCTTTAGTAAGCGTGATTCTGGAAGCGAGTCTGAGGAATTCGATCGCCTGAGGGCGGGGAAGTTCTCGCTCTGCCAGTCTCGGACACTTGCTATTTGTAGAGCCTCATTCAGAACATTCGCAATTCGCAGGCGCGCGTCTCTACCCCTCAGTGTGCTACACTCGAAATTGGAACAAGGCCTAAACCTCACGCACGCCCCCCCAGTGCAGGATAGATGATAGTGGTGATTCTGTTTTTCAGAGAATGGCGAAAATGGATGGGAATGGGTGTTTTTTCCTGGATAACTGCAACCGGGTCACAGACCCCGCCGAAGCTGGAGGACAAAGTTGAAGCTAACGCTGCGGCTGACGCAATTTTGTCTGCTGCCATTACCAATAACGACAGCAATGAGATAACGGCAGATGTCGTGAAAGCCGCACTGACAGACAACGTCGTCATGACCTTCGAAGAGGGCGAAGTCACCCAAGAAATGGCCACTGCGATCGAGAGCGATCTCATGACTGAGGCGACAACATCGTTTGCAGACTCCACCAAGGACGATGCCGGAAAGAAAGCCGCGGCGGCCGACAAAATCGTGGAACTTCTGAAAGCCAAGATAACTGCAGCCGGGTCTTCTACTACCACCTTGCCAACGCTGGCCGACCAAGCTGCCTCAGCGGCTACCCCGATTGCTGCTAGTACCGCCCTGGATGCCGATGTCCCAGCAAAACTGACAGAGTTCCTCGTCGATGTTGGTGAGCTCCAGGAGGGCACAGTCACCCAAGCAATGGTCAATGACGTCGCGGCAGATGTCCAAACTGCGGCGCAGGCCGCTATTGACGACACCAGCACGGACGCTGCCGCAGATGCAGTCACGGTGAAAGACAAGATCGTCGAACTTGTGCAACCCAAGTTGGATTCTTCAGGTACTTTTGTTCTGGTTGCAGTTAGCACTTCTTAAATTTTGTTTCGAGTGTAATCGTAAAGTAAGTTGAGTATGCCTCTCTCTCTCTCTCTCTCCCTCTGCAGAAACAACCAACAACAACAACAACAGCAACAACAACGACAACAGCTGCAGCAACAACTGCAGCAACTGAGTGTATCTTTTGTAAAAGCATGTCCACCCCGACCCCAGACTTGTGGTGGAATTATGTAATCCTCAAACGAAGCAAATGCTTCTCATGCGCAGCTCCATGTGAAGCGTTTTCTATTGCAATTTGCGAGCTGGTCGTGCTAGAATCCCGATGAATTATAAATCATATAAATGCGGTAACAAAGTCCAGAATTTGTGATGCAGCTCGGCTGCGAAGAGAGTTGGATTACACGACGACTGATGTAGCCACACAGTCCAATCTGTTTCTGCGAGCTCAAACTTGTTGGCTTGTGCAATAAAATCTTGTTCCTTTCTGTGTGGTCGTGGGGACGTTTTTCCGGAGGATAAAGTGCGTGTGCGTGAACCAGGCGGATGGTGATGCGTACTCGATGGGAACCAATCAGATGTGGTTGAATGGTACTACCGAGTATGCGTTACAAAAATATCGTATTAGTATGAATCGCGTTACAAACATAACAAAGAAATGGAACTCGTAGTGCCAAATTACTCAAGAAATCCCATGCTCGTCTGGTATTTAAATTCAAGACCTAAACCTCATGCACGCTGCCCCCCCCCCCCCCCCAGTGCAGAATTGATGATGATGATGATGAATTAATCCAAGTGCGATACTTTTGCAATTCCATACCGCGGTCGACACGCCCTATGGCACGGACTACGCCAAGCCAACCAGTGAGACGAATGGCCTCGGGGTATGCATTGTAAGCATGTCCGAGTCTGGAAGAAGGCTTGTCATGGATGTCGTGCATGATTCGAGACTGTCTGATGCTTGTGGACGAAGAGATCCCCTTGCCTGTCATGCAAAATTGCAACCTGCCATACGGAATAAGTACGTGCCACATCATAGCCGACCAACGCCAAAGAAACGTTTGCCATCATTGGCATTCACTTTTGGCATAGCTACACCTCCTTAGACCCAAACATGTTTGCAGTTGAGACGGGGGGCCGCCGAACTACGGGGAGTACTGCGCAGCATGGGAGGACGAGTGCATGAACATTACCGGGCAGACCACGACGGGCAAGACGGGCAAGGCCGGGTCTTCGTACGGATGCCTCCCGGGCGAGCCACCTGCAGGGGGCGCATCCAAAGGAAAAGTTCCCTCTTCCCGTATCAAAGGGAAGCTTCTACTGCTGGATTTTCATACACAGGCCAGATTTGTCTTGCTGGAGATGACTCACTGGAGGCCCGTAGCGAGCCTGAGTACTAGAGAGGCTTTGGCATAGGCACTTAGCATGAAAAACGTTCCCGCTGTAGGGCCAGCAGCATCGGAAACCACGTGCATAATCCGGCGAAGCCCGTGGAGTTTCCTTCAAGAAGACGCAAATGCGCGGAGATGTACCTCACCAATATGGGGAGAGGGAATTTTTCCTCGCGATAGAGCGTGAAGGATGTGGACTACGCAGCGTCAGGGAACGTGAGTCGTACCATGTGCCCCGCTGCTCCACCGTCTCTCACGGGTGGTCTACCCGCGAGAAAAAAACTAGCACTATAGTGCCACATTTGTTGCACATGGTAGATAAAATTCAAATTATACATACTGGGTGGTCGTTCTGCTTCTGCCTTGCATAGCCTAATTATCAGCTCCACGCACACGAGGCATTTTTTGCACGCCCCCCCAGTCTCGTTTGATGATGATCACCAAGACCATGGTGCCGTGCTGGATTTTTTCTTTGTGACATGACACGAACGCTGTTGACCCCGCCAAACGGACTCCCAGCTGGTGCTACGCGCGGTGGTGCTACATCAAGTACTAAGCGGATTTCCACATAAATGGATTGTGTGCGCCAGTTTAGTAAACTTCTTGCTCACCACGATCCTTTCTGTTTCCGGCACCTCCCAAAAAAACGCACCTATAAGCAGGATTGATGAGGTTCTTGCATCATTGGAAAAAAACTCAATCACAGTTCTTCTACTTCTACTTTCCCAACAAAATATTTCGCAGGGAAGTTGGAGCGAATGACGGCGACATCGCGAAGCCCATCCCCACGGATGGCTCAGTATGCCGTGCAACAGTATCTTCGCGCTCTTTCTACTTGTTTTGTTGTATCTTCGAAAGACACTATCTGTATCCAGGACAGCACAGCACGAGTAGAAAAGAAACGGATATCAATGCAATCGGACGAGAGCGACGAGTAGAAGTACTGTTGCGAGGCATAACCGCCCGTGACCCCGCCGAGCTGCACCAACTTGGACATAAACACGGACGTATCGACTGCAACGATGTCTGGATCTGGATGATTTAGCGGGAAGTTTGTCACGCCAGTCTGGCATCATGCCTCTGAGCGAAGCTTCTCGTGCGGAATAAGCAATACAATCACAGAGCCACGAGAAAAGCTGTCATGCTTGGGGTTGTAATAAAACACTGCGCTTTATTGTTGTTCACTGATGGGGAAGGGGACGTGCACCACAACTTTCCAAACCCAGACATATTTGCAATGCATAGGACGACGGCTGGGGCAACAAGCAGATGATCGAGTCCGGTTACGGCAACTTGAAAATGTGGTATAGACTTTGGTTTCCTGTTGTGTATAAAAGATTCCGAAGCAAAGACGTACACGTACATCTACATGCACAACCCGCAATGCCCATGTTCAAGTTGAACGTGCTGAAAATCGTTCAATAGTTCGGGGCAGTTTTTGATTGTGGGGTTACCCCGGGCGTGTTGCGGTTGTTTCTTTGCTCCGAAAATGAGATCGCATATGGCCGGGTGTTTTTTCGCTGCATGATAGGCATGGGTGTGTCCTACCCCCGTGGTGTTATGGATGTCTGTGTCTTTCGCGAGGATATGTTCCTCGTGTTTTTCGGATATTTGTATACGCTTTCGGTCCGAAGAGCATGATGGTTGAAAAATGTCAGCCATCACGTTGTTCGGGATCGATGAGGAGCGTGTGAGGGTGACGTGGTTTCGGAACTCGGAAGAAGACCATCAAGATGTCGTCTAAGCCGGCACTTTGATGGTCCTGTCCGGACTTCTAATCACCTTCTAATTCTGCCGTCGAAATCCAATAGGAGCAAAATCCAAATGGATTTTGCACTACAAGGAAACTGGAAGCTCCCCAGACATGTTCCGGGGAGCCGAATTGCCTCCGGATCTCGAAGAGAATGCGGGGAAAATTAAAAAGAAAAGATAGAAGTCAAATTCGACGGGATTTCAGAAGACATATTACGTACTACAAGCAACTTTAGGAGGAAAATTAAAAGGAAAATTAGAAGACATTCTAGAAGGCTAAATTATAAACATTTTGAAAAGGGGAAACTAGAAGGGGGTTTGAGAAGAAGAAACTAGAAGGGATTTTCAGACGGGCAAAATAGGAGTGGTGGTCCGGGGCACTATGGGAGGCCTTCGCCGTGTTTCCGCATGTCTTGGTAGCGGCGGTGGCGAGGACAAATTTCGCTGATAGGGTGTTGTTTATTTTTGGGTCTTTGGGCAACTAGGGGTAGGGTGGGGAAGATTCGATTCCAAACATTGGAAGGTTTTTAGTTCGGCTTTGCCCGTCACTCGGGTGCTTTCTTTTCTGTTTGGGCGGGGCCTATCTTGTGTTCACCTTTGGGTAACCTACTTTGCTGGGTCACTTTCTCCGGAATCGGGACCAGGGAAACACAAAAAACGAAACACCGGGAAAATTGACGAGCTTTTAGAAGTCAAGGCGGGGCGGGTGTTTCCCGGGTGGCAGCGTGCTGAAAAGCGTTCAAAAGAGGATAGAACGTAGCGCGACCAAAGCACGCGGATGTGGTGCGACAGACAGAGGAGTTACACTAACACCTCTCACAGTCAGAAGTGGAGAACGCCAAGGTTGAAAAATCCGCTATGAAAATTTTTTGCACGTGGTTTCAAGAGAGAAGAGTAGCACATTGCTCTCTGAATGCTGCGTAGTTCTGCTCGTCATTCACCGAAAAGCTGCGCCTACCTTGTTCGGCGATGTGTGTCTTTTCGTCTTCATTTTCTTCCATTGACTCAGCGTTTAGAGACAGGGTTCTTGTAGCAAAACTCCTACTGACTATTCCTGTAATTTAAATCAGGTATTCGTACGCATTGTGCGACGCGCCGACCACAACTACCACGCCCGCACCGGAAACGCCCGCACCGGCGCCGTACTAGGAGACCACAACGACGACGACGGTGGCCGCGGAGACCACGACTTCTACGTAAGCAGGCACAATGATGTATTCTAAGTAAAAACGCCACCGCGATCCCTTGTGATGATGCAATTTTGTGTGATCAACAGGAATAGTAGCACTCCGTTTTCCTCTGCAAAGCTTTCCTTTTCCTCAGAATGGTAACCACACGGCTCCGTGAACGTGAGGCGGGTGCCCTGCTTGCCAACCTGCGCTGCGCTACAGCCAGAAGCTTGTCATGTGCGATTCCCAAAAATTCTGTGCTTGTTTTGCAAAATCGTTTCACACTTGACTCGGGAGACGGGGACGTTTTTACAGAGGACAGTGCCGGACACTTGCGATGTTTGAAAGAATCAATTGCCAAATTGAAAAATGGCAAATTTCTGCTTTTCTGGGGAAATAAAAGAAATTGGTCTTTGCCAAGCAAAAGTTCCATCCTTCTTTGATTGTACATGAATTGTGATGATGTCATAGTGAGCGCAAAGGCGTATGCAAGATGCGCTGGTTTGATGAGTTTCACTACTTCAGATGAATATCAGATGAATCTTAATAACACGATAAGAAATAATATTATATAGTATCAAAGTCGTATCCTAATCCTTCCGTTACATGACAAAAGATAGATTACTATTGATAGAGAAATTATGAGTATCGAAAGCAGGTTGTTGTACACGAAACAAATTGAATTTGAAACCGGAATTCCCGAGGAATTCATATTATCTTCATGGTTGTGGCCGAATTGGTCAGCGCAGATAGAAATCGGCAGTCAGAGAAAGGACAAACCCGCAGGAATCTTGTTCTGTTGTAGTTGCGATTGGAAGGGCAAACCAAAAGGAAACTTGTTCCGTTGCAGTTTCGGTTGGAAAAGGGCGGTCGTCTCTGTTGTAGTTCGGTCTTGTCGTATCGGTCCTTCCATGTGATTGATTTGAAATCGAAATTGAAGTTTCCTGTGTAAAAATCTGAAATGTAAGTGTCCCTACTTCCTTGATTGCGAATTCTGTCTTGTAAGTGTCTCGCCACAAAGACAAAACGGTTCGGCACAAAAGAAGCGTGTCGTGTCACGTCATGACACGGATCATTATACACAGCGAAACTTTTGTGCAAAAAAACCGTCATCAAACAGGAAGAGTTCGGTCTGTCGTGTTGTCGTCGTGATGGGTTTGCCATCACGAAGCCCCGCTCTGCTTTCATTGAGCAGTTGAGATTGAAGCCCATGAGCTGGCAGCCATATTACTGCGCTGCTTCACAATATTCTAGCTCCGCGTCGGTCCGTAGTCCACATTCGTTTTATTTTATCCCCAGCACAACCTTCGGTTGAGATTTATATATGCGGATTTTAATTTTTGTGTTGTTCGTGTCCTCGTTCGTACTCGTAGAGGACCAAAGCCGTCGCGTGTCATGATAGAGCGATCTTAATCTGCACTGTAAGTAATTCGTACCAAAGACCAGAGCATACTTATTGTCGTGCGATATCAAAGGTTAAGGTGTGCTTTGTTGAAAATGACCGAGATTACGAAGCCGCAATAAGGGATATGAATCTGAAGGCGGTAATGTCCCCTCACTTGCCTGCAATCGTGCACGCGCGGCGCCTAGAGAGCGGCACCGGACTTAATGACGCAGTATGTGGTGATAATGTTTGTTCGCCAAATCTGATTTCGGAAAACCGTGCAGCTACCAGAAGTCTAGTCCAGGCGACCAACAGATAGATTCACAAGACGAGTGTACTTAGTGGAACTGTCGTGAGACTGCGATTCATGAGGGACACCTTTGACAAAGTGTACATGTGCGGGGGGCTGCAAAGAATATCACATGTAAATTACAATGCTACTTCCGGCTCCTGGCGTTGCATTTGAGATTGAAAAAAGCCAAGCTAATTACTGTCACGCCGTTGTGCGAGATGCAAGTAAGCGTAGAATCGGTGTTGAATCCGTCGCGACAACATGCGCCATAATCCTCTTCGAGCGGTGAGTGGCGAAAATCATCCTTAGTTGCAAATGAGAACTGCCGCACGAGGAACTCGTCGATGCGGTACAGTTTCAATGCGGATCGCAGCCCTGGTCCTCGCGCTGGGAAAGACTGCAACCGCCGTAGGGCTACGGAAAATCCAGAACTTGGCGTCACGCCAAGCCAAGAATGATTTTGTTCACCGATCCGCCTCCGCGCTCGGGCAGGAACAAGCCGCAGAGGCGTGTATGTGTGTCAACGAGGGGTCCACAAAATTCACGGCGCCGATGGCTGACGGCATGAACCAGGCCTGGTGGAATCCCGTCCGCGTAAACGACACCTACCAGGACACACCGTATGGACTGAACTTATGACACTCTCAAGTGTTACTTTCCCAGCTGTTACATGATTTGCCATGCAGAATGAGCATCAACGTCCACACGGTGAAGAGTTGCAAGCTCCGGCCTTTCCGTGTTGCCATTCTTGCGTCGCAAATTCATGTAACGGCCGAGAGTGTAGCGATTGAGAATTCATAGCAGTACACGACCAAATATGGCGGTGTTGCGGATTACGGCGAATACTGCTATGGGTGGGAGTATGGAGGTGGCAGGATCGAAATCGACAAAATCGCAAAAAAATTCGATGCATATTAAAACAGATACCAGTTGGAGCCTCAGTTTCGGTTTCCAAGTGGCGCATGACAAATTAAGTATTGGAGCACGAAGATCCAGCCTGTCACGCTGTTGGGGCAAAGAAGACTGCTTCTGTCGTTCTACTTTGGCAGCACATCGCCTGCCCCTAAACAGGCTTGCAACAATCGGCCTCATTTGCATGCTCCCCACCACAGGCCTTGCGTGCCCTACATTTTATGCATTACAAATTTTTCGACTTTGTCGATTTCGGCCTTGGCACTCCCATAGGGAGGACGAGTGCGACAGTGGGATCGCTGGACGGCGACCCAACTGCACGATCACATCCTATCGGACTGGCAAACGTTACACTCCCAACTGTTACGCGATTTGTCATGCAGAATGAGCGTTTGCATCCACATGCACATGGTGAAGCCACTGCGCAGGAGGCGTGACAAATTTTGGAATGGGATTCATCGAATTACAATTAGTAATGCATATGCAAGAGTTGCAGTAGGTTCCGGTCTTTCTCTTTCCCTTTTGCCATTCAAGTAGGCGATGTGGTACTAGTAAACGACGATAAGCGATGTGCGACGCTGCAGTGATAAAACTTCGAGATGCCGCTTGAAACGAACCGGAACCCAAACCCCTCCGCACGTGCCCCCCTAGTGCAGGATAAATGATGGCGATCATGATTCTTGCACGAAGAGGGGCGGCCCTTCTGGTTGTGTTTGTGGTCTCGGTCGGTTTAGCATCACAAATTCAAGTAACAGTAGTTGGGCATGTAACATGTGAGAACTCCATACATTCCCGACCATGCAGTGTCCGGGGGTACGCATTGCAAATAGGACGTATGCAATACAAATTTCCCGTACATGTACAAGATGCATCACAGATTTCACCAATTGCAATTTCTTTGGAGTCTACTAACACCTGTCATGCTAAACCGGGATCGCAGCGGCCCAGGTTAGCGCGGTTTTGTCATACAGAGACCGCATTTGTAAGTGTGCGGGAAATTTCCAGTGGATAGGTCGTCTGGGTCCGAAACCACGAGAGCCGAACTTGTGATGCTCTCTGACCGTCAATCGAGCAAAAATCTGTCTTGTGTGAGTAGTACGTTTTTTTGATGCCACATGGACATTTTCACAGTTTTCCGTGCGTGATGCAGGCATCTGGAGGCCTTCAGAAATAATTCTGCGATGCTAGTATGCTACTTGTGTCTTATTTCTGGGTCTCCTAGGGGAGGCAAAAACTACTGCACGGCATCAAAAACTACAGCACGTTTCTCCAGACCCAGACAGAGACTTGCAGTTGATAGGAAGGAGGTGGGGGCAACGACATCCCAGGCGCGGTGCCGCCCGTGGACCCGACCTGCCACATGAAGTGGTGCTACATCAAGATGGCGACACAAGGCAACGGCGACATCGCGAAAGCTGACGCGACTGCCGCACCGGTGTGCACCAACATTTTGGCGACAGTATCCTGTGCAATAGCTGTATCGAAGAACTCTTGGCGATTGCATTGATTTACGAGTTTGCTGAGCATGATGCTGACGAAGGAAGTAGCCCCTTCTGATGTGGAGGTTTATTGCGAGAAAAAATTGTCAACTTTTAGAAGTACATAATTGCAATTACTACGAGTACGGTGCTTTTGCAACACATAGACAGAGCTGAAGCCAGATACGGTCGGTGACAAGACCGTCTGGTATTCCTACTCCTACTGTTATACATTGCAAATGTGCAGCCTGGGTCTGGATTTGTGATGCAAGGTTTGAAGGACAAGGACATGGACAATAAGTTGTAGTGCATGGTGGAAGTAGGTAGGAGTGAGCAGCTTCATTTTTTGTCGTCCTGGCAGAGAGTTAGTGATTGTGTTTGTCATGCTGACGAGCACGATTGAACCCGCAAGATGCCAAGGAACACTTGGCAGGATGTTATGCCATACAAGGAAATCCTCTGGTATGCGTACTTATGCAAGGACCAGCACGACAAATTATTGTTTGCATCTTCCCGATGAACGACCCAGACATCTTTTCCATTGATAACTGCACCACGACCACAACCACAACTACCGTCACAACTACCACGACCATCGGCGCGCCTGTATGGATGAAAAAAGCACCAACACAACAATCACATTTTTGCGAGTTTTGGATCGGAAATCTGGCTGATACAACGACAAATTGCATTCTTGTTTTGCAGAACCATACAGGGAAACCACGTATGAAATTGACTGGGACGATACATTTTTATGCATGACACGGAAATTGCGCAAGGGTGACGGCGATGGTGTTTTTCTCTTGGACACCCTTCGGATCGATAACGTCTTTGAGCGATGATCTGGAATGTGCCTTGCAAAAATATTGTGCTAGTAGTAGTTTTTCCAAGAAGCAGGACAAATCAATGAAATTTGGATTGCCGAGTGACATTTATTGGGTAGAAGCAGAAAACCAGAAGATGTATTGTCATGCACAAATGCAACTCAGTACGTGCGCGATACTTTTGCACAGGATACGGGATTTGCAGTTGCGACATATGTAGATGCAAAAGGAACTGAAGTAGCATTCGTACTACGAGGAGAAGCAGGAGAATATTCATCGTCCAGATCGTCGTGTAACTGAAGATGATTGCATAGCCAGCATTTGATATACAAAGCGACCGAGCGTTGACTTCTAGCGCCAGTGCCAAGCACAACATGTGATAGAAGTGGACAAGAAGAGTCAGAAATTGACTTTGCAGGCACCCCACCTGATCATGTTAATGTTTGTATAATGAAAGAACCAGCTGGTGCTTGCACAAGTGCACAAGCAGGAAACAAGATGAGAGTAAATAAGGGAATAAACAAGCAACAAGCGTGAGAAGGAAAACTACCATGTTCACTACCGCTGCACAAAATAATCTTGAACTTGTTTTCCTTGTGCTCGTTTATATGTAGGTGTAGCAGCCACAGCAGTTTTCGCTTCATTGAGGCACGAATTCTTGTGCGACGGAATCTAACTATGTCGCCACGGTCAAAAATTGTCTCTGTGGAAATGAGAATCGGCTCCAGTTTATTGCTGCATTCAAATTATATATATTCCTAGTTGCCGCTTGGAGTCCAATAAGTAAAAACTCTGCACGTTGTAATGCCAAGGTGAATTCGAAAAAAAAAAAAATGTCTGCTACTTGTAATTGTGCACGCGTTCTTTTTCCGCTACTTGTAGTAAGATTTGTACCTGGATGGCCATTGATTGTAGTGGGCCGCTACCTGTAATAATTGTATTAACCTTCGCGGGAAGTAGAGAGGAAGCGATGCCAATGCACCGCGTAGAAGTTAGTAGGAGAGCGTGTTAAATGTGATTCCTTGCGAGCACTTCTTGCACTATACGGCTAGAAGCTTGATGTAAAAATCGAGATGAGCAAAGTAGAGAACTTTTCTATCACAGAACACGAATAGCAATCCAACAGAAATACTTTTTGTTTTTGAGCATCCATTGTCCTCTAGAGCCAGGTAATTCCTTTCGAAGAACATAAAGCCTTAGCCACTGCAAGGAAGTCAAGTGGAAGAAAATAAAGGCGCGACGAACTACTCAAAGAAATGCAGCGAGTAAAAACTACTTGCCTCGTACTGCTGGCCGCAGAGACCGTACCCACTGCTGCAAATGCGTCAGGGTCTGAAAAAAACGCTGGTTGGTGTGTGTGGTCATGCATGAAGCATAAATATTTTTACGTTTATGAGAAGAGTTGAAAGCATGATCCATTGGTTTAATATCATTCGCTTCTATACAACATAGCAAAAAGTAGATGATCGGGGGTCGTACTTAAGTGGTAATCATCCCTAATATCCCAGAATTAGGATCAGTTGCAGACCTTGAAGATATTGGCAATGCATATCCCGGCCTATGAAAGCCTCAGGTTGGAAATCCTCAAAGTGGAAATAATTTGCAATGCAAAAAAACGACTCCAGTTGAAGTGCCATTTGTAGTCGGCGCATGACAAATTTCCCGGGCACTCAAAACGTGTCTGTCATGCTACTTAGACAAAGGGGTGTCCTTCTGTCGTGCTAATCAGCAGCCCAATTCTTCACCCCTAGCAGGACAATAGTCGGCCTCCATTGTGTCCTATGCAATACAGTGTTTTTTGCCTGGCATTTCATGCATCACAAATTATTTCCACGTTGAGGATTTCCATTCTGAGGCTTTCATACGGCCTCGGCGTCAACATCAGGAACGACGACCATCTATCCTGTGCAAAAGTATCGTATTCGTACAAATGCAGGTCTGGCATTACAAATCATTTTCTTAAAGGCAAATCCGCATTACAAATGTTATTTCTCATGCTGAGAAAATTTGTAATGCATTTATACGAATACGATACTTTTGCAGTTCATACCATCAGAAGCTGGATGCGTCTCTATGGCGAGGAAAAAATCATATCTTCTCTCGTGCTCGTCCCTTCTACAGTACTAAAACTCGCAAGAAATTATACATCTGTAGTGATGGTGATGCCTCATTTATTGTGTACTACTTACATGGACTTTTTGTCCTTATCTATTGCAGACAGGGGAAACCGAAACGGAAGACATGTGAACATTCTTCTACTTCTGCCGGTCTTACAGGCGTTTTTTGCTTCGGCCACGGCGCCAGAGATCATGTTGCCTGCCGTGGTTTATTGCTAATCGGATGTTGGGTCATACTCAAACAGTGCAATAATTCTACATGTATGCCTCAAAGAGGAAGCGCAGCAACAACAAGCGTTTACACTTTACTGCAATTTATTTCAAACAGCACAGCTAAATTCTTGGTGTGTACACAAATGCAGAATAATGAGAAGTAGAATGTGAAGGGGGACGAGGATTTTTCATTTTGATATATACACACGTTTTTAGCCGGGTCTACCACCGCGCCAACGCTGGCCGATCAGGCTCTTCTGGCGGCTAATGCAATTATGGACCCTGCCAATGACGACGACGACAAGAAGAAGGGGGCTGTGCAAGGTGCACTGACAACAAACATCGTCATGGAACTCGCAGAGGGCACAGTTGACCAAGCCATGGCCGATGCTGTCCAGGCGGATGTCGAGGCTGCGGCGATCGAGGCTAACGCGAATGCCGCTTCGGTCGCCGCGAAGATCGTGGACGTTGTGCAAGCCAAGTTGACAGCAGGTACTTTTGTTCTGGCTGCAGGTAGCACTTCAACTTCTAAAATTTGGTTTCGAATGTACTCACCAGAAGGGAATTATAGCAGATACTTCGCGAATTTAAGCAGATCCAAAAGTTGCCGCTTTTTATCATTTTGGCAAGCATTGTGAGGACGAAGGTCAAGCCTTGATCGTCAAGGTAGCAGGTCCAGGTGGCACTCCCCATGACGTCCTGGCTGCATGCTGGAGAAGCTTACCGCTGAATCCGCTTGCGCGAGGGTTACGCACTCGCTTGGGCCGATAGGGATATTAGAGAGGGCGACTGAGAAGGGCGGTCGGCCCCTCCAGCCAACAAAATTCGGCATTGCTGCCCCAGTTGCCCTCTGACCTGCTTCTAGTATTTTTGTTGGAGCAGGCGCATTCTTTAGCCTCACCATGATGGTGCTCCATCTTGATTTTTGCGCTATGCAGCCTCACCTCGTGTGCCTGCGTTGCCTTGCCCCTGTTTTACGATGTGGCGTCGCGTTTTCAGTCTTTACGGCACATTCGTAGAGGCACACGCGGCCGCTCGGAAGCAAAGCAGCCCGCCGCGACGTTTTTACTCGCGCGCGCCAAAGGTTTCGGCGCAGGGGTGTTGCGCGTTTCATAGGGCGGCCGGGAATAAAAAAAAACAGCTGGTGCTGGCGGCCGCGGCGCGGAGCCACTGCACGAGACGCGGCGCTACTTCGCGAAAGCATTAAAAGCGAACAAATGTTCCGCGCGCAGGTCGCCGAAACAATTCGCAAAGCCAATAAGTTAGGCCCTCCGTGTGGAGGGTTGAGTGAAGCTGTCGTGTTTCGTTCGGCAGGAAAGCTCGGCTTCTTCTTGCGTCGCTAGCGGCACACAAAGAAACCGGCCCCTCCGCCCGGAGGGGGCGGTTTCTTTAGGACCCGGAAGTTCCGAAAGTGCCAACTTTCGTTGTTTTCTGGGTAAAAGGTAGCGGTCCGGCTATCAAACAAACCGCCCCCTCCGCGCGGAGGGGTCTGTTTCTTTCTGGGCCGCCAGCGGCGGACGAAGAAACCGAAAATAAGAAATCGACCCCTCCGCGCGGAGGGGTCGATTTCTTATTTTCGGAACGGCGCGCGCAGCGCGCCGAAGAATTTTTTTTTGTTGCGTCCAGCACTGGCCTCGGAAGCAAGTCGTGGGCCACGCCTCCGCGCGGAGGCGAGGATTTCTTGTTTTCCCAGTGTGGAGCAAGAGCAACGACAACGACGAGCCATTCCTGAGGAGGTGGGCGCCACGGTTGTCTGGTTCCTTCCTTATGCGGCATAGCGCGCGCGCACTGGCGCCGTGGGGCTGCGCTCCTTAAGGCGCATGTAGCGTGGTGCGTGCGTTGTTACGGGCCTTTTGTCCGAGGGTAGCACCTGTCGCGCAGGCGCCGCTGCATGGGATTCCGCTCCGGAGCTCGGTGGCGACTCGCGAGAGACGAAGGGCATGAGCATGCATGGGACACCGGCGCCACGACAAAGCCAACCAACGGGCTGTATCTTTGTTTGGGGCGCGCCACGTTTCGCCCAACCTTTTTTCGCTGTGTTGTTTCTGGAAAATCAAAACTCATGGTCATGCGGCAACTTTTTGCCTCTGGCGGTGTAGGGTTCGACCTTCGTTGGATGGAGTTAACTCTGCAGCAGTGGCGCCCGGTTTTCTTACAAGCTGCCGGCCGCCTTGTGCGATGGATCGGCGACGCATTCTCCCCTGCCCTCGCCAAGGCAGCCGCAGCTTCTCTGGCGCCGGGCAATCTGCTTAAATTATTGAAGTATCTGCTTCTACTACCTGATACACAGTAATCGTAAAAGTAAGTTGAGTCTGCCAACATCGTGGTGAAATGTTTATTCATATTGATGATTGTTCTTGTGGTAAGTTGATGGCCCAAAATAAAATAAAGAAAGCTCAGCGACAAATCCGCAAGGATGAGCAAACAAAGGGCTTAAAGGGTTAAGGGAAGGGTTTAGGGACAAGGCAACTGGGCGATGCAACTGGCTGTAGCTTCGTGTTTTCCAGTGTTTCCCGGTGGCGTTTGCGTGCCATCGCTCAAGCCTCGGCTACGGCGGTGTTGACAGGAAGGGAGAGCAGAGGAGGCTCTCTTAGGACCTGCCAGCTTTGAGGAATCTGTTGCTTGGACACGAGGATGGGCAAGCAGAGGCGGCTTGTTTTGGACCTCGTGGCTGCGCGGAGGCTCTTGGTAGGACTAGCACGGAAGAGGAGGTAGTGCAAGTCCCGCCTCCTGAAGCCAAGGATTAAGGGCGCCGCAGTGCAATTTTTCCGAGGCAACTCCCCAGTCTTGGCTGTTCGACATCAAAGCGGGCGTTTTTTTAGTCAAGTTCTGGTGGCAAATTGTTGAAACACAGCTTGCCAGCCACTTACTCTCAGAAACTTCTCAACGAGCACGTACAACAGTCACTCGCTCGCCTAAAGAAGCGAGCATGAGCAACCAACTGATATTCAACACCCACGCCAGCATCCACACCGGCCACTGCAGAGCTGTGCATATCAACTGTAAAAATGTCTGGGTCTGGAAGAATGCAAGTTTGTCATGCTTGTCTGGCATGATTCGAGACTCTGTGTTGCATAGGCACGAAAAAGCACTCGCGCCTGTCATGCAAAAACGCAGTTTGCCATGCGGAATACGTTAGACATGGCAGCCAGAGAATTTGTCATGCATAGCTGCGTACTGCAGTGCGTCTATCATTCATTTTTAGCATTACAAGTTTCCAGACCCAGACACTTTTGCATTTGATAGCGCACCTGCGTGAACGAAGGCGACGTGGACAAGTACACTGCGCCAGCGTCTTATGAAAGTGCACAAGTCCCCCTCCCGCTACCCCTCATAATTTGTGATGCAACATACCGAATCCACCACTTGTGCTGAAGCAGTGTTTGCATGACAAATTTCGGAACCTGAAACAGTACTAGAGTCCGTGAGTAGATTTGTCATGCAGAAGGCCGCCCATTGCTGCCGTTGCTTGTGTAGTTCCCGTTCATGCATTACAAATGGGGGGGAGGGGGAGTTGTGCATTACCATACGCCTGACGCCGCAAACCAGGCCTGGCTGAATACCATATCAACTGCAAAGGTGTCTGGGTCTGGAAGAGTCCAAGGTTTGTCATGCACTGGTAGCATGACTCCAACTCCAAGTCCAAAGTCTGTCAACATGCACATTTAGTTAATACCCAAAAGCCCCATTTTTCTGTCATGCAGAAACGCGTTTTGTCATGCTGTGCTGCAAGATGAAATTGCAAATGAGGCGTCCTCATGCTCATGATTGTCCTACCCGCATGACAAGTTTCCAGACCTCCCAGGCATTTTTGCAATGGATATACCACACTGCAGGACGATGGTTCCTACCAAGATACCACCTACGGGGAAAAGTACGTGGATCAGTACAGTGGGTACGCCGACTACTATCGTGAGAAAAAAGTGTTACAGTTACACACAACTCTGACGCAAGACAAGCAAGACGGACAACCTCTGTCATGCAGAAAATGCTTGCCAATGCCAGCGTCGTTTCATTCGTGTTTAGTTCATCCCTTATGGTCTACTGCGCATTATATATTAGAGCGACTTTGTGATGCTGAAACGCCAATAAATGTGTAACTGTATATAACACTTTTTTCCTGTGATAAGTACGGCGAATACTGCCTCGGGTGGGAAGACGAGTGCGATTCCGGCGTGGCGGGTGATAACACCCAGTGCACCATCACGGACAAATCGACCCAGTGCAATGTCGCGGAGGCGTCCTTAACGACAAACACCGCCACGGTCACGGTGCCCGCTATACATTGCAAATGTGTCTGCGTCCGGGTCTGGAACAAGATTCTTAGACCTGTCATGTACGTGTTGTATGAGCAATGATGTCTGGTGGTGTGATGCATGCCGTAGTAGCGACGGCACAGATTTATTCCTGAGGGCTTCTCGATGCCTATCTTTCCGCGTGACAAATCTTCTCGTCGCTCCACGTAGCAAAAACTACATTTATTCCCTTTGTTGCTCATGCGACACAGATCGTTTATTTGGAATCCAAATGCAGCATCACACGTTGCAATTGCATTCTTCCAGACCACCCAGAAATATTTGCATTTGATACCTGCGTGGTGCGCGCAGAAGTGGTGCTACGTGCGAACGGCCAGCGCACCGAATGGCGCCATCGCCAAAAAAGACGCCATATGCATAATGCAAAAGTGATCGTACTTACTCGTAAAGAGCATTGCAAATACAAATTTCGTTTCCAGAAGTAGGAACAAAAACGCGAATTTGTATGCAATGCTGATTGAATAAACCAAATAAGCGTCCAGATAAGTAATTTGATGTCATGCATAGCGGCAATTACGTTTACGACAACGATGAGTGCGATACTTTTGCAACCCATATGCGAGTGCGCCGCCGGCCTGTTCCAACATCGCAGACATGACCATCTCGCGGTACGGAAACTTTAACATTTGGTACTCCTTATCCCAGCGAGAAATGCAGACAGGCCATGTTTGTAATGCGAAACTGAATATGCTTAATAACGAACAACGAAGCACCAGTCTGCGTTCTTGCGTATGTATCCCAAGCACCACGACGCTTTGGGCTCGCACGTGACAGATTTTTCTCTTACATTATTTTTGCGACGTGTTGACAAATAATTACGTGGCACTTGCCTGTCTTTATTTTCTGTCGGATACTCCTATGCTTACTGCGCTGCGCCAGTCACTACTACTACTTCTACTACTACGGCCACGGACGCGGCCACGGAGGCGCCGAAGTAGCTGGCAGTGATGACAGATGAAGGTTGTGATGGTGTTATTTGAAAGAATAGCAACCTGAACCAGAAGTGGAGCCAGTACAAGACTGACCACGACGAAGTATGTACAAAAATGTTTTAGTATGAGAAGTATATCAAGTAGTTGCAACAAGTAAGTCGATTCTTGGGGCTGTTCGGGGACCACGGGGCAACAAATAGATACAATACATAGTGACGAGAAGAAGTAGAAAAAGTAAAAGTCGAGTCGATTCTTCGAAGTTCCACCGTTCGAAGAGATGAAACATCAGCGGAAAAGAAGTATGAAGGTGAATTACAACTTATCAAAGTAAAAAAAGCCCCCACCCCATATCAAAACGAAACTTCTGATGCAGGATTTGCGTACAGAAATCAGATTTTTCTTGCAGTAGAGGACTCCAGGCCCATATCATGCCAATGCAGAGAGGTTTTGGCCTAGGCACTTAGCATGGGGAACGCCTATGCTGTAGGACCAACGGCATTACAAAGCGGCTGCATAATGGGGCGGAGTCCATGCCGTTGCTTTCTTGCAAGACAGACGCGATTTGTGGTCACAAATCAGCATCGCAAATTGTCTGAGACGTTCCATTTCGATATGGGGAGGGGGTATTTTTCCTTACGACACAACTCGTCGTCTCCGCCCTCTGCTCTTGCAAAGGAGCTGCACCCGGACCCAGGGGGGCACTCGACTTTGCATTTCTTTTTGGCGCCGCTTGCCTCACAAGTTACGGGGGCCAAACCGCACTACTGTCCGGCCGTGGTTCTGTCATGCGGATGCTGTCGTGCGCTCTGTCGAAGTACTATGTCATGCGGAACTGCAAGCCAGATAATTTCTGCCATCTCTTCTGTAGTTGCTGGGGCAGATGCAGATCATGGGGAGGGCGACGATACGTGCACGCCCATACGAGGAAACGCCCCCTATTTGAGATGGGAACAGCACGTGGTAGATGAAACGGTATCCGGAAGCAAACTAAAACACTTTTCAATCTTTACACACAGCCTTTTTACTCCTGTGAAATACAATGACAAGTAGACTGAAGATCAAGATTTCGATTTATGCTTGCTTTTGTGGAGTTTTTTGAACAGCTGGATACAGTGGACGGAAGAGACGACCTGACCGATAATTTTTGAGATAAATAATGAAGTTACAACTGGTTGTAGAAATGAAAAAAAAATTGGGTGTGTAATATTACCAAGTTTCGAAAATAATTAATCACGATGGAAACAGATGAAAGAAATCGGCGCTGCCTTGCCAAGCAAGACGCATAGAGCAACACGTAATTTAGAAGGAGAAAGATCGTCCTCTTCAAGAAGGCGATTTCATTTGAAGACAGACGCGAAGATGTCGATCTGAACTGCTCCTATGCGTTTTTTCATGAATGAATCCTGTACATATGACGTTTTCTACGAACGATGAATACTATCAAGTGGTGGAAGACGATCTACTCCTGCTCGGGCCACTTGTTCATTACGTCGGGAAGTGAGAACGGCTCATCCGAAGCCGGACGACTTGCGGGTGCGGCGGGAACAAATATAGTACAAAAGTCATCCTTTGGTGGTCCTCCTGAGGTACTTTGTTTGTGGCTTTAATAACACACGAACTCGTGCAGAAGGTAGAGGTACAGTCTCTGATTTCCTCACTGTCGTGTCTCGATCTTCATGTAGTCGTGCACGAATAGATTGACTACGAGAATGAAATATTACGCAAGTAAGTCATTAAAAAATGGATTTTCATCGGAGATTGAAATTATTGTGTGAGTTTGACACAGGAGTGCAAGTGGGAGAGATGCAGGCGACCTGCAGAGAAATTCATGTTCAACGCTGGGAGGAGTCGGAAAAGGAAAAAGATGATCATGGCTGGCGGTTGTAGATGTGATTCCATTTCGAAATCGAATTCCATTTCCAGCCGTGAAAAAGGAAAAGAACAAAATAAACATGGTGTGTCTGTCTCTCCTCGCGCCGATAATTACATGCAAGGGCAAAACCTAGAGGGACCCGGCAAGAATGCCCCGCCCCGCCTAGGCACCGGAAAGAACCAACGAAGACCTGGGCCGCGGCGTCCTACTCTAGCAAGCGGCTGACCGCCAGTGCCGCTTGCAAAATATTAAAGCGGCGGGTTCGCGCTCGCCCTTGCCGGATGGATGTAGAAGTGGAGAAGGCCGCCTGCGAACAAAAGCAGAAGAGCTAATGGCGCTTCATTGAAGACAGATCTTGTGGCGCCCTCTCAAGGACATCGTCAATCGACGAGGACGAGTTCTTGCGACGCCACTACTACTTGTGAGAACGAAGTGTAGTTGTTTTTAAAAACCATATCTACAATCTTCGACAGCGAAGAGCCTGTGCCTGGCGGATCCGGAACGAAACATCAATGTTTTCGCGGCGGCCTCATGAAGAAGGACGTGCAACCTCTGCTTTTTTCCTGGCCGCTGTCATTGTTGTCACGGCTGCTGGGGCATTGCCGGGCGCGGATGCGCTGAACATTCGGAAGACCAACATGAATTCTGCTGGTGTAGTCCCGGCCGAATATGCAAGTGGGAGTGCAAATCCAAATAGCACTTTGGCGGGGAGTTGTACGTTAAGATTTTTGCAGGATTATTTGTCATGCTGGGCTCCTTAACGGAAGTAGAAAAATTTCGGTTCTTCATGATGCCCGTTGCTAGTAGTCCTCTCTGGGACTTCCATCTTCCATCTTTGGCTTCTATGTTCCGGGGCCACGGACTACAACTATGTATCCTTTACAATATCACATGAGCTGCAAAGAATTTTTACCACTTTCCTGACGCAGGCAGGTTTGGCTTTGCCAAGTTTGCATTTGATGACTTCGAACATGAAGTTGAGGACAAAGAGCCCAAGCTCCTTTCCCGGTCGAAAAAAGAGAAGAGCACGAAGGCAGGATCAACATCCAAGGCGAAGGACGAACCCCTAATAGTGAACGGAGAAATTTCAGAGCCGGTCGCGGAAGTCTGCGCGTGTGTGAACGAGGGCGTCGACAAGTTCAGTGCGCCGGGACACGTTATGAAAATGCAAGTATCGATGACAGGGGTCGGTGATGTGATCATTTAACTTGCAAAAATTTATCCTCTATAGTTTTTTAGAGGCGTGTGCGTGTCGATGTCCATGTCGAATATGCACGGACACGCACGCGACCCTCGGTCGTCTAAAACAAGCACAACTTGCTACGCTAGATATGAAAATTTTTGTTTTTGTTCGAAAGGTGGTAGTCTTGCTTTTTCTTAGGAAAAAATACAACTAGTACTTCTACATTTTTAATAGCATCATTTGTTAGCACATCCAAGCCAGCAGATCGAGTATCTGTCGCTCCTCGGGGGCTTCTTGCTTCATGTTTACAGAAGATTTTTGCAGCAGCTTCTTGCGAACCGCGTATCAACATCAATTACAGCATTGCACTCGTGAAGATGTTCGCGTTCCAGACCACCTGTGGCCATCATTATACTTGCAAAAATGCATACACAACGCGCTGAATCAAGCCTGGCTGAACGAGACCGCGGATGTAAACGGGACGTTCGATGACACCCAATACGGCAAGAAATACTTTGGTACGTACGGGGGTTTGCCCAACTACGGAGAATACTGCCTAGAATGGGACAGTGAATGTCCAGGAAAAGACGGCAGAACCGGGGACAAAACGGAGTGCGCGGTGACGGCTGCGACCGCCGCCACCGAGTGTGCGGCGGACACCTCCACCCTACCCGCCAATTGCCTCCGCATGTGGTGCTTCATCCGGACGCACACGGCCCTGAACGGATTCATCGCCCGCGATGCGGGTAGCGAAGCCCCACAGTGCACGAACGTGGACGACTATCGAAGGAATAAAAAATAACACCATCACAAAAATCTTTACACTTTTGCACCAGAAGTTCGTTTCGCATGGCAATTTTTTCTTGTATTGCAATAACAAAGTGAATACTTGACAGAGATGCGCTGATATTTGCGCATGACAAAACTTGCAAAAATGTGCAAACGTGATTCTGATTGCGATGGTGTTTTTTCCTTGAATAACGACGTCGCGAAGATCACCGAGAACGGTAAGGACCTGTACTACTCGTACAATCTTTGCTACGCAACCACCACAACCACCACCCCAGATCCCTTCGGGTTCTTCCTCCTCTAGCCACTTCGGCTTCATCATCGGCAGTTGGCTGTCGTGACGCGGCTCCAACCTTTCATTCATGATGAAGTAAGAGCAGGACGTCGAGTGCTGAGATTGTAAATAAACAGTGCTGCAGGTCCAGCTTCTAAGTACCTGAATAATAGAAGTACCTTACCTCGTAAAATAAATTTTATTTGAGGACGATTTGCTAAGTGTTACGTATACGTTGGAAGAGTTTCATCTTTTTCAGATGAGAGAGAAGTAGAAGGAAACAGCACTTATTTCCTTGCCAAGCAAGTAGACCCCGACTAGGCTGTAATGCAGGAGTAGAAGCCGTTTCCGTTACCGTTTTTCGTGCATCCTATCAAGCATCAAAATGTAGTTTCAACAAACTCTCAGTTGTTGTCACATGTGAAAAGATGAAATGAACAACAAGAGTCTTCGACCAAACGTAATGCTAGCTCATGGTGTGGACGTGGACCACGTTTGTGTCTCTCTTCTAAGCAGCCGTTGGACAAGTGGAAGAGCGTGGGCGGCGGCCGTAGACGACTGAAGAAGGTCCACCATGACTTTCGAGTATACAACAATACGCGGTCGTCGGCCCCGTGGGCCTGGTGCAGCGGCCGCGTCTACTTGAGTTCCTGCAGGTCATTCTTGCTAGTACCGAGTCTGGTGCTGGCGGAGCACCGGTCCGTCGTGTATGTAACCAAAAAGGTAGCGTCTTCGTCTTCGTCTTCGTCAATGTAGGACATCACCAGCAGTAGATCTACTAATTCACTCAGCGCCAGCAGGTGCAGGGGGTCGGTTCTGTTTCTGTCTTCGATTTCGTGAGGGACAATAAGACTGGGACTGTTCTTCGGTGAATTCTGAAATATCTTCTATATCATGGACCTCTCCCGCATTCGTGTTATCAGCTTGGACGTGACAGGCACCCTGCTCCGTCACCGCCACCCGATTTTCGAAACCTACGCGCGGGCCCTCGCCTGGGCGAAGTTTCCGAGGCTGGCAACCCCTGAGGAATTGCGACCGGCGTTCAAAAAGGCCTACAAGAAGACCTGTCTGGACCTTCCGTGCTTCGGCCACGCTGCTGCCTTGAGTTCCCGCGAGTGGTGGCGGAGATGCGTGGAAACCTGCCTCGCAGAGGTGGGAATGCGAAAAAATATCGACTATACGGTATCCTGTTGAAAAACGTTACCGCCCCAGAGTTCTTGTCATGCAGATTTGCGATTACCCCAAAAATGCGTGCATTTGCATTCCCAGTCGTGTTTTGGCATTTGTGATGCTGCAAACACGATGGACAGATGGATTGTAATGCGGTTGCCCTTGCTAACATGCACTACTCTACGGAGAAGTGCAACTTGTCATGTGTGCTGGCTCCCAAAGCCAAAACTTTTGGATTTGTGTTGCTAAGTTCTCAACTTGACCAGGGGCTGCTGGGGACGTTTTTGCACATGATACACGGACGCCGAGTTCAACCGTTTCTTCCGCCGCGTGTACCAGCACTACGGCTCTGCGGACGGGTACGCGCACATGTCTGACGCCGTGCCGTTTCTAAAATGGGCTGCTGGGTGTGCGAGGGCAACATCAAAATTATCAAAGCGGCAAGATGAGCATGAGCAAGGGCCTGTACTAAACAGAAGTACAACCAGGTCCTCCTCGTCTCCGGCGACGCAACTGCCGCACCAAGAAAGAGCCTACTACAAAAACCCGGCGTTCCTTCTCGGTGTGACAACGAATACACCAAAACGGACGATGGAGAGCGTGCTGCCCGTCATGGGGTTGCACGAGTTTTTCCACTTTTTCGTCTGCAGCCAGGACGTCGGCGCGGAAAAGCCGGACTGCGGGATTTACGAGGAAGCCGAGAACCAGATGAAGTTCTGGCTGGGACGAACCGTGAAACCAGAGGAAATATTGCACATCGGGAACAACGTCATTCCGGATTTTCTCGCGCCGGCCTTGAACCATCAGTGGAAAGCGCTGTATTTAGATCGTAGCGGGGATGCAAATGTGACGGTGTGCCAGGATTGGCTGGAATTCGAGAAGAAAGAAAACAGAAGAAACAAAGACTCGACATCTTCGCTTGGTGGAGGTGGTGCCGGAGTGAGAAGCGATGCACGCAGTTGCAGTGTGGATCAGCATGAGATTGAAAAACTGCTACCAGCGTGCACGGTAAAAAGCTTTGAGGAGGTGAAAGACCGACTTCTGCTGGTGGCCCAGCCAGAACTACTAGAAGGGGAAGTAGGAAACGAAAAGAGTGGTCGCGCATTTTTTACGTCTGGTTTCCAACGTGATTTCATCATGGTGCGTTTGCTGCGGAAAAAAAAAGTGATGTATGCTGTTCTTGCCTGTTAGAAAGTCAAAAGTACGCATCATACAACCCGACACGATGACTCGAAATTCCAGAGGGGTTTATTGCGCTAAAAAGGTTGCTAGTGCTACCCCGTCGTCGTCGTCGTCCTTGAGAGCAGAAAAAGATCATGACTCGTTGTGTGGTAAGAAACGCAAACGCTCGAAAATCATCACTACTAGCTCGACGTTAATAGTTTTCCTCGGGTTCTTCAATCGCCTACCATCAAAGTGAGGATTTTTTCGCCTAAAATGGAAAAAACAAATTAACGCGCGAGAATGAGAAACGCAAGTACTTACTAAAAAACTAGACAAAGGGAAAGGACCACGTTCTAGAAAAACACGGTTGTTTGCACAAACAATTACGAGCGAGTCACTTACACAGAAGAGGAGGAGCCACGACGTTCACGTTAGCAATAGGAATAGCACGACATCAAACCACCTATGACGATCCTCCCCTCGCCGGCACAGCACACGACCCAGCAAACAAGCCCCGGGCTGCTCAACCACAGCGGCGCACATAATCCTGCCGCTTACACACAGTTCGATGTGAAGACGCAGAAGCTCACGCCGGGCGGGATGTATGTGCTGACCCCGTACGGACAGGGGGTTTTGGAATCTTGGAGTGGTGTGATGGTCACCGTGCGGCTAGCTTGTGGAGCGAGAATGAGCATTCAACGTAAGTTATTTGTTCTGTATACTGACGACCTCTTGTGTTCATGCAAACGATGAACAGGCAGATGCAGAATGAAGGTTAGGATTTTCTTATGCTTGATAACAGAACACCCGGAGTACGACTAGTAGAGCTAGTGACTGCTGCTCTTCTTCTTTGAAAATGAATTTCCAAAACACAATGCTCTCAGGTTCAAAAGTGCAATTTCACACCCAGCACGACCTCAACTCCGGTGCGAATCAGCAGCTTCTGTCAAGTGCGCGAGCAGATCAGCGTCGATCTGATATGGACGTCGATATGACAAGCGAGCCGCGGAACACGTGCAAGCGCAGCATCTACGAGTGCAGTGAAACGGACAATTTTTCGGACGATCTTCTGCTCCAACCGCGGGGAACGAAACGGAGAATGTGAAAGGTTTCATCACCTGTGCAGGTTTCATCACCGTGCAGATTTCATCACCTGTTGCTGTACTTGCTAGAACGCAAAATGCAGGGGGGCGGTCCAGTCGTGCTCGACGTCCCGAACCAGATCTGCAAGGCAGATGTTGGAACTGCAGGCGAAAATACAATGAAAATATTAACATCACAAAGGGAGCTTGAGGTTGATGCTGCGGCAGTCCTCGTCAACACAATCAGAGAGCAAATGAATATGAGCGGGCTTTTCAATATGACCAGTTTACGAGTTTTTTGCCACGACAGCGAGTGTCTCGCAGGAGTGGACCTTGGTGGAACGTTTTTGCTTATACTAGTAAGTAAGTTGTTGGGCCAATAAATAACTCACCGCTAGTACAACAACACCAAGGTAGACCGAGCAACCGACTACACCGAGATCGACCCGATGAAATAGAATCAAGAATAGAGCTACTGTCTGTGTACATTGAATTTGAAGTAGTTGCTTTTACCGAGCAGGTTGATGTCGTTGACAAGTAGTACTTGTTAAGGATAAGGAGGAGGCCCGGTAAAATTTATAGCTACGATTAATTATTTAAATCACTCGAACTCTGGGAACAACCTTTGATGAACTGTTTACCCTTTCGAAGAAGATTGGCGAGATAGTGGAAGCGCCCTTCGAAGAAACTTTTCATCTTCATACAAATTTTGCCGAAGCTATGCATTACGACGAGCCAGACGCACCATTTGTAATTGGTGCCGCTGCACCACGCGCGGTCGGGATTTGTGACCCCAGGCTTGATACAGTTGACGTCAACGCTCATTGTTACAGGACAGCATCGCTTCCGGCACAGAGCAGATCAATGTCAATACGTCGGGGAAATAGTACTCACTGCAGCAAGGCAAGCCAAAGATTGTGATCATCATCGAGCGGGTGCTGCTCTTCAACGCTCTGTTGCGCCGTTTATTGCGTTTCGGAAGTGGTGTACTAGCAGGGAGTTAGACGAGTCAGTTGCATATGCATCGATATTGAACCTGATCGAAGCATCATCTGGTGGTTGTCGTCTTTTTTCAGTGTGTCTTTTTTTCCGCAGGAGGGGCGGGCGAGTATTGCACAAAGTTGTCGTGAGCACAAGGTCATCAGGCTAAGTCTCTGCTATGATGTAGTTGAAGTTGTATTTTTCTCTTTTACGTAGGTAATCAAATCACTTCCGTTTTCACTTGTTTCTGTTTGCTCTTCCTGCATTGTGAAAACTTTCAACGATGGGTCGTCGATTTTCCTTGACGAGAATGTGAAACTGAAGAAGAAGAGGAGCTCCACAATCGACAGTCGAACGTGGAGCAGAGCTCTTTCTGACGTCAAACCGCCATTCTACTGCCAAAGACCAATAAAAAGCTCTACCTCCATGTCCATTCTACGTGCCAGTATCGTGTGGCATCTTGTTTGCCGAATAAAACGGGGGCCGCGCTCTCGGTAAAATGGGATCGTTTCGCAGATGGAACAACAACAGGGGATGGAGGACCCACCACGGAATTCGAATTCTGCAGGAGCTCCACCCACTTCGCAAATGAGTATGGTTTCTTCAATTTCGGCCGGAGTAGTGCACCCTGCAGATGCAGCTGTGCCCTGCCCGTCGTCTACGTCCGCTGGGCCGTCACAGCCAGTGCTAGTACCGCAGGCCAGATTGCCACTGTCCCAGCGCGAAGTACAAACTACAGTATGGAGTGGGAAATGCGACAGCTACCCTAGTTGTACTTGTCACCCCGCAGAGTACAACGGCGCGTGCGCTGCGTGCGGTGTGCAGATTCAGCCTGGTCAGTGCATTTTCAAGACAACCGGCTGGCGGCATCGGGTATGCCCCCACCAGCATGGCCAGGGGATGCCCGCAATCCGGCGGGACTTCATTCCTTTAGCTGTGGCGGCGAGCTGCGGGCCGCTTGCCATTGAGTTCGCGCAAGCAGTGGCAGAGGAAGGCGAAGCGCAGCAAGCAGGATCCGGGCGGACAGCTTTCCCCGTGGCGCAAGACGAGGAGGGAGGTGCTAACGCCCAGCGACGCCCCCAAACGATGCCGAGCCCGACGCCGAGCAGCTGGATAGGCGGACTGCACAGGAGTCCGCCGCCGGTGAAGAACCCTGCCCGCATGGCGTCAGACCCAGTCTCCACGGCGCACGTTTCGGCGCCCGTTGTGCCGCCAGATGCAAGTCTAGCACAAAGCCCTCCTCAGAAGCTGGCGTCGCAAATGAGCCACTTCTCCTCCGTCAGCGACAATCACAATTGCAGTCAGGCTCAACTACAAGGCAGCCAAAGCAGTTCCGCCTATCGACCGACACAAAAAGACAAGCCTGAGAACGCACGACCGCGCAGTCGCAGTCCACGCCGGGAGCAGCAGGGTGGAAAGCAAAAGCAAAACAGGGGAGCTAAGCGGGGCCCAGACCCGACGCCTGAGCAGCGAGATTTTATGGATTTCGACGCAGGCGGACAATCGCTGATACTACGAGGAAACGCACGCGCGGGGGCGGGAAAAACGACGATGTGCGCGCTGATTTGCGATCGGCTAAAGGAGTTTTTCGAAGCGAGGGGACAGCCTCTAAAGATACTCTACCTTGTCTTCGGGAAAGCGAATTGCGAGGACGCAAAGCAGAGCCTGAAGTTCGACGCCGCGGTGGTCGATATCGCGACGACGCATGCTTTTGCGAAGGCCAGGGTGTTTCCGCAGGGAAAGCCGATCCAGTCCTGGGACGCAGCCGATGTGGCCCGGAAGCTAAATCTTGAGGCCAAACTCTACAGCGAGCTGAAAATGGTTCGCGACCGCCTGCTCGAGAAAATTAGAAGAAACGCCATGTCCATGAGCGAGGACGGTGGCGGCGGTGGGGAAGATAAGATCACGGCGGAATCCATCGCGGGCGTGATGGAGCCCCGAAGGACTTTCCTGTTTGCAGTCAAGGCGGGCGCGCGAATGATCATACGCGCTGTCGAGAACTTCCAGTCCTCCAGAGACGCGGCCGTGCACGCTCGCCACGTCGCCTCCAAGGAATTTTTCAAGAAAAAGTGGGCAAAGGCGCTCGGTGAGCAATGGTGGGCGCAGTTCGCGAAGGAGTTGTGGGAGCGGGCATCCTCCTCAGTGGGCGACGTTGGTGTCACCCACGACTGCTACCTCAAGTGGTTCCAGATTTCGCAGACAAAAAGCCCGGCGCTAAGCAGGGCGGCCAACAGTCTTCAGCAGCAGGCGCAGCGTTGTCCGAGCCACCCAGAGCAGCGCCTGACGTTGCGCAGCGGACCAGGAGGGCACAGCTTCTATGGCTGCAGCAAGACGGACGACCGGGGGCATTTCGCCTGCAATTACAAAAAGCCAGCGGACGGGTACGACGTCATCATCATGGATGAGGGCCAGGATTGTATTCTGTGCAAAAACATCAAGTGAAGGCTTCACGCCACTCCAACTGCAATTGCGAGCGCTTGGCATGACACCTTTGTATACATTGACGTACCCAGCAAATGCAAATTGTAGAGCACGATCGACGCAAGAAGAGCATCACCCTACGATCTGCTTGTGCAGCGACGCGAGCGGTGCTGCCGTGCCTTTCGCCGTTATGTACGCGTGAATGTTGTAGTCGGTGCTTCTAGTTCTACTGCACGATGCCGATGTTTGCCTTGCATATGCTTGACGCCCTGTCAATTCGAGGCTTTCGTCCTGGCCGAGCCCCGCACCCTTCGGTATGTCGTCGGCGATGTGTACCAACGAATTTTTGGATTCCGTGGCGCGAAAGATGACTTCGAGAAGTGCCCGAACGTTTTCCGCGATTTCGACCTGACTGCGTCATTTCGGTACGGGCGGACCATTGCGGAGGCCGCGCAGCGCGTGCTCGGGACCTTGAGGAACTGTGGAACCGACGGGCAAACAAGAACCTTCCCGAGCTTAGTCGGCGCCGCGGCTGAAGACGGGTCGGAGCGGGTCGCCCCGGTGTCGGAGCTGGATTACCTGGAAACCAGGGAGCAGGTTGCGATACTCTGCAAGTCCAACAAGGGCATAGCGGACGCGTTGCTGGCGGTGCTCAAAACTGCGAAGGCGCGCGGCCAGGAGATGCCCCGATGGAAGTATCTCGTCTCCGGGCCGAGCCTGAAGCCGGAGCGTTTTGCGAAATTGGTGGCGCTGTACAAGCAAGAACCCGGTGCGAAGGTCGAGTACGAGGGCGTGGTCTTCGAAGATTGGCAGGAGCTGTCTAGCGAGGTCGAGGAGAGCGGCAGTCCGGACTGGCTTACCCGCGTGGGGCTGGTTGAGGACAATGATGGCGATGTATTGGAGCTGTTCCAGGAGTTGGAAGCGGCGCATGTTGCTGCAAAAGATCAGACGGCAAATTGGAAAATTTGTCTTTCGACCGTGCACAAGGCCAAGGGCCTCGAATCTATGTTGGAACAAAAGTTTTGGGTCTTGCTTCAATGCCTGGTTGCGCTGTTTGAGATTGAGGCTATATACCAGTCTATAGAACAAAGAAGAAGAACAAGAAGCTCTGTGCATGGGCGTCGCCCGTTTCCAGTAATCGAGCCGTGTGTTGATCTCGTCCTGGAACACAACAAGATGACGCCGATATTAGTAGCCTGATAATTCATCACCATCGATTGATGCAAGTGCAATCCAAAACTTAGTGGCAATAACTGTTGAACATGCGGTAATCATAGGGAATGACTTCAAGACAATCAAGCTTCCGGAGTATGCGCGCTTGTTGTACATCGCGATTACACGCGCGCGCCGGCGCTGCTACTTTTCGGAAAACCCGTGGAACCTGTTGGAAGGTCTGGGACAGAAGCCAGCATCTGGGACACCAGCCGCGGACGGCACTTTTGACTCCACCCCTGCTGGAGATCATCGGGTCGAGCTGCCGCCGTCGCTCGAAATTTCGGAGCAGGAGTGGGCCGAGTACGAAAACACTTTCGACGCGTGGCAAAAGGAAACCGCGAGCAACGGGTATGTTTCTTCTCCCTGTCCCCTTCCACCGCAGCGGAAACACACGATAGAGAAGAGCGGGCAGGTGCGAAGCAATTATGAGTTCTTCTTTGTTTTCGACGAGAGGGAGATATCATGGGACGACCAGTTAGACCGTTTAGGGGAGCTGATCAAGCGGTATCACCCGGACAAGCTGTGCAGACTCATCGGAGTGACCTGCAGGAGCTTGCTCCTTACCAAGAACCAACCACCCGCCGGCAATAACCCCTTCGCGCAGCGAGTGACGCACGTGATCACCGAAGAGACGATGAATAGGATAACCGAAGGCGCCGTGGCCAGTAGGAGGCAAATCAACGGGCTGCGGATGACCGATTCCAGAGGTGAGGAGGAGGAAGGCTGAGTAGCGATGTTGCCCGATTCCAGCCAGTAGATTCTTCAGTCGGAAGATGCAGCAGCTCCAGTGTGGCCTGCTTCAGGAGCAGACTTCGGTCCGCGATCAGTGCCAGTGAATGATGATCATCCTTTTATTTCGTCCGCCTTTTGTTCCTCGCTGGTTGAGTCACCGCGTACTTCTGAATGTTGAATGATAATCGGTCAATTGTCAAACGATCAGGAGAAAAAGACGACAAGATTACGTGCCACTGGAGGACTGCTGTCGATTCCGACCGCTTTTGTCGCGGTGGAACACTAGTAGTTCTCGCTGGAGTATGGTGTGTATTCGAAATCAAATAAGTGTTTTGAAGGAGCTTTGTGTTCGCGCAGCAGGTATCAGTCTTTCCGTATCGGTGGGCAAGTTTTCTGTGGTATTTCGATATTTCTTGAACTATGCCTTCAGCACTAGGCCTTGTCGGAGGTGACATTTCTTTGACATCCACTACAGCTGGTACACCATCATGGTCCGTCGCCGTCCTTTTCCCGAGTCCTCGGTTTCGGTCACATCGTACTCGCGTTTCGAAAAAAAAGTAAAAAAGTCTGCACGAGGACATACAGGCCTCTTGATCTCTGTCACACTACCCCCGAAACCCGTCCAAGTGAGTATATCCTTGACCACGGTATTTATTCCTACTGAGGTTCATCTCTACACGCACCTTCCCCTTGTGCAGGCTGGTCGTAGATTCTTTCGTGTTTGGTTTTTGTCAACTTCTACCACCCAGGTATACTGTTACGTAGAAATGTGAAAGCGGCCTTATATATCATTTACGATTTGCATTTGGCTCTGCGGAACTTGTGTTTGATCGTTGAGCAGTCGCAGAAGTCGCCGTCGTGTCACTATCAGTCTGAAGCTGAACGCCACATTTTTAATCGTCTAGCTACATCTGTAATTTAACACACCACCTGTAGCTGCTCTCTGTGGAGACAGATAGCAGGTGTACGTCATATTCTGCTTTAATCGCATTTCCGATTCAGTATATGCAATCAATATTCACAACATTGATGCTGACGCATCGTGTGGTTTTTAATCTTTACGAGTTCACGAACTGAAAGTCGGGGAAAAGGAAAGATGGCTTCTGTAGCTGTCCAGCTGCACTTTCTGCTTGCGCTACTGGCTCTCTATCGCCTTGGTGCAGCAGCCACTACTAGTACCGCCACTCCCTGTACTCGACCTCTTGCCAATTCCGCAACCATTCCCGGGTTCTGCGCCCAGGTTTTCGCGGATAATCTGGACAAAGCCCGAGGTTTGTTCATCACGGAGAACAACCACATTCTACTGATCGAACGCGGTATATGGGAGTGTCTGGATTGAAGTCGTCAAAGTTGAAATGATTTCTCATACATAAAATGCGACGCAGAAAGTGACTCCATTGCAGAGGCCGCACGGGAGACAGATTATAGCCCTGCTAAGGGTCAAAAGTTGGACTGCTGACTAGCATGACAGAAGGTAGCTCTTTTGCCCTAAACCGCAAGACAGACTCGCTTCCAGGACGGGGGAAATTTGTCATGCGCCGACTACAAACTGTAGGTCTAACACTAACTGGCATCGATTTTATGCATCGCAAATTATTTCAACTACTCTGGCGGTTTCGATCCTGACACTTCCATACGGCAACGGGAAGTCGCAGGTGACAGCCCTCTTCGACGACGACAACGATTTCATTGCGGAAACCAGAGTCACCCTCGCGTCCACGACAGATCTCGGCGGCGCGACGGACCGAAACTACATGCTCCACCACGGGCTCGCCGTGAAAGACAATTACCTGTACGCCTCTAGCTCCGCCTTCGTGTACCGGTGGCCCTATACCGACGGACAGCGGACGGAAATTCCGCCCTCCAGTCGGGAAATCGTCGTGAAAAACATCAACGCGGACGGGCAGGGCGGCGCGCCGTTGGGGCACTGGACCCGGACCCTGGTGTTTTCCGAGGATGGGTACTTGTACGTGTCCGTGGGGTCCAACGGGAACGTCGACGCCGATTCGTATCGCAGCAGAATCCGGAGGTTCCCCTCGAAGTTTGACGCGAATGGAAACGCAGTACCTCTTGTCCCTGGAACATCGAAGCCGATGGACGCACTCCCCGCTGGCTATGAAAGCCACAGAAAAATGGAAATTCTTAAAGTGGAAATAATTTGTGATGCATGAAATGCGACACCAAGAAGACTGTGCTGCAGAGAACGCAATGGAGGCCGACAATTGATGTGCTACGGGTTCACAATTGGACTGCTCATTAGCACGAGAGAAGGGCACCCCTTTGCCCTAACTAGCATGACAGACACGCTTTGAGTGCCCGGTAAATTTGTCATGCGCCGACTAGAAACGGCGCTTCGACTGGAGTCGTTTTTTTGCATCGCAAATTATTTCCACTTGTTTGAGGATCTCCATTCTGAGGCTTTCATACTGGCGGGTGGGATTTCACCTCAGCGGAGGTTTTCGCAGACGGCCTGCGGAACGAGGTTGGGTTAACAGAATGAAAAATGCCCCCTCCCCATATCGAAAAGATAAGTTGTGATGCTGTTTTTTGACCACAAATCGACCTGCATTGCTAGAAGGCCAAGAGACGCAGCTGTTCCCTCGTTTGCAGGCAATTTGTCACGCTGTTTCCCGTGTCCAGTACCAGTTGGGTTGCTTCCTGTCATGCTGAAGACGCAAGGCTTTCCCGCGCCAGCTAGCACTACAATCCGCATCTCTTCCCTCTTAGCATGACAAAGCTGATCTGTGGCCACAAATCTGCATCACAGATTTCCGCTTTGATATGGGGAGGGGGGGCTTTTCTTCTTGATGCGGGTTGGCGTTCGACCAAGACGAAGTGCTGTATGGGGTGGAGAATATGCATTGCAAAAGTATCGTACTAGTAGTAATTCATTGCATTACAAATTTGCTTAGAGCATTACAAATGAAATTCGTAATGCTGTTTTATCTTAGACAGGAGATTTGTCATGCATAAAGAGCAATTACTAGGAGTACGATACTTTTGCAGAGCATAGAGAACTCCGCCGACCAATTGGTCCGGGCGGACCTCGGTGGGGACATCCACAATGAGAATCCTTACGCATTGCAAAAAAATCGTACTAGTAGAAATCGCATGACAAATTCCCTCAGCTTGAAAAATGGAATCTGTAATGCTGTTATAGCTTACGAAGTCGATTTGTCATGCATAAAACCGGAATTAGTACGCGTGCGATTATACTTTTGCAATGCATAATCCGGGGGAGGAGTTGAACCGGTTCCCGGAAAAGGGCTCCGACCCGTCCGTCGACGGGAAAAATCGCCACTACGGCTATCCGTACTGCTTTACGGAGTACAAAATCCCCGCGGTCATGTCCCAGCCGGCCGGGACAACCAGAGGAAGGGTTTTCGCCTGGCCGTCGTTCATGCCGACTTATACGGATTCTTGGTGCAGGCAAAACACCGTGCCACCACACGTGGCGTTGCAAGCACACTCCGCGCCTCTGGGAGTGACGTTTTTACGGAGGAAAGATCTGGATGCGAACATTGACAGCGTGCAGCAGCAGCAAGTGAATCCTCAAAATCCTCTTCCACCTCAGCAGAATTACGGCTTGCCGCTATCTGTTTTCGAGCACGACGCCTTTATCGCGTACCACGGGTCCTGGAACCGAGATGCGCCCACGGGGTACAAAGTGGTGTGGCAGAAATTCGACAAGACGACGAAGTTGCCGAAGAAGACCCACACGCTTTCCGTGAATTCGGCCGACGAGCCTGTGGATTTGCTGTGGCGCGACAATCCGGTTAGCAACGGCTGGAAGTGGCCGAACGGGTACCGACCTGTGGATGTGAAGTTTGACCGATTTGCGCGGCTCTTCGTGACTAGTGACGGGACGACGAATGTGAATGGGGGGAGCAATCTGGTCGTGTTACTGTATTATGGAAATGATACCACTACAATTGGAGCTACAATTTCTTCGAGTTCGGGTGTTGATGTTGCAGCTAGTAGTGTACAGAATGATCCTGGCTCGTCGTCGTCGCCGCAGATAAGTAGTGCGCGGGGTGGTCTTCGTTCATCTCGTGCAGGGGATGGCTGGACCGTGGCCTGGTCTTCACATCTGTTGGTCCTCATGTTGATGACGACCAACTACATGGCCTGTACCCTCCTTTTTCCAACTTCATTGAGTGGAAATGCTTGGGGCGATAGGGATAGAAGTCTCTGAATGATCGACGCTGGTGCAAAACGCGCATACACTTTGACTTTTCGATGGAAGATGCAACGAATTCCAAATTATAAATCCTCGAGAGATCCGAAAATCAAAATCTGCAAATGGCAGAGTGGGAATGCACAGGTCGTCGAAGCGGCACGATGATCTCGATCCTGAAGAAAGCCTTTTTTTCTCGGTCGACTAGCAAATGGGTCAGTCTGAATAATTCGCCGTTCAGTGCATTCGCAGCGCTCCCGCTCGGTCACAGACGAGAAGTCGGCTTGATTCTGCGCAAAAGTTGCTGATTTGTCTTTCCGCGTGCGAGTGGTCGTGAAAATTAGATCATAGAATGATCGTACGACAACAAAAAATCGTTTTCTGATCCGCGTCCGCATGATCTTGGTCGCACAGTAGAGATCGGTGACGTTTTCATGACCATGATCTATCGTGTGTTGAAATCTAAATGATGATGATCATTTATTGACGGATTTCCAGATTTCTTTGTTGGGACTCATCTAGTCGTGCTGTTGAAGACAAAGCCAGGAGGTTGTATCAATTGTCGGCATATTCCTATGTATTATCTGATGAACATTTGATCGGTTCTCCTGTCGTGTAATCGAGATCGTTGTAGCACCCATCGGAAGTATACATAAACATAGGAGCAGAAAGTTCAAGTTGAGGCTGTAGAAGTAAAATTACTACAAGAAATTTGTTTTATAGCAGAACAATGTCTACACGCATAGTAAGTTTCTTAGCTGAAGGCCGGTACGTGAAGATGAACATCTACTTGTTTTTTAGTTATTTCTAGATTGGGTTCTTGAAGTTTGGTGTTCAATACAAGGGCCAGCACGTAGTATTAGTAAGTACTTACAGTTACAGCACAGCAAAGCAACATAGGAAATTTTCCGCAAAGTAAACGACTCGTATTGAGCACCTGAAGTACTAGTAGCACATCACATCGAGGAAACTCATCATGTCGCTGTGCTCCCTTGCGTTCTTAGGTGTGCTCGTGTCGTCTTCGCGTGTACAAGCGGCGGCGTTGCACGATACAACTAGTAAGGTGGCGGCAGATCATGATCATCGTTGGACGGGTAGCGAAGATGGCCGCGCACAGCTCTTTGATCCCCGTACTTATCAGGAGCTTATCCTGAGTAAAAACGTACCCACACCAGAGTCAGGATGGGGATTTTGCAACACAAACCTAGGAGCTTTGTGAGTCACGCATGACAAGTTGCACACTGCAGTGTAGTGCAGGTTAGCAAGTGCAGCCGCATCACAGATTCATCTGCTCATCCTGTTCACAGCATCACAAATTCCAAAACGCGATTGGAAATGGCTCTCATGGGGATGCGCATTACAAGTCTTCCTGTCTTTGCAAATCTGCATTACAACTCTGGCGTGGGTACGTTTTTACTCAGGATAGAGCTCCAGACATATTTTTCTGAGGACCAGGCACGCCAGATTCTTTATCAAATGCAAAAATGTTTGGGTCTGGAAGATTTTGAGATTTGTCATGCTTTTCTGACATGACTCAAGAATCTGTGATGCATGGGCGCGAAGCGGTCCGCTTTTCTGTCATGCAAACACGCAGTTTGCCATGCGGAACACGCAACACATAGGAGCCCAAAAAATTTGTCATGCTTGGCTCCGTATTGCAGTGGAACTCTCGTTCACTTTTAGCATCACAAGTTTCCAGACCCAGACATTTTTACATTTGATATTCTTGGTGGAGGGTTCAAACCTCATGACGATCCATCGGGTGGAGACGATGTTGGCGATCCGAGCCGGTGTTTTGCCCGCCCGGAGCAGCTTCTCATGGCAGCTACTGACGCGTGTCGGTACAAAGATTCAATATTTTTATTTTGCCATCTTCAACCATATTGATGCTTTCTCTTTCATTTCCGAGCTGCGCTCCTTCATGCGCCTTCTTTTCATGGTCTCCGTTCGTACATGCAGCACAGAAAATATATGTAAGTATGCTGTTTGTGTTTCACGACCTGTCTTTCAAATTTCCGCATGGTATCTATGATCACAGGTTTGGCCAGCTGCGTACTTCTTCCGCCCGGAGAGCGGAAGGCCTGGACGACCCTCGCAAACTGCACTGCCTGCAAGCCTGGGCGGCCTGGAAAGCTCCGCAAATGGAGGGTCGCACAGCTTCAGATTCTTCTGCTTCAAGGGAACTGCAACAACGTCGACGCGGGCTGTTCGGTTCCTGCCCGTGCCGCAACTCCACGCGCCTGACCCCGGCCGAACAGCAAGCAGCTAGGAGAAAGAAACTCGACGCAGATCGCGCCGCTTTGTATGCGGATTTCTTCGCCGCAGATATGTGGGGCGCTCTGCACACACCCTTCTTGCCCGGGTGCTATCCGAGAGCGGATTTTGCAACGCTGGATGCAGCTAAAGCTTCTGGAAATCTGAATTATTTCCCTTACGTTGAAGAAGGACGCAAATTGGTACACCCCGACGAAGTGAAGGCTCTGTTGGACGACAGCCACGAGCAGCAGGGCGGCGCCGGCTGCGATATGGGAACCACAACTGGCACTGAAAATCTAGAGGCATCAAGCGCCGCCAAGGTGGGCCACGCCTTGGCCACCTCGCACATCTCGCTCATCCCAGACGCGGGCTACAACCTCGGAGTCGGGAAGGAGGACATCACAAAAGCTGTGGACAAGATTCTACCCGGCTCTGCGGGACGAGAGCGGGTCCTACAACCGCAGGAAAAGCAGCAACCGAAAGGAGCAGATCCAGATTTGAAGAAAAAGCAGGAGAAAGAGCAGAAGGAGGAAAGGCGCAAATACGTGCGCACGTTCCTCGCTGAACCGCTGATGAAAGATTTTCTTCTCAACAGACAAGAGCTGTACCAATACCACGATGACGACGAAGAGACGGGAGAAGCAGCCGAACAAAGTGCGAAAAAGAAGGCGGAGCAAGGTCCCTACACGCTGCTCGACCTGGAGGAGTCCGAGCACGACCCGTTTGAATTTTTTCTCGTGCTGAATTACACGAGTAACGCCTTTTTCCACACTGGTTTCCGCGTCGTGGTGTACGAGCGGCCTGATGGTGGCGCCGCCGCCGGTGGAATTGGCCCATCTGGGGCGGGTGGAGGAGGACAAGCGGGACAGCCGCAGCGGCAGCCTCAAGAGGGGCTGCAAGCATCTATGAGCAGCAGACCTCAAGTAGAACATCAACATCATCCCTTCTATCTGGTGAACAATTATCCCTTTTGGGTGCGCGAAATGCTCTTCTGGGAAAACACGATGGCAAACGCGACTACACCGGCCACGGCAGGAGGAGGTACTGCTGCTCCAAAGGCGACGCCTCCCCCACCGCCCTCCAAGTCGGAACAGTTACAACAAAAATATTCGTGGGCCGCGCAACCATGTCTGTTGAGTAAGGAAGGCGTGGTGGATAAAACGAATCCTCTTGCAAGAGAACTGTTCCCAGTCGTCCTGCAACACGGACAGGAAGTCGTGTGGGAAAAGACGTCAAACAAGCGAGACGCTGTCCCCGCCCCGGTCGGGTCCTCAGCTGCACAGGCGACGTTGCGCAAAGCGACCTTCTGGGGATTCCAGGACGATGTGACCTCAATCGCGCAGTGGCTGGGCCGCGGATTGTGTAGCTTCGATCTGTTCGTTTATGGTCGCACCAAGTCGGATATGCAAGACGAGAAGGACTGTCCGCGGCTGGTAGAGATGATGCAGAATGCGGATGCAGTAGCGAACGGCGGGGCGGTTTCTGTTTCATCTGCTGCTCCGTCTGGAACAACTGCAGCAGCAGGAGGTGCTGCGCCCCGCGTTGGTGAAGCAGGTGGAACAGACCAAGCTGCGCAACCTGACGATGAAAGCAAAGCTGGACGTAAGGACCGAACGAAAAAATTGCTGCGTTGGTTTTTGGGTGGAAAAAATACAACTCGGCGGGACCGACTGAGTTCCGACGCACTGAAAGCTGCGAAAAAGTTTTTGAAGCTGGATCGGGTCACGGAGGTTTTTTTGTTCTCGGGCTTTCCCAGCGCGCAAGCGAAGTATCTGAAAGCTGCGATGGAGGAATACAACAAGCGCAGCGCGCTCTTGGTACAGTCCTTCACGCGCTGGCGCGCGGACTTTTTGTCGTTGCAGGAAAGGATCAAGAAAGCACACGGACTCGTGCGCGAAACCGTGACGGAAGGCCTCGACTGGTTCATTGGGAGTAGGAAGAGCGACAAGGCCAGCAAAAAGGGAGCCGCGGTTGATGTTTCGCCGGGAGTTGTCGCGCCGTCCGGGGCGGCGTCTCCTGGTTTCGCTCCCTCTGGCACGGCGAGGCCTCCTGTTCAGGGTGGGATGTTGCCCCGAAGCGGTAGTACTGGTGGTAACGACGCAAGACGAGGACCCGATTTGGCCGGCGTTTCACCCGCTCCTTCGGGTGGAGGTACGACAGATAATGACACCGACGAAGAGGAGCAGGAAGATCTTCATGCGCAGATATTCGATGGTGACATTCTTGCACACCAAATTCCGACCACGCGTGCTCTCAGCTTCCGTTTAGTCGGCCTCTTGCACCAGTTGCAATACTTCCGTGCGGTCTTGTATCTGATCCACATTCCCTCCTGGCACCGGGGGCTGCGCAAGTTGTCCGCTTTGCACGCGCGGGCGAGGCATTCGCGTGCGCACTTCTTACTGGGGCAGGAGGCGGAGATAGGCGGCAAGGTCGCGGAGCTGCGGGCGTCTGTGGAGCAGCTAATGGCACAGGAGAAAGAACAACGGAGACGGATGGGTGGACCACAGGCGGTGTTACCTGATGATGCAGCCCTTCGTAAACGCCTGGAGAAAATTCGTGATCAAGACGTGCAGCAGTGGGTCCAACAAGCGCGCGTGCGCGAGCTGCGCAGTGATATGGCGTTCTCAAACGTTACATTCTCAACTGTTACATGATTTGTCATGCAAAACTTCCATGAGCCACCAGACAATCAAGCCACCTCGCATGACAAATCCCCGAAGGGCTAAACAGCACCTAAATCTGTGCCGGATTTGTGATGCGAGAGTTGCAAGCTTGCCTCTTTCACTGTTGCGGTTCTCGCATCACAAAGTCATGTAACAGTTCAGAATGTAACGTTTGAGAACGCCATAAGTGAGGGAACGGGGTTACACCTCGTTTTATTGTACCGCA